GTCCTATTCATTAACTAAGTTATCATATTTAATGCTTACAATGACTGTAAAGCTTAGACTCTAATTGTAAATATGATAACTTAGTTAATGAATAGGACTTTAAAATTAACATGTATTATTATACATTGTTGTCGTCTCAGGATATTGTAAAAAAATTTTAAACAGATTTTTTTTTATTTCAAAATGAAATCCCAATTCAATTGAAAACTTGATATAAGGTGCTATACATTGATAATAACTTACTCTATAATGAAATTATTAATATTATACATATTTTACAATTATTGATTCAACAAACATATGTTATACACAATAATATATACAATACAATAATAATACATAAACAAATATATTAATCATTTGTATGTAAAAAATTATTGCATAAAATGATATTTCAATGTCACGATTGATTAAATTTTTTATATATCATATACTGTATATCTATTTATAAAACAGACAAATAAATCATATTTTTATTTTGTTTGAATTATTTCAATACAGATTATGACCAAACAATTGAATGGATTTATCAATTGTTTGGACTAATGAGTCATTAATAATGAGTTATAATAATAATGATAATATAGTATATAAAACATTGTTATCATATAATATAATAATAATATAAAATTATTAGTATATTCTGTACAAGAATTTCTTTTAAATAATACATTATATAAATAATAAAACTTAAAATGTTAAAAAGACATTATCATGTTTTATGTTTTATCTTATTTTGATGTTATTTTATGGCAGATTTATTGCTTATATGCAGTATTACACGGTTGTCGTGTTTGAAAACAATTATTCATTTATGTTTTATATTTTAATAATAGCCATAAAAATGTTTTGATAGGGAGTGTTAAATAATTTTTTTTCTTTTGAATATTTCTAAGAAATTTTCTTTTATTGTTTAGTTTACTAACAAAAATGTGTAAAATTGATTTTTTAATAATAATTTATTATGCACATTTATATTCCTAATAAAATTTATTATATTATATTTGTTGCAAATATTGTTTTGCAACAAATATTAAATATGTTTTAAAAGTAAGTTATGTCACAATCTTAATCTTACAAAAATAAGTAATATCATTTTAGTAAAACTTATATTTTTAGAATTTCTAGAATATTATAGTATTAATATTTTATAATACAGTATAATATACTGTAATATATAATTACTTTAAAACAAAGTCAATAAAGTTTTTAATTATATATTAAAATTTTATTTTATTTATTTAATATTATTCAGATTCAATTGAGTTTCAAATTGTATTCTATATTTTCCATAAAATATCTATTTTTTATACATAGTGTGCTTAATTTAAATTGCTAATTTATACATTAATAAATAAATAAATAAAATAAAATTAATTAGATAAACTTAATTAATTTTATCTTAAGTAAATGGAACTTTTTTTACACAATTTTAAACATTTATAAATAAACAAAATATAAATTTTTGTAAGCATTGGTGAGTTCATTAAAATTATCAAAATGCAATTAAAAAATTATTTTGATTACCAATTAGTAGAAACAAATTTACTTTAATAATATATATTTATACTGTATATAATAATTATAATAAACGATAACCTTTTGGCAAACATAATGTTTAACTTAGTTTAATAACAGCTGAGCTCAACTCAATTGACAGTAATAGTGATGTCGTTTAGTCTAAATGTTAACTACTTTTCCTTTAAATGACTTCTAATGTCTTCACTTTAATTCTCACATTAAATACTATTTAACCTTTAAATCTACAAAACACTTAAATACACGAAATACATGTCGTTTCTTGTTTTAAAAAGTTTCAAAATTTATTATGCGTTAAATTTTGTATTTAAAAACTTTTATATATAACTCTTTTTCCTGTTATCCACTAATAATGATTCTTATATCAAATATCATCATTTGTTTCCTTTAATGTTATGTCAAAATTTGATTCAAGTTTTGCAAACATCAGTTCCATATTCTGATAAAGTCTTTGTTATAATTAGTTTTATTTAACATTAATTATTTATAGACTACTCTTATCCTGATTAACACATACTATAAGAGATCAATAAATATAAATACTATAAATTATTTTATTGTTTAAAATATAAATCCTTAGTTTTTATCTATTTTAGAAAGTTTTATCAAAATTATGATAATTTAATGTTAATTCAATTCAATTATAAATTAACTATACTAAGCAATTATATTTATTTTCGTCTAAGATTTTAATTTTCTAATTATAATTGTTCAGACAAACCATAATTAAATCATTTAACATATTATTTGTTTCTTTTGGAAACACAATTAAATTATACAAATAATATTTGCAATATTAGATTTATTGTGTCATCACTTTTGCCTATATTAGCCAATTTTATGCAATCATTTAAACCTACTTTCTTTATGTAGTTTTTATTTCAATCTATTAATCTAATTAATAAATTACTGTACAGTATTTAAATCTATTGGTATTAATAAAATAAATATATCAAATACAGCGTTTAATCTATTAATTTTTTATTAATTAAATATATCAAATATTTATAAATTTAATAATATAGTATCTAAATAAACTATTACAATTCATTTTTTAATGTGTTGCAATATTTAATTGAGATTAAAATTGTTATTCAAATGTCAAAGATGTTATAAAATGTAGTTTTATAAACATTTTGATAATAAAATATCATAAAATTATATGATATAATATAAATATAATTTTTTTAAAAACTAAATAATGAGATGTTTTTATGAGAGTATGTCAACATTTTTAATCTATAGAGATCCTATTAAAACTTATTTTTAATATTTTTTTGATACTGAAATATTGGCCAAACCCACTATTAATATTATAATTAGTAATAATTATTTTTATGTTTTATTTTGTAAAATATATGAGAAATGACATCAATTGACAAAACACATCAAACTGTTTAAATATTATATCATAAAAGTTATGACATTATATATATATATAAATAATATATACAGTATATAAATTAAACATTGATATAATTATTATATTATTATATCTTATGTAAAGACACACAAAAATACAATGAGTTGATTAAAACATACCAATTGTTGTTTTATAAGAAGAAACAAAAAATTCAATTACTTTTTTTTCATTGATTGCATCCGTAAATATAGTTAGAATATAATTTATATTTAAACATTAGATATAAAATACACCCATTACTAACATTACTAACATTACTTACATTACTAACATTACAATAATCATTACTCTTTATTTTGATAACAAATAATAATTGATTCAATTGATTATTATGTTCTTCAAAAAAAGCTTTAATGTAAAGTATGGTATTATTTAATTTAGTTATCGCTATTGACTTGTAATAGCAATAAACTTTTTTCTGTAAATAAATATATATCAATAATAACTAGAGTTAATGTAGATGTATATGTATATGTCAAAAAATAATAAAAGCAGCTTTAATTGATAACCTAGGTGCTAGTGATGGTACCGGTGCTAGTGATGGTACCGGTGCTAGTGATGGTACAGGTGCTAGTTTTAGTATTGGCTAATATTAATACTGAAATCATTATATACTGTATTATACTGTGAAGTGTTTAACTATTAAATAGAAAATTCATTATTATTCTAAACATAGTTCTCTCTGTAAATAATAGGTTTGTTTGAGTGATGCGTTTGCACAACAAAAGAGTCATTAATTTAATATCAATTTTTTATATTCAATATTTATAAGAGAATATTTTGACGTGTCTTTTATAAATATATATATATATCCAGTGTTTAATTGCACAATATTGTCATTTATCATCAATATATTTGTTTAGTCATTAATTCAAACGGAATATTCTTATAGATCATGAAAATAAAATTAGACACTAAAGTATTATAAGATATATTAATATAATTTAATAATATAATTATTATAATAACACTCACCTTTAATAACAACACAAGACTTTTGACTATTTTGCGTAAAAACCACTTTATAAACCAATCGATACAACGATATTATAATATAGTTTGCAATGTGAACGGCATTTAAGGCACACAATTGGCAAACAGTCTCTTTTTAGTGAAATTTCAATATTTATTAGTATGTATTTACTGTATAATTTTATGTGTGTATATATATATATAACTTGTGTATAGTATATAGTTAACTATGTGTTGGTCAATATAATCCAATTTGATATATCACTGCAGTTTTATTACTTTTTTTTGCCTTACAAATGATACCATGTCTTGAGTATGAAAAAATCAGTCCAATTATAAAACAATACACGAAATCAGTATATTTAGCAAACAGTAGTTAAATGTTTCAATTGAAATGTTGTCAAATAAATTATAATGTTTCATATGTTTAGTATTAAATATAAAGTTTGTTAATAATTCAGATTTAATAAAAAGCAGTTAAATAGATAGTTATTTTTTAGAAGCAATATTAGCAATGATTGATCACAAAAGCATTGATGAAAGATAACAATTTGACTTTTAAATCAATTTATTAAGTTATTTAAATTGTCAAAAAGTGAATTTTATGGCAAATGTTAAACTCATGTGTTGTTTGATAATATAATATAATACAATACAATTCAGGTATTATATTATCAAATATACAGTATATATACAATAGTTTTCTGTGAGAAAAGCCGAAAGTACGGTATGACTTCAAGTGTGTCGATGTGATCAATTCGCCACAACATACTGTATACAAGTCGACTGTAACCAACCATTCCTACAATGCGACTGTCCGTTCAATACCATGACGTTTAGCGAAAACTGTAAATTCTGGCAAAGCCTGTAATAGCTATACAGTAAACTTAGGCCTAACTTTCACTAGTTATTGATTAATCTGAGTATAGTATTATAAAAGTGAAAACAAAATATATGATCACATATTAATAGCTGATAATATTAATGTGGGATTTCAAAAATAATAGTATTAATTAATAACAATTTAGTTTGACATTGACTTATAATTTTATTTATAATAACTACATATTCGTGTTTTATAATATTTTTACAAACATTTTTCAATTTTCATAATTAAAATACATGTAATACATGTAAATAACTTTTCATGTCTCGCAATCTCTCTGGAGCTTAAAAACTAAATTAAAGTATATTTCAAATCTAAAACAAACTATTGAGTCTTAGCATCGATTGATTGCTTGTTTTAACCTAATTTTCCACTTCACTCAATAGTTTTATATTATTGTAAACCTTTAGAGATTGTAAGCCATTAAAAAAGAAGAAATAAAAATATTAACAAATTAAATGAACATTTTCTAAATTAAATTTTAATCTTATAATTATTTAATTGCTATTTTATTAAACCCATTAATTAATTTTTTATGTGAGAGATATTTTGTTTTTAGTCGACAATTGTTTCAAATCAGTCAAACATTTTTGTAGGACTTCCTTCTCTTGTTGTGCTGTAATACCTTTGAGGACACCATCGATGATCCAGTTGACCATATGTTGTTGTTGGTACTGTCTCTCTGATGACTGTTTGGCCAACAAGTATTCCAAACGATTGCGAACCTCATTATAGGCCATCATTTGTCTCCTTCTGAACTCAGTTTCTAATTGAAGTTTAATGTTCTCTCTCTTGGCATCAAATAATATCTTCTGTTGTTTAGCCAATTCTTGAGATTTACTTTCCGAGTCAATCATATTCTTCAAAAACTTTTTCATTCCTGACTGCCATTCATCCCAAAGAACCACTTCATCCTATAATTCAAAATATTTTAATTTAATTTATTAAATACTCCTTAATATAAATATTTTATACGGAATATTAAAATTTCAAATCTTATAATTATTATTCAAATATACGATACATATATATATATATATATATATATATATATATATATATATATATATTGTAAGAATTTAAATCGATTATACCGTTAAATCGCGTTTTTCCCCATATGAAAATATGTAAGTCATGGGGAATAATGCGAGTTTTTTACCATATGAAAACTTTAGTTTTTCACTTTTAATTTCCCCCTGTATTTATATATTTTCAAGATTTCCCACCCCTTGTATTTGGACGTCTCTAATCGTTCCAAACCCTTGGAATATGCTATCTATTTACTGATTTATAATATGTAAAAATACTGGAAACGTACACAAATATATCATTTATTGTTAAACAATGTTATAACTAATTAATTACAGGTAATAGATATCTAAATATACCGGTTTTAATAGATTGTTAATAATAGGTCATTACAGTTGCCTATTCCCCCCATTTTTGCTTTTTCCCACACTCTTGTTTAATTTACCAGTAGTGGTAAAAAATGCAAGTTTTTTAAGGTATGAAAATGTCATTTTTCACATTTTGTTTTTATTTTCATGCGGGGAAAACACGGAAATACTGTACAGTAAGCCAAACAAAAAACATTTTGTTTCAAATTTTTTTATATTCAATGTTACTCTATTGTAAAAATTAATGTATGATATTAATTAAAATTAGTTATTGGTTCTGACAATAATTTAAATCAACTCTACGGGATGAGACGGGACAGAAAAAAGTAAAATAGATGCCATTTATTGTAAAATTATATAAACTAGTCTTAGAAATCTAAAACTAATTTTACTAAATTCATTATATTATCTATATTTACAATAAGGATATTTAAATGAAAGAAATAATTAATAGTAAATTAAGTAAAAAATACAATATAATAATAATAATAATAATAATAATAATAATAATAATAAATAGATGGGAAAGGGCTAAATATTTTCAGATTGTAATATTCCGAAACTTAACTAAATATTAAATAAAGATTATTCAAAAATGATTTTACACAACATTTTCTATAAATATATTACATAATACTGTATAATATATTAATATCATTACAATACATCATATTTTCATTTATAAAAGTGTATAAAATATATAATAGTCGTTAAAATAAATGACTTAATAGATTATTTCAATAAATCACAATCACATAAAAGTGTGTTAAAACCATCAAATAATACATTAAATATCACTTACATCCTGCCATCGGCCATACATTTCCCTGAGTTTGGGACCAAACTTAAGATTGACGGCAGAGATCAATATGATTAGCGATAGTCCGGTCCAGAACTCGTGTTCAATGATATAAATCTCTTTTGACATCAAAAATGTAATAAAAGTAAATCCAAAAACATAAGGACCGGTCACTCCTGTCTTCTCATAAAAGTAGTTAAACCATGAATCGGGTAACACATAGAGTCGGGTGCGATCGGGCCAAATGGGTGCCGGGATTCGCGGAAAATTTTTCACATCACGTTCGGGCTTTTTATCGTCGTTAATGGTCGGCATATCGACACCAAAACGAATATTAAGAAACTCTTCCAACGATTCCTTTCTCGGATCAAAAGATATGGTTTCTGGTGGTGCGTCGGCCGCATCGTATAATTTCGGTAATAATGGCGGATTCACATTGACTTCGTGTTGTGTTATTGAAGACAAACTTCGGGTCAGCACTGGTTGCACACTCTTACCGGACAACCATAGGTTCTCTATAAGACAATCCGTATATTAATATTAATAACTATTTTATCATTTGTTAGCAAATTATATCATATATGATATATCATTAATATAACCACAATTGCGGTCATTCAATGGTAATAATGATAATCAAAAACAATTTATTACTTGAATTAAATAATAGACGGGACAACATCTCGATAGACAATACCAGTGCCGATACAAACAGTCAACTAAATACAAATCAAGTGATAAACGGCTAAATTTGGTCAACAATTATGACATTACTTACACTAAAGATATATAGATTTGTCGATACAATCAATGAATGGCAATGAATGACAACATAAGACATAACCCATAGATGGCATCAATGCATACAATATAAGCTTCAAAATGTGTTTCAATGACTCTTATATTCAATGCATATATAAATCCGTTTCCTTTTGTGTTTAACATTCATTGAGTTTACAACTAATGTAAGTCTTTCTTGAATTTGGTCTCAAATATCATTAAATTATCATCAAATTGATCATTAATTTTATTATTAGTCTTTATATTAATTTTATATTAATTGAATTTAATTTATAATGAAAATGCTTTAACTAATAATTAATGTCAAATACCGGTGTTATAACGTGTCTACAGTTGACACGTGTTTAGTATGATTTGTATTAAAATTAGTGATCAATTTGACTAATAATATGATTGAATACTGATTTTAATATCTTAATTGTGATGGTATCAGATGGCGGACAACGCTCCAGCCGCTGGAAGAGGAGGTTTTAGAGGTGGTTTTGGTGGCCGAGGTCGTGGAGGCCGTGGACGTGGTCGTGGCGGCCCTAGAGGTCGTGGAGGCCGCGGTCGTGGTGGCAAAGAAGGCGATAAAGAGTGGGCACCGGTGACCAAATTGGGACGTTTAGTGAAAGACGGAAAGATCAAGTCATTAGAGGAGATCTATCGATTTTCGCTACCAATCAAAGAGTTTGAGATCATTGACTTTTTTATTGGAGCTAAGCTTAAGGATGAGGTCCTAAAGATAATGCCCGTCCAGAAACAGACCAGAGCCGGTCAGAGGACCAGATTTAAGGCATTTGTTGCTATTGGTGACTATGATGGACACGTGGGTCTGGGAGTTAAATGCAGTAAAGAAGTTGCTACTGCTATTCGCGGAGCTATTATTTTGGCCAAACTTTCTGTTATTCCGGTTCGCAGAGGTTATTGGGGTAACAAAATTGGTAAACCGCATACCGTTCCCTGTAAGGTAAGCATGAAATTGAAATTTAGATGTTTTAATGGCAACATTATAACCGTTTCATTCGGCCATTCGTGGCTTTGAGTGTTTCGGTTTGTTAGTAGTCGTAATGGGCTTTAAATTCCAGTTCAATGGTTAGCCTTAACTACAGTGTTGCAGATGAATGGAAGTCTCCCTTCGGGTGAAGACAACCACGTAATGCATATTCCATAAACTCGTGTTAATGCACTTCTGCAGTGATCTTCGAGACAGACCATGCATTCGACAATTTTATTACTTATAAATATTACAATTATTTTGTTTACAATTCTGTTAGTAATATATCTGTATTTTTTAACATTTAGGTGACCGGAAAATGTGGTTCAGTTTTGGTGCGACTAATTCCTGCTCCCAGAGGTACCGGCATTGTTTCAGCTCCGGTCCCTAAAAAGTTGATGCATATGGCAGGTATTGAGGACTGTTATACATCAGCCACTGGTTCGACCTGTACTTTGGGTAACTTTGCAAAAGCGACTTATTTGGCCATTCAGCAGACATACTCTTACTTGACACCCGATTTGTGGCCCGAATCGCCGCTAACAAAGTCGCCGTATCAGGAATATCACGACCATCTTGCTATAGCTCATGGCGTTCACTAATATCACAATTATTATAAAAATCTTCAATTGATATAATAAATGATTATTTGAATTAAAATTTTGTTTATATTATTGCAATTACTCTATATTTTGTATTACCGGTAGTTATTATATATGAATCCTATAAACACTTATTTCATTACAAGAGATAGAAATGCTTGAATTAAAGCTATTAAGAGCTATGAATATAACATAACGTATAAAATATAGTAAAAGTTTATTACAAGAGAGTGATAGTAGGCGTCGCTTATAATGTCAATAGATTTGAATGTGTTTTGCATTGATTTGAGTGTTGTATTGGATTTAAAAGCACAGCATTTGTTGTATTGATGCGGAACTTTGCAAATGTAAATGTAATGCATTGAACACATTGTGAACATACTATTGAATATAGCATTCAAGTGATCATCAAAACAGTCTATCAATTGATTCAAATATTAATAGTTTTTACAAACAATGAGTGACTCATTGATTGACTATTAAATTGTTAGTCATATAAACATAAATAGATGTTTAGCTAAATATTATATTAAAATTATGACAACAATACAGTGCTTTCAATTGATTTGAAACAATAGCTAATTATGGCAAATGACATGTAATTAAATATTAAAAAAGTCAATCAATGATAAACTGGTGATCAGTCGCGAAGGTCATTGAAAATGGGAATCAATTTATCGACGACAACATCACCGGAACACCAGTCGGTCAATAATCGCCACAAGAGTGTCAACAATCATCACATCAATAGTGTTGTGTCACATGCGGTCACTTTGAGTGATAAACAGTCCACTCATGAGGTCGACAATCAAATGCCTGAATCTAATGAACTGGAGAGACGATTCACTAAAGGTATGTCATTGTCGCTGTCATCACATCTAATGTGTTATTAATTGTATTTTAATTGCTAATTATAGTGTTGGCATCCATGGACTTACCTCCAGATAAGGCCAAACTCTTGAGAAGTTATGACATGGAAAGGAAATGGGAAATGATTAGAGATCAGGAAAAGGTGACAGCAAAAGAGTCACCAGAATTTTATCTGCAAAAGTTGTCCACTTATTTGGACCCCAAAGCCAGCCGAAGCAGTAAAAAAGTTAGACAATTGGGTCCATCGACTTCCACTCAAGTGCTCAGAGATCTGGAGATATCTTTGCGAACCAATAATATTGAGTGGGTTCGCGAGTTTCTCTCGGAGAATAATAGTGGTCTCGATATACTCATTGAATATCTGACGTTTCGTTTAGTGACACAACAGAAGACACAACAACAGCTCAAAGATAATCAACAACAACCACAACAGCAGACAAACCATCAAAATGGTAGCGCAGATAATCTGACCGCAAGTCAAGACATTCATACAAATAGCAGTTTATTGAGGTTTGAGTTCAGTATCCTTTTTACTTATGTTTTCTTATGGTTTATATTTTTCATATTATTTGATGACATATTCTCAAGTGTCATGAAATTGATTTACATCTTTTGTGACCTTTTATTGTAATGACATTCAAAAGTTATTTTTTGTTTTACTAAAAAGCAAACATTGAAAGTAACAGAATCTTTCTATACTTTTATATTTAAGATCTATTAATACAAATTTTAAAAATTTGAATAAACTCCAAAAGTTTAGTTAAATTAATTGATTTCTATGTTTTTATGGATTAATTTTACTTTAATTATTTCTCATTACATTTTTTCAATTTAAAAGTTAGTGATTTTACAAATGGTGTTAATCTTAAATATTTTCCTCAAGTAATTTCATTTAACATATCCTCATAAATGTTGTGAAGTCATACACGATATATGATATGAAAAATCCTGTTTTTAACATAAGAGAGAAAGTAATGAAATATTTTTCTACAAATAATTTAGACCTCATATAAATAACTACTGTACTTATGAAATGTTATGCAAATATTTTATGAATTACTAAGTTTTCTCAGACATATTTTACAACAATATTATATTTAATTTATTATATAAGTCATCATTGGCTGTGATCGAGAAAATCTTAATTAATTTATTTATATTATAAATGTTTTACTTTCATAATACGTCATATTTTTATTATTTAATATAACAATTTGTTTGCTTTAGTCAATTTTTAGTTATATCTGTTTAAATATAAATATTATTATATATTTTAACTTTATTTAATAATTAAGAAATATAAATAGCATATAAAATAATAACTTTTTGTTATCAAAGTCCATAATTAATTGAGACGATATCGTGATTTAAAAAACATTTTTATAGTTTCTAATGAAAATCTCTTTTCAGTTATAAAATGTTATTACATGAAAGGTTTTGCTCATAATTATTAATATAAATTAATTTAAATATATTGTCTTTAATAATGCTTTAATATTTGAATTGAATTTAAGTGGATAACGAAATTAATATTATTTTTAAATTATGACGTCTTTGTATTGTAAAATACTTAAAAAAGTTTTATTTGATATTTTTAAATTTAACTGTTTGTCATTACCTATACTTTAATAATAATGTTTTCAATTGAATTGATTGAAATTTTATTCAATTAAATTACTTATTTTATTTAATGAGTTATTTGTGCCGTTAATTGAATAAAATTGAGTTCAATGTTATAACAATACTAATAATTCATAATAACATTATTAATAAGTACTGTATTATTGAGTAATACTGTACTATATTTTAGTTGAAATCATATGTTGTTTTTTAGGGCAAAACTTATTCACATTTTATATACAATAAATAATAAATGACATGAATTTTAAATTCAATGAAATTGAGATGAATTTATAATATATGAATTAACAATTATTTACATGAGATGTTAGGTTTTATGTTAATCGGATGTTTGCACAACAAAATAGTATCTAATGTTAGCAAAAATTAATCACACGTTAGGCACTCCCGGAGCAGTCGTCTCCTCTGTTATGGTCTATCTTTATCTCAAATTACAGTGCATTTCAATGGTTATAATCAATCGATGAATTACTTGTTATGGTTTTGTTTCCTGTTTTCCAATGGAAATGCCTTTCATTAAGAGTCGATACGATTTGTATATGGATTCAAATGAGAAGGAAATGCAAATATATATATATATAATATACATATAAATATATATCATATATATAAACCTTTTTATTTCAATATTGATATGATTTTTGTTACAATTTTTTTGTTTACATATTGTTATCTGTTATTGTTTTAAATACGAAAATAATTAAATTAGACTAATTATTATATAATTACATATTTCATTACAGTAATATAATTAAAAGTAATTAACACTACCAACTGCTGTAAAATCTGTTAATTATTAATAAATTACTGATTAGATAATAACATTTAAAAGCAATTAATTTTAATGTAATAATTGTATACAATTTTGTCATTTATATTTCTGTCATTAAAATATTTGAATTTTTTGGATGAATGACACCAATCATTGGTTTGACTTTTATCTCTTGTCTTATAGCAAAAGATTAGCTTAAGATTTGTTGTAATAAATATTAAATACCGGTATTAAAAATAGCACTTTTATTGAATATTTGAATACAGTATTATTTGAAACATTTAAACATATCTATAATATATTATGGGAACCAAATGGTGTGATTGACTTTGAAAATAAATATTTTGAGATTTTACTATAATATCACTACAATATATCTTTGCTATGAATTTTTCAATTGTTTTAATAACTCTTCACAAATATCTTTTCTCTTATTGTTGATAAAAAGATATCGATTTCATTGTCGTTCATATCTTAAGGACAGGTATTCCAGGGCTTTCACTCTTTTGACGATTGCTTTCCGCAATAGAAAAGTAAAATGTATTTTCTATTTGAAACTAAAATTGAATTGAATTGAATTGAATGACTTGTTATTTGGCATAATTTGTCTCTATTTTAGCGAAACACAGGTTGTCTTAAAGGGACTAAATATACACTTCAATGAACTCATCCCTTCATTCACTAATGTTTTTCAACTGAAAACAGCTTGAATTGACTTATACCTGAAATTGCAATCAAATGACTGATACTTTTAGTTTGTCTCATCTAACCAAAGATGATACCAGCTCTCAGTCGAAGTTTCAATCAATATTGTTGTATTCAAATATTTGACAAATTTAGTAATTTTAAAATGTATTTAATATTTTACTTTGGATTTACATAAATTATTGATAATTTATTGCAAATAAAGATCTGACTATAATTTACAGTCATTTTTTACGTAATTTTTAATGATATTGCGGTTTGCATTGAGGTAAATATTTATTGGATAATCAATGGTATAATTTTATTTATCTTCTACTTTTCTTTTATTATTAATTTATTTATCATTATTTTTTATTGCAAAATTGATAATTTAAAATACACTGTATATTAATAGTACTACTGTATAGTATACGATATAACTTTTTATATATTTAATATTTCTTTTATTGTACAGTATTTATGCAAATAAAAGTTAAAAACTGAATTTGAAAATAGTTGTTAGCAATATATTTTTGTTACATTGGTAAATGATTTTGTTATTTTTGTATAACATAAGTAAATGAAAATGTTTATTTAACTATTAATCATTTACAATTTTTTAATAAAGTAACAAATTGCATGATTTTTTTATTTGTATGGAATATTGGACAGGGAATGGGTTAAAATTATAATATTTAAATAATGTTAACTACTTTTTGACTTTCAATTGCCTTATATTACATTTTTATGTATATTAATTTATTTTTACAATTTTTAAAGTAATACTACTGTATATTCCTTATTAGAATATAAGATATTTACAGAGTAATTAAAAAAGTAACATAAATGTGAATAATATTATAATTAATATTAGATTATAATTTAAATAAATAATAGAATACTTGATAATAGACTAACAAATTGAATATATATGACTGTTTAGGCGACCATCGCTATTGTTTTCACGACAACATTCAACTAAATTAAGGTTAGGCCAAGTGGGTGATGATGTTCACGTATGCATTATGTGTATGCGTGCTATTATGAACAATAAATTTGGTTTCAATTTGGTTATGGAGCACAACAATGCCATCAACTGTATAGCCCTAAGTCTGAATCACCAAAGTTTGCGGACAAAGTCATTAGTGTTGGAACTGTTGGCCGCTATATGTCTTGTAAAAGGTGGCCATCAAATCATTTTGAATGCATTCGACAATTTCAAAGACGTCTGCAATGAGAAGAATCGTTTCCAAACATTAATGCATTACTTTATGAATTACGAGAATTTTAATATAGATTTTATGGTCGCGTGTATGCAATTCATTAATATTATCGTTCATTCTGTAGAAGACATGAATTTTAGAGTTCATCTTCAGTATGAGTTCACACAATTAGGTTTAGATGATTATCTTGAGAACAAATTGAGAAACACGGAATCTGAAGATCTTCAGGTTCAGATTCAGGCCTATTTGGACAATGTCTTTGATGTCGGCGCTCTTATGGAGGACGCCGAGCACAAGAACGCTGCACTCGAACAGTGCCAACAAATGGCACAACAGTTATCGCACGCACACGAAGTAGAACACGAATGGGAGGCCAGATATGAAGAGTTAGAACGAACTCTGTTTGAATTAAGTCAAGAAAAAGATGAACTGTTTTCTGAAAAGCAAAGACTCGAGGATGAACTCAATCACATTAAGAGAACAGTTAGTGTTAGAGAAGAAGAGTCACGAAGAAGACAATCGATTCTTGAATCGAAAATTCAAGAATTAGAACAAAATTCTAATCCGGTTATCAATGGAAAGCCTAATCAAACACAACCAACTACTAAGTCAACTACCAATACTGCATCTTCACCCATATCGCCAATAGCACCGCCTCCACCTCCTCCACCACCACCTCCACTGTTTCCAGTGTCTGCAGTCTTAATGCCTCCTCCTCCACCCCCTCCACCTCCACCACCAATTGGTACATCAGTTCCACCACCTCCTCCTCCACCTTCAACCGGCGTTTCTAATGATATGTTAACATTGAAAAAGACATACAACACAAAGTATAAGTTACCGACATTTAATTGGGTGCCACTGAAACCAAATCAAGTAAAGGGAACCGTATTTAATGAGTTTCATAACGAAGATAAGATTCTTAAAGCAGTTAACTTTACTGACTTTGAAGAGCAATTCAAATTGGGAACAAAACCGGAATTAATGCGAAAAAATTCAGTGTCGACTCTCAATGCTAGCAAAAGGTTTAAAATGCCTGAAAAAGTGTCACTTTTGGAACACAACCGCTTAAGAAATATGGCGATATCTATGAGAAAGATTGATATCGACACCGAATCAGTGGTTCGCGCCATCAACTCATTTGACACCAATTATTTGACTTCAGATTATCTCGAAGTATTGCTTCGAATGATTCCAAACAGTGATGAAGTTAAGGCTTATCGTGAATATGAACGGTCTGGACGTGTGTTGGATGAGCTCAACGATGTCGACAAATTCCTGTTTCATATTTCCAAAATCGAAAGACTTGAACAGAAACTGAAAATTATGTTTTATATGACATCTTTGATTCAATTAAATCAAGCACCGGGTGATAGTATTATTGAACAATGTCGGTCTCGTATATCGATTATTACCGAAGCGGCCAAACAACTCCGTAAATCACAAGGAATTCGTACGATATTAGAATATGTCTTAGTTTTTGGTAATTATCTCAACTCATCGACTCGTACTATAGCTACAGCACCGGCATATGGTTTTAAACTAACGACTTTAGATTTGATAAGTGAAACCAAATCAAGTGTTGATCGATCGCGATCTTTACTACATTATATCGCAGACATTATTGTAAACAATGCCGAAAATGGTTCAAAACCTATGCGATCAAATCCTTTCATGACTTTGGGTAAGGGTTCTGGTCATGGATTAGGCACTGATACTCTAGAAAACATTAAAATGCCATTTGATTTTGAGAAGCTATTGAATGCCATTGAAAAGGCAACTGTCGTATCATTAGAAACGTGTGCTCTTGAAGTAATAGATTTAGAAAAGGGAATGGATTTATGTAAACAGGAACTCCAATTGAGGACCACCTCTGGCTTGACTAACAATCAGCCGACACAACATTTACGTCAATTCATATCAAATAAATCTCCAGAATTGCAGGCTTTAAGAGAAGATCTCAAGAGAGCTCAACACGAATATAATGAATGCGTTGAATATTTTGGCGAAAGTACTAAATTAATGGAGTCTTCAAACCAATTGTTCGGCACTTTTACAAGATTTATGAAAAATTTCAAACAATGTCAATGCGATAACTATTCAGTTCAGCGCAAAAAGTTTGAAGAAGAATTAAGACAACAGATTCTTGAAAAACAACAGCAAAAGTCACCCGAAAAGTTGGAACCAACCAATGAGGTTAAGGTTCGGGAAAAGCGTTTACTAAAGCAGGACGAGGTCTACAACGGCGCTCTCGAAGACATACTTCTTGGTTTGATTTGTTTTTTGTTTTTATATAAATATAATTAATAATTATTATATTTTAAACTTAATATTTAATGTTTAGGTCTTAAGAATGAACCGTACCGTCGAGCAGATGCCGTCCGCCGAAGTCAACGTCGAAAACAAGAAAATATAAGACTTTCTTCCACAGAACTGATGGATATGTGAATATTTTCAAGTTTTATAGTTTTTTATTTATATTTTACACAATACTTTAAGTGATAATGTATAATATTTTTTTATATATTTACTATTAAATCAAAGAATTCAATGCTTTTACTGATTATTTTTGATGCAAACAATTTTAGAAATACTTTTAATTTAAATTATATTTATTTATTAATATAAAAATTTTATTTATACAGTAATATAATATTGATATAATAGTGATTTATTTAGTATAAATATAAAATAATAAAATTTGCCAAACATGACATTATTTATTGAATAATAGAAATTTAACAAAAATTGATATAATAGTCACATAATATATTAATATATAATTTATATAAATTTTGTCACTTGTTTTGTATGTAATTTAATCTCAATTACAATATAATGTATACCAAGTCTTTAAATTCAAAGTATATTTGATAACAATTTTGTACATTTATTTACATATATATATCAAAATTGCTTTGTGTTGTATATTATGTAATTTAAGCAATCAATCAACAATTATTGCTATTTATAATTAGTTTAACAAAATTATTTATAACTATAGTATATATAACTTAATGCTATACTTATCAATAAAATTGATATACTTTTGTATCTATTATTCAGTGATGTAATAAAATGATGTGTTTCTATAGTAACGATTAATTGATTGAATTAAATGAAACAACAAAACTTTGAATCAATTGAATGGTAAGAAATGTCAAACAAATTGAATCGCATTGATTACACTCAAGTAGGACTTACCTCAAGAAACTCATTCAAACTTATCAAATATGGTATCGTTAGTCCCGATAGCGGTTTGTTTGCCGCAGTTGTTGGCGACCATTCGGGTTCTGTCCATTGTTTTACATTCAGACCCGACTCCGCTAATATCGATACTATATTTAAGACACTTCCAGGTTTGGTATAAATAAATTAATGATTGAATAAATTAATTTTATAAATGATATGTTAGGTCCAAATGCAAAGATTAGTTGCATTGAAGTTATCAATAGCTCAAACCCAAGCGGTTCTCCAAAAATTTTGATGGCTATGGGATCTTCAGTTATCAGAGGGTATACTAAAAAAGGCAAACAATTTTTCGGTCTTGAATTAAATAACTTAACGGAACCGATAAAGAGTTTAAAGATGCGGTGGCCAAATGAAATATTCATTACCGGACACTATATTTATAACAATTATATTATCACAGAATCGGACAGTAAAAGTGGTTCCGCCGTTCAGAGCAAAAATTATTACGTCTGTCCGGAAAAAATCATTGATTTGATTCTTATTGAAGACAAACACAATAGGAAAACAGGTTCTGTATGACCATTAAATTGATATCATTTAGACTAATATAATAATTATAGTACCAGTGCTGGCGTGTCAGGACAGACTGTTAAGGGTAATGAAAGATTCCTTGTGTCAGTACGAGCTCGAGATATCAGGAATTCCCAGTGCTTTACTTTGGATGAATTACTCGTCCAATAGTATCAATGAAACATTAATTATCTACGGAACTCTTGATGGAAAGGTAGCCTTAGTTTCAATAGATTTTAATAGAAAACCATTGGAACCGTTGCATAAATGGGAAATACCTGAAAAAGGCTCCCGTTCTTCTGTTACATGCCTTGCAATGGCTGAATCGGCTGCAGAATTATATATTGGTAGATCTGATGGAAATATTGAGGTTTAGATTTTTGTCGTAAATTTTGTCGTTTTTTATTAATTAATTTTTATAATAGATTTGGTCTTTTACTGAAACTTTAAATGAAAGCGGAGAAGAAATGATAGATTTAAGTTTACCACCAATTCTTAGAGATCATCATAACTGTGGTGAAAGTCTGACTTCAGTATTGGTTTGTAATAACGGAAATCTTATTCTTGGATCGACTTTTACGGGAGTTATCTTTGGTTTAACAAGAAATGAAATGATTAACCAAAAGTTAAATCCAAATTATTTATTAATCAGTAAAGATATGGCTTTGAAAATTGAAACGCTTAGGGATGAGTGCGAAAAATTGGAACAAAAATTAGCTCAAGAAAGGGAAAGGTATCAAGAAATGACATCTAAAGGTACTGAAGATATGGATGTTATGGATGTCGGTGTGTCAGCTCTGCCTTACTTTGCGATTAACGACTCGTTTATCCTTCAGGAAGGTATGTAATGAATGATTATATCAGATGATAAAACAAGTGATACTTTCAGATGCATCCTATTTGTTGACTTTGGAGGTTGAGATAGCCATCGATGCAGTAATAATTCAAAGCGATATACTTCTAGATCTAATAGATTGTGAACGTAATTCAGCAGTTATTAGCTTTAATGAGAACATCGGAGGACAGGTTTTGGTGACTTTCAGATGTCAGGCAAATACTACTCGATTGGAGATTAAGATTCGCTCCATTGAAGGTATTTTAGGTGATAGTAGTTTCATATTAGTTTGACAATTGATTTGTCCTAAAGGTCAATACGGCTTATTGCGAGCGTATATCATGACTCGGGTGTCACCAAAATGTGCACAAATAAAGACATACAAAATAAAACCGCTTTCACTTCATAAAAGAAGTTATACTGTTATCGATACTCAATACTTAAATAAATTGACAATTAGTGGTACTTTTAGTCTTAATGAATCTCACACTTGGATTGAACTTTGTATTCCTGAAATACCCGAAAAGATTACCACAACTAATACCAGTTCACTGATTGTCTATAATTTTATCTCGACTTTCACTGAAACATCACTTTTATGTAATTGTGGTAAAGGAGAGATGACTTTCCAATCAGATAACGTTTCGACCATTTCTATAATCAAAGACTTCGTAACACGAGAAGCAACTAAAAGATCGACAGCTATTGAGTTGTCATTTGATATCAAAGAGCAGAGTGTCGGCCATACGTTAAGAAAATTATATCCAAAACTTAAGAGTTTAATTAATATTCGTCACAATAGAGAACTGATGGAAGCGGTTAATGAGCTGAACGTTAGTGACCCTCAGGTCGCACAACAATTAATGAATAAATTGATGGCAAATGAAGAGATAGACAACAAAACAGCTGAAATCAATTTGGAAAGAATTTATGGTATAATTGCTGATCTATTTATCGATTATCACAAACTAAAAGGCGGTTCCCGTTCAGTGGTCTCTGGATTCAAGTCACGTATTAATGAATTGGTAACACTTATCGAGACTTATGTTTCCGATGATTATAACGAACATATATTTGTTGATAAACTCAACCAATTTTGGGGAATTCAGACATTTGTTTAATTTTATTATTATCACAAAAATATTACAAAATTAACAATATATAAAATTAATAATAATTATCAAAACAATCATAAAATTTTCTTTATATTATCAAATAACTAAACTAAAATTAAAATACATTTTTATGCTTTTATTGATACACAAGTATAACAACAACAAAATTTTATTTTAATTAATTTAATTTCTGAGAAATATATGACTTAAATTTAAAATAGTTATAAAATATTTGTAACTCATTTACAATATTGTAACTAATATAGTGTAGATACTAAATATAACTTTTAAAATAAATATATTTATCAACTATACAGTATATAATTTATTATTTCTTTAATTAAATTAAATCGCATTTAGCAACAAATTGTCAACAAAAAGTTTATACAATAGTATTGTCCACTGTATTAATCTTACCGTAGTTGGTATATACGGGTGTAATACCATTACTAAGATAATTATCTACAAAATCAAATCAATACAATTTGGCAATAAATGTGTGGTTGAAATGATAAACAAACAAAAAATGATTGCAACAGACAATCATAAAATAATTTATAAAACAAAATCCAATTAATAGACAATTAATGCTTAAACGCACCGTTAAGTGCAGCCTTTGTTATAAAGCTTTTGAGTGTATTTTCATCCAATTTATTGAAGGCATCGGTCTGTACGACAGCAGTCAAGTGGACTAATGAAAACCGAAAACAGTAGTCCTCAAGACCTTTGGCATCAAACTTAATGGCAGCCGAGTATAGCATCGCCACGTTTTCAACAGTTATACCGTTTCTTATAAGTCTTTCACATTTTTGTTTGAGATCAGTTTCACAATAAGAATTGGCTAAATCTAATAGTCCGATGCCATCCTCGGGCGCTACCGACACATCATCTGTGTAGAGGTATTGAAGAAAAGCACAATAAACAGCATAAGAATATTGAGTCATCTGTTAATAAAAGCAATCAATCAATAAATATCCAAAAATTTGCTAATTATTGGTTATAACGTACTTCGAGCTCATCTTTAGTACTTTCGGCCCAATTATTATCAAACATTAGTCTGAAGTGTTCACATCTTACTCGAAGAATGGCTTTATGAACATAAATAGGTTTATTATCGACAATAAACTTAAAATCACTGGTTTTCTCGTCGTTGAATGCCTGGGAAAGACTGTCGAGAACTCGATTTATAGGACTCATACATAGTTGGACCGATCGGAAAGTTACCGACGGTGTGGCAAATGTTGCCAACACATCATGAGTTGACTGAAAGGGTGTTTCTGTAATTATAAAATCAAATTATATCTGAAGTAACATTTTTTAAATGCTTTGGTAATACCAATTGGTGTAGTAATAGAGTGACCTCTACATTGACCCCACATATAACACTTGCCCTCCTGAGTGATGGAAGCGGATATATGTGTGTAATGAGAGGCAGCAATGTCTATAAATCTGCCCAAATTAGCCGCCACTTTAATCGGTGCAGTTTGATTTGATTTAGAGCCGGTTCCCAACTGTCCATAACTGTTACTACCAAAGGCATAAATAGTACCGTCATCTGAAAGTAACAGTGTGTGTGCGTTACCACAAACTACTTTCTGGATGACCACACCATTTAAATTTGTGACTCTCATTGGGTTTGGTTGATTGGCATTAGTTCCCAAACCCAACTGTCCGTTTCCATTGTAACCCCTTTTAATTAAAAATAATATTAAATCAATTAATGTACTTATTTTCTATAGATGTAATACAATGTACAGACCAACTAAAAACTTCTCCCGAGTCTAACACAGCCATTGAACATATCTGTCCGCAAGCAATGGCCACAACAGTTCGCGACCCAATACCAGCCGTTACTTTGCGAGGAGTCGGTTGATTAGTGGTCGAACCGGAACCGATTTGTCCGCAATTATTCTGACCCCAAGCATACACTTCTCCGTCATCGGTCAACACAAGAGTGTGATATGAACCGCAAAACACGTCAATCACTCGTTTTCCCATCAGATTAGAAGTAACTAAAAGTGGTGTCGAAGAAGGATTTGTATTTCCATTTCCCAACTGTTTTCATATAATTCAAAATAAAAATAATTTACATTTTTGGACACAAATTAAATCAATTTATTTATCACCTGATGATAGGTGTTGTGACCCCACGTGTAGAGTTCACCGCTAGCCGTAAGGGCGCATACGTGCGGACCACTGCCCGCAGCGATCTTTATAATAGCTTTTTTAGCTAAACAATCAATTCTTCGCGGTTCAGGAGAGCCAACAACTTCTCCCAAACCAAGACATAGACTACAATTAGATCCTAAAGCATACACTTCATCGTCTTTGGTCACAATAATGGCCTCATTTCCCGAACAACCAAACACTGAAAACATACGTATGTTTGAGATAAAGGGTTCCCGAAGTAAACTAAATATAAGCCATTTGTCAATTGATCCCATTGTCAGTCTGTCTGTTAATAAAAATTGATAACCAATGGTGTCTTCACTCATATCTGATATCAATTCATCAATTAATTAAATCATTAAACACTAAATCAATACAATTAAAAATATTTGTCATAAGTTGTCAATCACTGGATCAGCTCATTGTCTGTAAAAGTGTCTGCAAATGAGTGTTTGTATACTTGAGTTATTCAATAATAAATTCAATTCAATTGTTTACAAACATTTCAAACACACAAAAGTCCTTTCATTTCATAATAATAATCATTGCATTACATCACTAGTTAATTGAGCGCAATATATAAATATTTATTTGTATAATATATTAATTTAACAACAATTTTACATTTGTATTATACATTATGTATAAATTATTCACATTTTGATAAAATAAAATAATTATTAATAAAGAAATTTACAACTATTTTAGAGATCAACAATTAAAAATAATTTCCTATATATACAGTATAACCAATTTATTTAAAAGTTGATCTCAACTATTATAAAATTATTGTCATGAATTTTGACAATTTTCTAGAATAATTAATTAACCTGGATATATTATAATACACAATTTTATAATATTATAATATATCAACACAAATAAAATATTATTAACTAATTATTGAGGTATATATTACTAAAATAACAAATTTGTTGTTTTCATCAAAACATTTACATATGAAAATATTAGCCGTAAATTATCATAGTATGCATTAACTGATAATTGTTATGACAGACAAACCAATTTGCAGTATATATTGTATATATATATTATATGAAAATGATTTCACTTTTTAGTATTACTAAAATGTATTAATTATAAAAAATAACTAAATTATATATTAAGGCAATTGTTTTAATTTGAGTGACATATCAGCCAACTGTCTCTTTAATGACTCGATTTCGTTATTTTTATCTAAAACTTCTTTACATTTAAGATTCAAAAGATTTTCCAAATCTTTGATTTTGTTGTCTTTAGCGGCCATTTCATTAATAATACTTTTATTCTGTTCCTCGATGTGTCTAATTATCATTTGTTCTTCACTCATGAATAGTGATGAATGTAATACTTGTGTAGCATTTGGTCTGAGAGTTGGATTAATATGAGTCAAATCACAAATTATTTTAACCACATTTGGATAAAATTTAGTCAAACTTTTGGGTAAAATCTGTTTTTTGGTTATATTGTTAACACATTTAATTTTTTCCATATCAGTTGAAAGCGGGTAAAAAAGTTCAAACAAAATGATACCTAAACTAAATAAATCAGTTTTGTTGTCATAACTGAGCTGCGATTTTCTCACTTTTTGTTCCGGTGCCGCATATATTGATGTTCCTATACCTGCCGTGTGATCGTTAATGCAGACATTGTCACCTGTACTCTGTTTAAAGATATCTAAAGAGATCTCATCCTTATCTAAACTGTTATGAAGTGTAGCCAAACCAAAGTCACCGATCTTTACTTGTGAACCATTGATACTAAATAATATATTTTGTGGTTTAAGATCTCTATGTATTAAATGTTGTGAATGAATATATTCAACGCCTTTGAGAATTTGGCGAAATATATTTTTTGCTGTTTTAATATCATCGTCATTAAGGATATATTCATTGATATTTTTATCAAACTTTTTAAATGTCCGATCATTACGATCCCTAAGCCATGATTTTAGATTCATTCCGCATAATTCCATTTGTATGTAAAGAATTGCACCGAATTGGGAACAGGCTATGGGACAGACATTTGACGATTTGTTATTACATTGTATTTGAGGCACTTCTCCATTGCTATACATTTCCAGTTTATTACAATCTTTGCAATTAACGCCTCTATCACTCTGTGATGTCGTCGAACTAATTGATAAAGTCTTGCGTTTGACTATTGATTGTCTAATTGTAGTCATATCTCCAAATGACTTATTGAGACTATCCATTGAATCATCGCTAGTAAATTCATCATCTTCTTCGTCATCTTCCTCTTCATCGTCTTCATCATTATCGTTGTCTTCATTATCATCTTTGTCTTCATTATCATCTTTGTCTTCATTATTATCTTTGTCTTCATTATTAAATTGTTTCAATTCATTTATCAAATTAGTTTCAATGATCTGTTTATTTGATGATTGAATATGTAAACCACTTTTTGATGAATATTCAAAACAAATGGAAACTTCGTTTTCAGTTTTTCGAGAATTGACAACAAAATCTTCATCAAAAGCATCCATTTGTTCGTTAATTTTATTGCTTTTACTAATTTTTAAATGTTTCTTCAGTGGAATCTTTTCTCGATGAAGACACCAATTTTCAAGCCATGCAGTCTTATAGGCGACAACATTGGGATGTGTCGGCAGATTTGCGTAGAGTTGAACTTCTCGAGTAATCTTTTTAAAGTCGGTATCATTTTTGTACTTAAATCTAATCATTTTAACCGCATATTCGCAGTCATCAAACCTATACTTTGCTCTGTTAACGGTTCCAAAGCCTCCTTCTTCAATAAGACCCAAATCAATAAACTCTTTGTTATAACGACTCGAGTCTTCAATCAGATGCGGACTATCAATAAAAGGTGTCGAAGAAGTGGACGAGAGATAGAGTGGGTTGTCTTCAGCTTTAATTTGTTGTACAATTTGATTGAATTTAATAATAACAAACTCACGAATCGGATGCAGCGAATCGTTGGTAAATGAGTTACCGATAATCTTCAGATCTTGCAATCGGTGACAAAGTTTATGAAACAGTTGTTTCTGTTTGTGTTTATCGGACTCATTATATCCACAGAAATTCCAAATCAATGATTCAATCAACAGAAAAGTCGGCGCCTGTCGTCTCAACAGCGCTTCCGTTGCCCTAAACTCTGACCTTTTGTTTGCCGATTGGTTGCGACCATTGCTTGTTTGTGCCACACTTCGGTTGGCAATTAAATTGGTCATTGCGTTGCCGTCGACCACATCCATGCCATCGCTGGCGTCAAACTCAAGAATAGGCTGTAAGTTAGGCATCGACTCAAAGACAACATTATTGTTATTATTGATAATCAACTCATTGTTGACATTATTGTCGTTAAAATTATTGAGAAATACATTCACTTTTCGTTCACTACTTTTGCGACCAAAGCTATGGTTAAGAGTTGGACTCATTTGTCATAAATTCAATGATAATTATCACTAAATTATGTCTTAATTATGTTTTCAATAATAAAAGTCAATGTATTGTAAACTCAATGCAATAGTCTTTACAAACGTTAGAATATGTTGTTTATCACGTGATTTCAATGTTTATTACTATAGCCTATAGTGTATTAGGTATTAGTGTTCGGGTAAATTGATTTTTTTCCCAAACGTTCCCTATTTTCCCTATTCCCAGGAATTCCTATGGAATCTATTTCCTTTGACTACAAGTACTACATATTATAAGATTTGAATAATAAATGTATTTAATTGTATTTTGTGTATACATAGGAAGTCAATCCAATAATGTTTGACTCATGTAAACCTATGTTAGAACCAATAAAAATAGACAATTACTTTACAATATAGCAAATTAATGTTTAAATGATTAAAATTAAAAAAGTGAATAATATACTAAAGTATATAATAGTATATACAGTAATAGTTGCAATGCACTGCATTAACTAAAATAACAATCACATACAACAATATATTAATATTATATATTCATAAAAAGATTAATCAAATTATTTCTCTCATAAAATGCCTCCAATTTTCACTTTTTTGATCGTTAGAAATGAAAAATATATTTTATATTACAATAAATAGTAAAATATCAAAACTAATATTTTGCATAAAATTTCATTGAAACTATAATTCAATAAATGTATTGATACTATACTATAAATATTTAAAATACCACTCTATATCCAGATTGACATAACATTTATTTGTCAAACATAAAAATAAAATATTTTTAAGGTTCATAGGAGGAAATAGATTTCCTGGAAATTCCCAGAGAACAAGGAATATAAGGTTTTTTAGTTATAAATCGAGGGATAAAATTTGATCGAACCCTAATTAATATTAATGAGAGTTTAGTCAATTGATTTTCAATCAAAATAATTATGATTTGCATATTTTATGACTTATATGCCATAATAATGATTACTACCAAACATAATATAAAAATGCAATTTTTAATATTTTATAATAATTTTAAAAATATTTTATCGATTAAAATTATAATTATTTTTTAGGAAATGTGATTATTAATTTATAGACTATTAATTTGTACTAAAGTCTAGATCTAGAGTCTAGAGTATTAATTATAAATTTATATTTTAACATTTACTATATTGTAAAGTATTTAAATATTAAATAGCAAAATGTTATTTTTAGATATTTAAAGCTAAGATTTATATTATTTTTAAAATTATATTAAACAGTACTTTGTATGTGTACTTTGCATACTATGTACTACATAGTATGTACTATATATAGAGTTCGGGCAACTTCCTAATGGAGGGAAGTTCCCAAATGAAATCCATATAATGGATAATATTTTAGTTTTCCTCTATTCATCGTTAGGAAGAAAATTATATTTTATATATTTCAATAAATAGCAATCTATTAATTAAATTGATAAATAAATTAGTCATTTTTATAAATATTTAATGTTAACAAGTTATACAAAGAATAATTTTATTCATTAAATACATATCATTTAATTAATAAGTTATATAAGATATAATCATTTGCTAATTAATAACAATAATTAATAAGTTTATTAGTAAAATAATGTATTATTTAATTTTAATGAACACTAATGATATTGTTTTAATCTATAATTATAATATAAATGCTATATATAGTATATGATGCTATTGATACTATATTATTGAACTTAAATAACTAACAAATAAATTAATTGCCGTAAATATACAATATATTGTTAATTTATTTGAATAAATTTAACTTGAATATCAATACATAGATTATTTTAAATATTTTTTTAATTAAACTTTAAAGTCAACAACACTTGAGTGATTATTATATTAAATATAGCTAAAATAAACTGACAAAATTTCGATTAACAATATGATTAACATTTAAATAATAAATAAATGTGGATTATTCTTGAATCTGAATAAAAAATTATCTGATAGTTTAAATATTTTTATGATATTGTAAATTACAATTAGTAATATCTAATATAATATTTAAATGTATTAACTACAGTACATAACATATAAATAATATAATTTTATATACTGTATATACTGTGTGTATACCGGTATATATAATATAATAATTAATAATATTAATATTTAAAGTGTTTAATTGTCGCCAATTCTGATAATAGCTGTATTCAAACAATTAACATCGGCTTTAATTTTTTGTCCAAATTCTTGTAATTTGTTGATTGAGTCAATAATATGTACGGAATCGGTGAACGCATCGTAACGTATTTCATAACGTCGGGCCAGTTTGGTCTGAACGTAATGTCTTCAATGATAATAACATTAATAAACAATATATTGATTTAAAAATTTAAACAAAAACTGATAACAAACTTAAACTTATCCTTTGCATCTGCAAAGCTTTCGGCCACATAATAGATGTCTTGATAGTCAACGTCTTGATACGGCTGAACGGCTGTCTTCTGCGGTTCAAATGATCTTAACTCTGGTTTGTCTGACAACGAATGCTTAAGTTCACCATAAGATGACAAAAGTCCGGCACCGTATGCCTTAATTTCGCCATTTTCTTTGCACAAACCAAATTCAACAGTAAACCAATACAACTAAAAAATTGATAATCAAATATCAATTAAACTGATTGTAAATAATCAAATAGTTTAATACTGTCGCAAATTTTTCAATTTCCTCGTCGGATGCGCCCAAAGAGGACAAACCTATATCTTGCGAGAATTGGGCAAATGCTATAAAAAAATGTTAATTTTGTTATTTTAATTCAAACGGATATTTTATTTGATTTAATATAGTATGACATACTAGGATCGGCCAATATAGGAACGTGACCTATTAGCTCATGTATGCAATCACTATTGTTTTAAGAAATAGTAACTTTTTTTTTGTTAATATGAAATACAACAAAATAAAATATGAGAAAACATACGGTTCCGGTGAATGGTGTGGATTAGACTCATGTCTTAAATATTGTGTCGTCTGAAACACGCGAAACGCAAGACTCGCCAAAAAGTCGCGAGCGGTTAACAGTCCTGCAGCCGGACGTAATGTAAATCCTGTTCGTCCTATAATTTAATTAAAATTAAATAAAGCATTTGAATAATAAATTTATTTATTTATAACAATAATGTTATAAACACTACTTTTAAGAAATAATGAGATGTCTTGTAGTTGAGGAATATTGTCGGCCGCATAACCACATTCTTTCTCAAGAAGTTTCAACACATCGACGTGTGTCTGACACGCATGAGATTCAAACAAACGTCTCAATTCTTTATACACTTCTCCCCTAATTTGTGATTATTTTATTAATAATAATAAAACTTTGTATAAAAAATATTAATGAATACCAGGTTTTTATTTCGCTCTCAGTATATGTCACTCGAGGTATTGCTTCTCCACTAATATTTTTATGTTAATTATGTTTATTATCAATTATTTTCAATCAAAACAATTACAATAAATACTTACTATTTATAATTAAAAGCAATGTCTGCGATCTGTTTTCTTCTTTCTCTATAAGTTTTATCTAGAAATCCCTATTTTATGAAATTTTTTAATTTAAATTATACAGTAATATACATAAATAAAAGTATTGATTAACAAATGTTAGGCCCTATTAATCAAAAATATATCCAACCGGATGATCGCTATCCAAATCTGGTTCATATTTAGCAATAATATGAGTGCACTGATCCAATTCACTAATATGTCGCGGAAACCATGGATCTAATAAATTTGATGGTTAATCATAAAAGTTATTAATCAAAAAATGTTTGCTAATTATGTTAATTATAATTCAAACCTTTAACACTAATATGTTTTTCTCTAAGTAGAGTCATATCAACCAAACTGTTTTGTCTCATTGACTTTATTAGATGTAAGAGACCATTGCTTGATATCTTAAGACTTACAAACAAATCTATATTTGATTTATTATCCAATGATTTCCTACTTTCCAAGTGATCTACATTTCCTTTACAAGCCTTTCATTAGTATATTTAAAATAATTAAATTAAAAAATTTATTGCAATAAAAATCAAAATATTTTTTAAACAAAATATTGTATAAATACCTCAATAATTCTGATAATTTTAGGCAAATTAGAAAAACCGCCGTCTTTTAAATTAATTAATATATTTGATGTCTTAGGTGTGGATAAGTCATCACTTTCAGTAGTTTCACTAACAATAAGTACCTATCAATTAAACAATTAATGTTTTAAAATCTAATATCCACTAAAAATTTTATTAAAAATAAAAATAGTTTTATATAAATTTATAAATTAAAAAACAACCTCTTCTTCAGAGAGTTGATTATCTTGAGATCCGTGTCGACTCTCTTCCAGCCAATTGAGTTTCGCTTCTTTATTCTTAACGGTCTCAAACTTGGCGTCCCCTACAAGTGACCGACGACGAGATGGGTATCCATGCTATCAAATAATATATATTAACGATTGTTATCATTAATTAATTATATTTATGACGATATCAATATTTTTCTAATTTTAGATATATTTGTCATTTAAAATAAAATTTTGTTTAACTGTAAATTAAATAAGTAAAAGGTTTGTAATCTTTGAATTAATAGACAAATAATAGTCATTAATAACAGTTTTCAGCTGAGAATAACATTTTAGTTATACAGTAATAATATTGCATTTAATTCAGTGTTCACTGATTCGCATCAAATGATCTGTTTCTTAGTAAAAGTGCACCTGTTTTGGACATAACTGATGTATATTAATATTAAAACATTAAATTTAATGTATTTGATAAATAAATAAAACAAAAGGACTAAAATAATGCTAACAATCAATTTGTTTGTTTTTTGTTTTTATTAAACTAAACAATTTGTTTATGATATTAATATAATAAAAAATCATAAAATTATAATCTTATATTAATATTAATAAATAATCAAATCAGTGCATCACTTGCTTTCAATTACTTGATTTTTATACAGAAAGCCTATATTTATATAAAAAGTCTATATTTATAGTCTGTTGAGTGCCGACTAAAGCAGATATAATGGCAATACTTTGAGTCTTGTGGTAAAAGAGTCTTTCCTTCCTTCCGATGACTTTTCCTTTTGATCTCTAAGCGTATTAATGATGAGTTTCAAAATCAGTCCTAAATGACAATCGGTTTACTCTTTTTCTCTACACTTTTATTATAACTTTAAAGTAACGTCCTATTCATAGATTGATGCCATTGTGTTTTCAATGTATTGTTAGATAGATTAAAGTCAATAAAGGCTAATGTAGTTATTATAACAGTATTTCATTCATATTGTGATTGTTATGAATACTCAATCTTTAATCAAAACAAGTATTACAATTGAATTCAATTTATTTTGAACTCATAATCCAATTTATGGTATGAGTGGGCAATCGATGAGTTGCTATTAATACTATAGTATAATGTAATGACTATAACGGTATTACCATTTATTCATAACTATCATATCCTTGGCTATCGTAAAGCAATTGAAAATATCTCGATTTTAATTTAAATGATTGTAATTTATATAAATTGTAAATAATAGTCAGTATACTTTATTATAATTATTTTAAAGGTCACAAATGTCAATATCATTCACTGTATTTATGCCTCATTTGTTTATCCTCCACCTATATACAGTATGCCGGGTATATATACTGTATAAACTAAATATTGATATAGTAATCATCTATCATATATTAATTTTATAAAAATAGTGTTTATACAAACTTTCAAATACCTGTTTCCGTTTCATATATAACAGGAATTTAATGTAAAATCATTGAATAATTTGTATACAAACAGTTTAGTTAATTGATTAATACATAATTTTATAGTTAGAGTAAAATTCAAGAATTAAAGAATAATATGATCTATATATAAATATACTGTACATACATGTGATATAATTTTATAAATGATATCAACATAATATTATATTTGTATGATATGTACACCTTATTTAGTAATAAAATTATAATTTATGCCACTTAACTAAACAAATTAACTATATTAAATACTTAAAATCCTATTCAAATTTTTATTAAAAATTAAATAACATTTATTAAACTACTAATTTATTAAAAGAATTAAATTCTTTTATTGAATCTAATTTAAGTGATTAAAAATAAATTAAATCCATAATTATTTAAAATTTTACTTAAATTATTAATATAATATATATTTTTTTTATAAATAATGAGTAGTGACTTTATGTACTGTATATGTAAATCTTTGTATTTTAACTTTTTAATTGAATTATTTTTATTAAAATATTTGTTAAAAATATACATGTGATTATATGTGATAACAATTCTAACTACTGTTTGTTTTAATTTGTTATAATTAACTACTGTATAAACTAAGTTATAAACTAATTTGAATTTTTAATGTAATTTACAGTAAATAAACGTATATATATAAATGTTTTAAAGCTATAATTGATAATTATTACATAATTTCAAAATATGTTATTATATGTGAAAAAAATTCTGTCAAAATAATTATATTTTAAATGATATAAATATCTAATTATTAGACTAATATCTTTTATCACTGAAAAATAAGTTATTTATGAATAAATGCTTCATTAATGAGTTACTATAATTATATTTCATAATTTATTATAATGTATTTAATATTTTATAAATTTAAAATAATAAATATTATTTTTAAAAATATAATGACTTGTAAAATTTGAAATATTTGCATATTGTTTATGTTTATATGTAAATTACAGTATATTATATAAATCATTTTATATTTAATAAAATCTAAAGTAATTAAACTTAAAAATAAACATAATGCTATTTTTGGTGTGAATAATCAATAATACTGTATAAAAATTCGTATAAATTAAATAATAAATTAAAATTAAATTTTTTATTGTAAATAATTATCATAAAAACAATTACATAAATTAGATAAAATTTATAATAACTAATCTTTAATATACATATAACTGAATCAAAAAATACATACTTCAACGCTATAACTTTTGATAGCAAACTTTGCTCTATTAGATGATGCCATTGAAGTGACCGTAACTTTATTTAGCAGATAATTCATAAACATTATAATAACTGAATCAATGGTAACACTGTTTGTCATTGAATGCAAACTTTTATGTCAACCACTTGTTGTTATAAATGACAGAATTATATTAGTTTTTGCAGACAATTCTGGTATCGATTCAACATATTCTGTGTCAACTAATCGCCATCTTTTGTCAACTATTTATATATATATATAGTGTATAATATACATGTGTACAATATATAACTACATTATACTGTATATATATATATACTGTATATATAGTGTAGTTATATATATATTGTAGTTATATATATATTGTAGTTATATATATATATTGTAGTTATATACGGTATATATTGTATAATATATACAATAAAGTATGAATTTTAATATAAATCATATAAAAATCAATTTCATTATAGTTATTGACTCAACGGGGTATAGATTGTGATATGTACTGGTACTCGCAATTGAAAGAGACGCATTTTATATATAATAAAGTAACTTTGTTTTTGTGTGACCCATGTGTTATCTACAAATTGTATTTTTTTACAATTAAGTAAAATCATCATTAGTCTATAATTGTCTTATTCAAGATTTTTGATAAATCTTTTTATTAATCTTTTACATGGGTTAAAGTCACATGACGTCTAAGGCAGATATACCATAAAAAACATATATTGTCCTGTAATTATAGAAACAATGGCCGACAAAAATATTAATAGAATATATTCTAAAGCCTTATGTGTGAAGACTTGTCAGACATAATAAAAAAACTAAAAAGATGAATGATTAGATGTGGAAGACAAAAAAAGTTCATAAAAAATATCAAAAGTTAAAATCGAAAATTTGTATGAATTTATAAAAATATTTCACAAGTTTTCTTGAAAATAAATAAAAGAGATATTATATTTTTATTTATTAAATACTAAATAACATTTGCCAACAATTTTCGAAAGATATGTATAATATCTCTAAGTACTATCTACTTTTACTTCTTATCTATGGGCTACATATGCAAAAATATAGCAATTATTATTTTAATATCAAATAATAACGGATTTATAAAATGAAATTAAACCTTTTATATATCATTATATTCAACATATATTGCTTTGTCAAATTACTATTTGCTTTGATTAATCTAACACTTCTTTGAGTGTAAAAAATCAAAATTTGTGAAGGGGTCCAAAATGGTAATCGAAGGGGTTTTCGATTTAAAATCATAAGAAGTGGTTTACTGAAGATATTCAAAATTATCATAACAAATGAAGAGATATTATAGAATCAAATGACATATAAATAATTAATTAAACTTCAATAACTTTTTAAAAAAATTAATTTAAAAATGTAGTTATGAATGCGTCTCTTATAATTGCGATCCCTAGTATATCATGTCTGCACTCAATTGTTAGTTTAAAAAATATCTAATCTACACTCAAATCCATTTAAATTATATAATTATTCATATACTTTAATAATCTACAATTTAAGACAAATTGCCATCCATTATATATACCGGTATATACTATATATAGATGAAACAAATCATACCCAACTGTACCCTTTATAGTTGGTTATGTCAATATAATTAAATTCATTAAAATAACGATATTTTATATTAAATAAAAATACAACAAAATTCAGTTAAAAATTGTTTATTTTCCAAATTCATTACTATAATCAATAGTAACTTTTATTAGTCATTAACATTATTTGCTTATGTAGTCCAATCAGTAGTCTGTGCGCCCCAATCATCAACCACTTGATTGTTCCATTGTTCATCAACCTGACCGGTCCATTGTTCAGGTTGTCCACCACTGATGGTAGGTATCTGCGGTTCAGTTGTTTCAGCCTCAGCGGGAGTGTTATCAGTGGCCCAATTTTCAGTGCTGAACTGTTCGGGAGCTTCGCTTTTAACTGGACGGTCGGGAACGAGAGCAACCTGTTCTTCCTTCTCTTGTTCTTCAGTGTCACGAAAGAAGTAAAGATCAACCATTACTTTCCAGGGAGTTTCGCGACTAATTGATCCACGAAGACGAAGTACTTCTCTGGCCAACAGCCACCACATAAGACCGATAGAGTGCGGGGCCTTATTGTTGCCGGGAATAGCAATGTCCACATAACGGAGCGGCGAATCTGTATTACAGAATGCTATGACCGGAATGTTCACATACGAAGCCTCAGTAATCGGTTGGTGATCAATACGGGGATCAGTAATAATCAGTAGTCGCGGCTCACGAAAAGCGGCCTGAATTTGATTGGTAAAAGTTCCGGGAGTAAAACGGCCAGCAATCGGAGTGGCGCCAGTAGCCGAAGCAAACTTTAGGACAGCTCGTTGACCGTAAGGTCGGCTCGATATAACACACACGTCAGCCGGGTTTTCGACGGCCACAATAGCCCGAGCGGCCAATAATAGCTTCTCCCATGTTTTGCGCAAATTAACGATATAAACACCTGTTTTAAAAAAAACAATTATTGAAAAAACAATAATCATATCAATACATGTCATACCATCTCCACGTCTCTTAAAGACATACTGTTCCATCTGAAAGTCCATATTATTGGAACCGATGTGTGTATTACATGACAAAAACTTTGCCACGTCTTCCTGTTTCAGAGCTAATACACCCAAACCTCCCGACATCTTGACGTCAACTTATCTTTAGTAACAATTAAGTCAACCTATGATATAACCGGTTAAAGACATTCAAACATCAAATTAATTGGTTTACTATCATCTAATAAATATCTAATTGTGACAATTAATAGTATAACTCAAATAAATTAATTTAAATATAATTAAAAGTTGATTTAGTCGTCAATTGATTTAATTAAATCAAATTTAAAGACACTTACCGTAAATATAATGCCAATTGAGAGACACGAGTGATAGGAAAGGGAAGTCAATGTCTAATACATTGACTATTAATATAACAATACTGTCTGTTATACAACAATAACGTCCATTCAATTCAATAATAATATCATTTGTAGATTTTGACAAACAGTTTGCAAAATACGTTACAAAAGTTTTGATAAATTATTATAAATTTAGATTAAATTTAATTGTAATGTATAGGCAATTAAATATTTAAATTGATTATTATTATTCAATTAAAAATAAGTGGCTTTAACCACAACTATTATTAAATTACATAAAAATTAATTAAGAAATACCTATTTGCTTATTATAACTAATTTTTTATTATTACATAATACTAATGTACTAATGGATAATCAAATATACAGGTATTAATAAAATAGTATTTTATTGACAAAAATTAAACGAATATTTTTGAAAAATTAAAATCTAAAAAATCTAATTTTTAATTCAATTACATTTAATTATTTGTATCATTTAATTGATACTTATTAGGTATGATATAAACATTTGATTTTATTAAAAATTATGTAAATTTTTAATAATAATTTTTGATAATGATTTAGTAAAAATAAAATTTAAAAACTATATGTAATTAGAAATGTAATATTGTATATATCATACATTATTTTTAATAATTAAGCATGCTCAATCATTATTGATTATTTGGATTGATATTTCATTAATTTTTTATATCATTTTATTGATAAAAATATATTTAAAATATGTATAAAAATGCATTTAGTTTTACTTTAATAATTATTATAAATTACATTACATTCAAAAAATATTTAAAACACCACTTCTTACTACATGTCTGTATATAATAGCTGATTGTATGTGCGGTACTGTTATTGTTGTGTCTGTCCCTCCCATACCTCCCATACCTCCTATCCCTCTCATGTCTCTCATATATTGCCTCTCTTTCTCATTGAATGATTGTTTTCATTAGTGAAAGTCTCATCAATTGAAATAAATAATAAAAAATGCATTAAAAGTATTTAAACAAAACAATAATAATTGACTTAAATTTTAATATTAATATCATATGATATAAGCAATAGTTGTCAACAAAACACATGAGACTGTGTTTGGCATACATTTGAAGCAATGTTTTGATGTGATTGTCAACTATAGTGACAATAATAATGCCATTACTAATCAATGGTGTGATTATCACTGATGTTCCCAATGATATCAATTCATTATTCAATAATTATCCACAACTTGAGGTAATTAAACAACTATTAAAATGTCAATTAATTGATGCATTTAATTGACAGGAATCGAGTTTACGGTTGGTATCACTTGATCCCAAAGTGGTCAGTCCGGTAGCACTGGTATATGTGTGTCAGCGGGAGTACGCCATTGTGTCACCACATGATAGTTAGTCTTAATATTACAATTGACAGATGAATGACATTATTGACATGTTTTATGTTTGACATACAGAGAGCATCAGTATTGTGGGCACAGATGACACAACCACTTGTTGTATGGCTGTATTAAGACATTCAACCAGTGGTGTCACTTCATTGGCTCATTTTGATGGATCAGCTCCACAATCAACGAACAAATATATTGAAAATATGATTAAAAGAATGGAAGAAATGAATATCTCTGTCGGTATTAGCGACGGCCGCTTTGAACTGCATCTCATCGGTGGCTTCAATGACTCCCGACATTATTCCGAGGATTTAGTCCTTAAATTGCTTTGTAAGCCATTGTCCTTTAAAATAGTAGTCATTTAAACATTTTATTTTTGATCATTAGGTGCATATCACAGACAAACAATTAATATTGAATTAGTGACGGCCTGTGTGTGTAAATTAAATAATACTATAAGAAATAATATCAATTGGCCAGTGATTTATGGAATTGCAGTCAATGTCAAAACGGGTGACATATTTCCGGCCACTTTTACCGACAAAGGGCCAGATATACCATTAAGAAGTGCACGATATTATACGGGTTGTCATGAAATGCTAGATATCTATGATTCAAATATGAGTTTATTACGGATCGGACCATTCAATTACAGTCCTATGAGAGGCGTAGACCTATGGCTACAACAAAGTGATGAGTTTATACTTCAAGTAAAATTTCATAAAATTAAAAAAAAAATTAAAAGAAATTAATGCGTTTTTATTTGATATATTTAGCATTTGTCGACATCACCTGAAGTGGAACCTCCAAACTTTGTGATGAGCGCGAGGACTACCCTTAAGTTTATACAAAAGAATCCCTTTCCTGGAGTCACTATATTTGCTGATAACAGACCCCGTTATTATCGAAAAGATGATCTGACCGGTCAATGGCTTCCTATTTGCTATTAATAATATCTGTTAAGTTAATGATATCCACAAATTGTATACAAAGATAATATTATAATTTTTATCTATAGCCTATCATATGATCTCTCATATCTTTTTTATTATTTCCATTACGGTAATTATTAAAATGATTAATTAATTACCATTATTACAGTAATCAATAATCATTTGCTTATTATTATTAATTTGACTTTAATTTTATGATGCGTTTAGTAAATTAAGCTGAATTGATATACAGTACTACCGAAAATCTCCCGGTAATAGAAACTACATTTAAAATATCGTCCATTAATTGATTTTATTCGACATAAATAGTGCAATGAGTTAAATATTATCGCAATTTAACATTTGTTAATTGCATTGATTCATTAAAATGACTTATTTTCTATAATATTTTGTGCCATTTAGATGCAAATAATATACTGTATAATGTAGTTCCTTATAAACTTATCATGCTTATTTATGAACAATATTGTTATCATATTGTAATAATTGAGGGAAAAATATTTTTAAAATAAAATCGACAAATATTTTAATTATAGAAATGTGATTTTTGTTAGTTTCTTGAATTAAAAACCGCAATACTATGAATACAAATTTCATGTGAATATATTTTACTAAATTATTACTTTATGTATCGTCTTAACTGACATAGAGTTGTATGCAATTACAATATATCTAAATTTAAGTAAAATTGACATGGCTAAATATAATAATTATTGCATCCGACACTATGTCAGTTAAGATACTAATAAGTGCCTTATATATTATTTGATAAATAAATATATAACTTATTTGTTAATCTTTAATTAATAACGATTATTACATTAACGGTAATATAATTTTTTAAATATATAAATACTGTATTTTATTACAATAAAAATTAAATATATTTATAAATTATTTACAAAAAAACTGTTTTAAATATTTTTAGTAATTTCTAGCAAATGAATAGTAGATTTTGACGACAGATTATCTTTAGCCACACATTCATTATCGGTCTCGAAGTCGGAAAGACTTATGTAATGACATTTTAAGTGCCATTGATTGAGAAGACATTCAATACTCCATTCGCTATCCCTTTCCTGATATGTTGTATAAAATACAGTTCCTTTAGTCTGATGTTTATCCATAAGAAATGATACCGAACTCAATATGTCTTCAAAATCTTTTTCATTATAAAAACAGTCCGAACTTATAATGTAATCAAATGATGGCATTTGTATCACTTGTTCATCAAAGTGACCCCAAGTTAATGGTAGTATAGCTGTAATATTGTCGTTGACTCCGTTGATATCAACATTTTGTTGACACAGTTGAAGACATTGAGGATATTGATGTGAATCGGTAAGTACGACAAGTGCTCCAATTTTGGCAGCAACTATGCCCACCATACCAGTGCCACTACCCAACTCTATTATACGTTTCCCATTGAATTTACTACTAAATGTACACAAATACAGTATAAAAGTTTATTTTACTAAATGAAACTTAACGTAACATTCATTGAGATATAAATATAGTTAATGAGGATGTAGTGACTCGTCAATGAATTTAAGGAATTTATATATTTTGCTATCATTTACCACATGATATTTTTTTGTATATATTTATGTTTAATAAATATCTAAAAGTTTATTTTTCATGTTTAATAAGTAGGAGACCTTAATATATAACAAAATTTTGTTTTGATTTAAATCGAGACATAAAAACATTTAATATAATAATAAAAATAAGAAACGATAAGCATTTTAATCAAAGAATTCAACGAATAAATGAATTAACGAATTATGTTATAAATGCTTACAAATGCTATAAAAGTTATGTTAAGTTTGAAAACTACAAGAACTGCAATACTATTCATAGGATTACTAAACACTTGATATTACAATACAATACAATATTAACTTTCTATAAATAAACTACTTTTCAAACAATGTCTCAAATTGTTATTTTTGAAGACTAGTCTCAAGTTTTCAATTAAATTATTTGCTTTAATTGAATTGCAAAATAATTAAATCAATTTTATAGATTTTATAATAAATTTATAAAAATTATTATAATTATTTAATACAATATTATTATCAATAAATCATTAATATTCTTACAGATCACTAATATATGCAAATATATGATAGCATTAAAAATAATATTATATTAATAATTACCGATAATATGAGATAAATTGTGCCAAAATGGGTGCCGACGGCCACACATGATATCCATAATTAATTGAGTATTTCTGATATTTTATTAATTATTAAATACTATAACTAAACTCAATTAATATGATATATCATACAAACTATACCTCATTAATGATAATAGTAAACTGTCCATGGTCATTATCTGGATATTTATATTGAACGCAACAATCACTTGTTAATTCAATGGATGACTGCATAACTAAATTACTATTAATTTATTATAAATTAATATTTATATATATCTATACTTTAAAAATATAATGCATTCAAAACTGTATTTAATATTATATATTATTTTAAATACATATATTTATTTTAAATTAATACATATAAAATATAAATATTTAGGTTATATTTATGTATTAATAAAATGCTAAATATAAAAACATTTATAATTTAATATTTATTAAATAAATAATTTTTAATAATTTAAAAATATTTGTGATTCAAATGATTCACATGTTTATCATTTTTAAGAAACATTTTCAACATTTGGTTTTGAAAATAGCGCTATTTTTGAAAATTTATAACTTATAGTATAATCACAATTTAGGTATTATATGATATTATATAATACAGGTATATATAGTATTACAATTATTTTAATTATTTATTATAATTTAAAAGATAAATTATGACAATAATATAATCGTCATTGATAAATTATTGTAAATCACAATGATAATATTATTATATGAGTTAATTAGAATTATTGATAGTAAATGATTTGAATCAAATAATTAAATTTAATTACTTAATAATATAATTAATAATTAATTAATAATATAATTAATAATATAATGATCAAATTATTAAATATTGTATTAAGATATAATCAAAAAATTGACATTTCGCTAAAATTTTTAGTATGTTTCAAATTTTTAGCTGTTTTTTACATTATATAAAACTATAAAAGACAATAAATTTTCTTTAATGTGATTTGTCTTTAAACAAATAAATTATAATTGAAATATTAGAAAATTTAAGTTATATAAAGTGTTTATAGTTTACTTTATATAAACATACATTACTTTTAAATAGTATATTAATAAATTGTCAATCAATTTTATACAAGTTAATTTTTTATCAATTTATTTTTAACAGAAGACATATATTAATATAGTAATAATAATAATTTTTATAATTTATAATTTATTAAATAATTGATGAGATTATTAAATTAGATATTTTAAAATACACATACTTTTTGTAAATTTCGTGTATTACAAGTATTTTAATACCTATTCCGGTTGTATTTAAATTAAGAGTCGGCTATATTTACAAAATAATAGATGATTTCTCTTATTTGTTAAGTTTTCATTACTTGACTCTACATGTATGGCATTTTTTAAATAAAAGGATTGTATGTTATTAGGAATATAAGGAATTGGATGGCAAGTATTTTTTGAGTTTATTTTTATAAATAATTCCAGTAATTATCAAACAATGATTTTTAGATAATATATTTATAAATATTTAATGTTGCTTGAACATATTTAGTTCTTTGCATATTTTTGAGTATATCAAAAATTTACTAATTTTACTGTAATTAATTTTTGCATATAAATTTTATTATAATTTAAGTTTTTAAATACAATTTTTATATAAAATATTTGTCTTATATAATAGTCAATATACAGTATGTTTTAATGTTAATATAATATAAAAGCGAAATCTAAAAATAATTTTCACGCACTTGTGGGACAAACGCTTAGTATAGATGATAGTATCTGCGCTCTCGAAGACATTCGTGTACAAGGAATGGGATCCATATAAGGATGTGCTGTACGATTGAAGACATGCACAGATCATAAAGCAATCTAAGAGCAAATGCTAAACCCGTTATTATATGAATAGACATAAATACCATTCTTTAGTTGTCTTTAACTGATTTACTTCTCTGAACTACACTTCTGTTTGTGAAATCAATTATTTGTGTAGTTTTGTGTGAATATCGGCTAAAATATCGGCTAAAACATGGCTGAAGATCCCGATCCATCACAATATCTTATTGTGACATTAGAGCAGAAGAGGAAGGACCAGACCAAGCCTTACGATGGAAAGAAAATGGTTTGGGTTCCCGACGAAAAAGAGTGCTATCTTTTGGGTAATATCTCCGGAACTAAGGGCGATATGGTTACCGTTGATGTCGGTAAAGGAGAAGAGGTAGGTCACCAAATGCTTTACAATATATTTAACTTTTTTTACAGTTTTCATCACAATTTCTATTACTTTTTATTATCATTTGATGTTAATTTAATAATAATTGAAATTTATTGTAATATAATTGGTAAAACAAATTTGTTACAAATTAATTTGATTGGATTTAAACCATCAAATAGAGGACATTAAAGAAAGATCTTCTGCAACAAGTGAATCCACCAAAGTTTGAAAAATGTGAGGACATGGCGTCCCTCACATACCTTAACGACGCCAGTGTTTTACATAATCTCAGAGAGAGATACTCTCAAAAAATTATTTATGTAAGTCTATGGATACTAATGTTTATTTTTTTTTCTTTTATTCCGAACCCAAATGGGAACCCCTTTAAAAATACCCACAAACCACATATACCCGACCCTATGTTGAAATGTGGTCGAAATCCCAATTGATCCCAATAGAGAACGTTGAAAAAGGACCTGTTGCAACAGGTCAATCCACCCAAGTATGAAAAATGTGAGGATATGTCTAACTTGACTTATCTGAACGATGCCTCAGTTCTCTACAATTTACGAGTTCGCTATGAGAACCAACTTATTTATGTAAGTCTTGAGGACATCATATTGTTGTCCTAATCAAGGCATGGAGTGATGATTCGGGTTCTCGTGTTTACCACCTTTCACTCAATAACATCTCATTAAAAACTACATGTGCTTTGTTGAGCACATCTTATATCACTTTTAATCAATTTTTTTAATTCTTCAATATTTTTATGTATTAATCGTGAAAATTACTACAACTTGTCTTTCGGGTGCACATTGCCTTCAACTTTGATCTAAAAAATCTAACCATTTTTTTCAATCACTTCCCCGTAGATTAGTTTTGACTAAGTTTATAACAATTTTGTAAAAATTGTAATTTTAGTTATTTAGTGATTTCTAAGTTTGAAGTAGTGATATAGTTATATATTTGCATGCATTTGATATATAACATGAAATGATTAATCAATTTATTGGTGCAATACATTAGACATACTCCGGACTGTTTTGTGTGGTAATCAATCCATACAAACGATACCCGATTTACACCAATAGAGTGGTACAGATGTATAGAGGCCGACGAAAGACTGAAGTACCTCCACATCTGTTCGCCATTTCTGACGGCGCTTACACTGAGATGTTGACGAGTGAGTAGATGTCTCTTAATATATATATCTTATAATAATATGCTTTTCCTAAACTCAATTGTATCCCCATTTGGCTTATTTTGCCACTATTTGGCACAATTGCTGCCAAACAGTTGAGGAAATAGTTAGGAGAAGTGCTTTGCAATCAATAGCTTTAGTAAACAGTAGTTATGAAAAGTTATTCATTTATAGCTCACTAAAAATGGTATTTATGTCTATATATTCTTATAATAATGTGTTTAGCATTTGCTCTCTCATTGCTTTATAAGTGATGTAAAGGGAAGGCTTGTCTTGAGTCGAGTTACATATCCTTATAAAATATATTATGAATATATGGATCCCATTCCTCACATATAATACTTTCTTCAAAGCGCAATCTTGTCTCGCAATTTATTTTTAGATTTTATATTATTATAACATTAACATAGATATCGACTATTCATTAAAACAATAAAAATATTGAATAAATCTCTGAGAAATTATAAAAATTAATAAATTTAATTATCTATCAATAGATGAATTTTTACATCATTTATTTTGTAGGGCATGTTATTAACACAATTATTTATTAATAAATGCATACATAAAACTTATATAATTATATTAATATATTACAGATCGCGAGAATCAATCCATGTTAATCACGTAAGTTATATAAAAATTATGTCAACGAAACAAATATCCTCCCATTCCTTATATTCCTATTAACAAAACAACCCTTTCCTATAAACCATTACTTTCAAACTAACATTAAATAAAAAAATACATATAATCACAATAATAATTTGGATATTAAATAAATGATTAAACATTTAAATCGGTTACAAGTGAAGAATCGGGCGATAATGAAAAAACTAAATATAAAATAAAAAGTTATCTATTATTTTGAAAATATAGTCGTCTTTGAATGCAAACACAATTTCACAACAAAAGTCGTTCATTGATTCAAATTGATATCAAATTATGTTTATAATAAACTAATCGCATATCAATATCAACAATAACTATATTTGCTCACAAATCACTATCAATTATTAATAATTATCACAAAATATTAATATAAAAAAATTATTTAATTTTCTAAATTTTCCATTTTACTAAATTTCAATCTCAATAAGTTTCTAATTTAATATCTATTATTTCTGTAATACCAAACCTAATCATTGGACTAACTTTATGTTTCCTAAATAACTAAACCCAAACCATATTAACTGCCATTCCATCATATAGTGGTGAGTCGGGTGCGGGAAAGACTGAAAATACAAAGAAAGTAATAACATATTTTGCATTGATTGCCGCCTCTGGTTTCAAACATAAATTTTCGTCCGGAGTAAGTCTCAATCATCTATACATTATCTCATATATGAATTTAAAGTATTTAATTGTTACATCAATTAAATAAAATATCTGCAATTTTTTCACGTGTGCTGGAAATCTTTATATGAAATGAGTCAAAAACAAAGTTATAAAAAATTATATATGAAAAATGCAAAACTACTTATTCATATTCAATCTTTAGAACCAAAAAACTACAATTTAAACATTAAATTAATACATAAAACTATATGTTTAACTAAATACCAAATCCAAAGTCCTAATTAATATCCACAAAAAGATATTTAAATCATTTAGTCTTATGATTAATAATAATTATTTTGATAACATAACAATCAAAAATATTTTGATACACATGTTAGCGGTGAGTCGGGTGCCGGTAAAACTGAGAACACCAAGAAAGTCATTGCTTACTTTGCTAATGTCGGTGCCGTCACTAAGGCCTCAGACAAAAAAGATGGAAATAAGAAGGTATAGACCATATATTTCATCAGTTATTTTCAAACCCCATTTGCAACCAATTTTTTCAAATGACTCCAATTCCAGCACATCCAATGCATCCAATGCATCCATGCATCCAATGCATCCATACATCCATTATTTCCCATTTCCATTCATAGTCAGCTAATTTATCATATTTTTCTAATTTAAATCTAGTATTTTGTAGTTATAGTAAATGCATGACAAGGAAACAAATTTTTTGATAGTTTTTTAGTAGTTTTGTAGCAAATCATTAAATGTATATTTATAAATATATATATATATATCGACTTTCAAATGTTTAAAAACATTATATTAATAAAATGTAATTTAATGTCAATCATCGGATTAAAGGGTAATTTGGAGGATCAGGTCGTTCAGACTAATCCTGTATTGGAAGCCTTCGGTAACGCTAAGACTGTACGTAACGACAACTCTTCACGTTTCGGTAAATTCATTAGAATTCATTTCGGACCGATGGGTAAACTGGCCGGTGCTGACATCGAAACATGTAATGTTATACTAATTATATATATATATATAGTCTTATAGTTTTAATAATAATAATATCCATCAGATCTTCTGGAGAAGGCTCGTGTCATTTCTCAACAAACTCTTGAGAGATCGTATCACATCTTCTATCAGATGATGTCAGGAGCTGTTACAGGACTTAAAGGTTTGACATTTATATTAATTTAATCAATTGATATTAATATATAATATTATTTAATCATTACATAAATTTAATTATTTTATAGTTTTCTATCTTTTTTTCTTTTAATAATATGTTACCAAAACAAAAAACTCATTGATTATTTAAAATTTTAAAAATGAAATCTAAATCAATGCTAAATATTTAAGTAAATAATTGATTTTTTTTAATTGAAACCCCGTTATGTAAATAGAGATGTGTTTACTCTCTAATGAGATCTTGGACTATAATTTCGTATCCCAGGGTAAAACTACTATTCCCAATGTCGATGACGGTCAGGAAAGTAAAGATACTGATGTGAGTAGTATAGAGAGTCACATTACCCCCAGATTTTCAATCATCCCTTACAAACAATACCCTTCATTGACCTTCAAATGACCCAATGATTCAATCCTGAAATCATTATACGGTATATAATATACGGTAAATACTGTATATTATGATATAAGTATTTGTTATTAATTTTTTTATTATTGCAAATCCCAAATTAGTGATTTTTATTTTAATATATAAAACACCAGTAAATGTAGTTTTTATCCCAATTCCGAATTATTCCCTATAATTGTATTTACATGTTATCACAATATATATATGAAATAATTATTTTTGACCCATTTTGAAATATTATAATTGCATTTTTAAAGTTAAAAATTATATGTAATTTTGAAAATCAATTTTAACACCAATCCTTGATAATAGAAAACCTTAACCCTTGAAAGCAATTTAAAACAACTTATATGTTATATCCTCACATATTATGACTTTCCCGACCATATGTTTGAAATGCTATTGAAAAAGAAATATAAAATTCCATAATTTTAATATTATATATCAACAAAAATATCTGAAAAATTCATAAAATATGAAACTATTTGTGTTAAATATTAAATTTTGTTAAATAGATTTTTAAAAATATATTTAAAACAACAGATAAATATTTTATTGGTTTACTTATTATTAAAGTAATTGCAGTTTTAATTATGTTTAACAAACATTATGGTAGATAAAATAGATTTTTACTTTATTTTCTTTTATAAAAAATGCAAAATTGATGGACAAATTGATTGATTAGAGCGGTTACTACTCTCTAATAACATATTGGACTATCATTTCGTATCTCAGGGTAAAACAGAGATACCATCAGTGGATGATGGACAGGAGTTTAAAGATACTGATGTGAGTAATACCACTATTAGATACAAAACTTTCTCTCTCTCTCGTAATTATCAATTATGACAACGATTGGCGCTCACATTTGATTTGATAGTCGAGTCAATTATATAAAACAATTTTATAGTCTTCTGTAAAACCAAACATTTCTTCGACGGAATCCAATAGAAACCCATTAAAAGACATTCCTTCCCAAACAGCTTATCCTTTATTAGATCTCTACATCCGTTTCCAAATTAGTTTTTGCACCCATTGTTTTAAACTATTTTTATACCCATTTTTATCCATTTATTTTTTGTGGTAAATCCTTATTCCCAATAATCAATGAAATCATACAATCATTTGGTAACATTTATTTAATATTTAATTGTATAGATAATACTAACTTTAAAAATGACTAATTTATTAATAAAAGTAAGAAAACAATTAACATTAGTAGTATATTTCATTTACTAATAATTCCTAAATCTTTAATTATATATTAACATTAGTTATCATAACAAATAATTTTTAAAATATAATAATCAACTTAAAAGCATTCATAACTATTTAGTGAATTCCGGCGACGGATTGTATATATACTGTATATTTTAAAAACCGTTTTTCAGATAAACTATTGTTGAATAAAGACATCACATATTATCACAATCAATCTCAGGGTAGGACTGAGATTGAAGGCGTCAATGATGGCGATGAGTTTAAAGTGACTGATGTGAGTGCTTATTGTGTCCAATATTTTCATGGACTTTACAACTCAACAATTATTATTATTATAAATTATATCGTTATCAATATTATTAATCTCTACAATTAATATATATATATATTATAATTTTCTGCTTAAATTTATTGCTTAATAATCGTTTAGTATATCGTTGTTATCGTTAGATTTTTTTTACAAAATAATTTAATTGAAAAAAAAGCTTTAACAGATAATTACTGTTTTATATCTTATATTATGTAATATAAAGCAAATATCTTTAATTATTTTTTGTGTCTAAATATTATGGAATTTTACAAATGCCTGTCCTTTACCTTATTTGTTGCTCCTATATATATATATATATATACTGCCTATCCTTTTAAATATGTGTCCACTTTTTTATGCCGTATTCACTAATATGTCGTATCGATTAACTGTTTCCTATGACTTGAAAAATATATGATTTGTTTAAATGAAATGATTTGATCAATGGTTAGAATGCTTTCGATGTGTTGGGCTTTTCTGAAGATGAGAAGCATAACGTTTATAAGATTACTGCCGCTGTTATGCATTTGGGAACAATGAAATTCAAACAAAGACCTCGAGAGGAACAGTGCGAACCCGATGGTACTGAAGATGGTGAACGTGTGGCTCATTTGCTCGGTGTTAACGCCGTTGACCTCTACAAGAACTTCTGTAAACCCAGAATAAAGGTCGGAACAGAAATGGTGACTCAGGGAAGAAACCAGAATCAGGTCATGTACTCCATGGGTGCTATGGCTAAGGCTATGTTTGATCGACTCTTCAAATGGATGGTCAAGAAAATTAATGAGACTTTGGACACAAAGCAGAAGAGACAGTATTTCATTGGTGTCCTCGATATCGCCGGCTTTGAAATCTTTGACGTAAGACTTTTTTGTTAATTAAATTATCAAAAAAATTAATATTTAATAATCATTTTTTAATAATTCTTACTTTAATAATATACTAAATATTAATATTATATCTTTAATTTAAGATTAGAATCTAAAATTAAAATTATATTTATAATTATTAAATTATCAAATAAATTCTAATAACATTTTTATTGTTAGCAATCAATTAATTAATACATCAATCAGATACTCTAAACTTAGTTACTTATATAATTATTATACAGTGTAGTGTAATTACATTGTATAATATTCTCAAAAGTATTAAATTATAATTAACTGGTAATTAGTTATTATTACCTTTGATTATGAATTAGTTCAATAGTTTTGAGCAGTTGTATACCAACTTTACAAATGAGAAATTACAGCAATTTTTCAATCATCATATGTTTATACTCTAACAACAAGAGTACAAAAGGGAGGGCATTGAGTGACACTTTATTGACTTCGGCATGAATTTAGTCGATTGTATTGAATTAATTGAAAAAGTAAGTCATTTAATATAACATAACTAATTGTTTTTTGTTTTTGTTTTTTTTCTCTATTCCTCTTTATTGATTGTCATAAACCCATTATATTAAACTCCATCTTATCCTCCATCGGAATATATTTGACGACAAATATATTACAATATGTGTCATACATATCCCCAAAACAATGTGATTATGAAACCCTAAATCACTGTAGTTTAATAGCTTCGAGCAGTTGTGCATTAATTTCACAAACGAAAAACTGCAACAGTTTTTCAATCACCACATGTTTGTGTTAGAACAGGAAGAATATAAAAGAGAAGGTATTGATTGGGATTTTATTGACTTTGGTATGGATTTACTCGCTTGTATTGAACTCATTGAAAAGGTATATAAATATCTCTAATCATGGCTTAAGTTATGTATAACCTATAGATAATTCAATAGCAAAACATTTATTAGTCAAACCCATTGACTCATTTAAATGATTTAATAAATTGAATTTATGAAATAACTTTAAATTATTATAATATATTAATAAATTGTTTTTATACGATAGCCAATGGGCATCCTCTCAATCTTAGAGGAAGAAAGTATGTTTCCCAAAGCCAGTGACAAAACTTTTGAAGAAAAGTTGAAAACCAATCATTTGGGTAAATCGCCTAACTTTGTGAAGCCTAAGCCGCCTAAACCTGGCTGTCAAGAGGCTCACTTCGCTATTGTCCACTACGCCGGTACTGTGCCGTATAACGTGACCGGTTGGCTCGAGAAGAATAAGGATCCACTTAACGACTGTGTTGTCGATCAATTCAAACACGGCTCTAACGAATTGGTTAAATTAATCTTCGAAGATCATCCGGGTCTGGGAGGTGGTGATGATAAGGGAGGCAAAGGAGGTGGACGTAAAAAGGGTTCAGGTTTCCAGACCGTTTCCGGTCTCTATCGGGTATGAAATTATCGGACCAAATAATTTGACAAAATAAACACAACACACAACAAAATACACACATTTTCTATATTTATATATAAATTATAATTTTTCCTTACATTTTTTGTTATTAATAATCACATATTTTATAAGTAATGTATGCATTGGTTTTTGTGATGTGATTGAGTCACTAATGTTTTGAGTGTTTTTGTCAATTTTGATAACTATTTTTACTAATAATAGGAACAATTGAATAAACTGATGACAACATTACGTCAAACCCAACCTCACTTTGTCCGGTGCATCATTCCCAATGAAACCAAATCTCCAGGTGACCCCTATATGCCTTCCTTTACATTATATGTTTTAAAATGTTTGCTAAATTTAAATTTAAATACTTAATGTTAATATAAATTATATCTATATGTTGTTTCTTTTGGTTTGGTTAAAATATTAGTCATTATAACATAGATTTTAAAATAGATTATTTTATACTATGATTGCTTGATTGATCACAAATTTCCTTATAAATAGTTTGAAATTTGGTTTTTATTAGTTTAATATTAAAAAATAATATGATATTATAAATACCTGTTTCATATGTCATAAACCCCGATCACAATTATACCAAATTGTATAAACCTATCCAAACTCAATAAACCAATTATTCCTAAAATGTTTGCATATTTAATGAATCTGATCTCAAATGTGATTCAATTTAATATATCTTCCAATGTTTACCCTATGGTTTGAAATTTTCAATTTGCCTGATATAAAAATGCAAACGTGTTGCACTTGATATTAGATTACAAGTTTAAACACATAATACTTTTAAAACCCTTTTTGAGTTTGATGTGTGCCCTACCAGTCCCGCGTGAATTCATTTCCCAAAAATTTTGTTGTTGTAAATCTCCCGAAACACTACACAAATACAAAAACCATACAAAATAAAAAACACGTTTATGTAATCTAAATGTGAGCTAATATAATAGTTTATCACATTTCACTACCAATTATCTGTCAAACAAATTATACGTAAAACAGGAACAGCTTAACAAACTCATGACAACCCTGAAATCAACGCACCCACACTTTGTCAGATGCATCATTCCCAACGAAACTAAATCCCCAGGTACAATTAATAGTACTATTAATAGTACAACTATATAACAACTACTACTACTGCTACTACTACTACAACAATACCATGATTACCATTATTTTTGCTCATTTATCGGTTGGTCCTATAATACCGATTATTCCTAATTTTTGATAGAATCCGTTATTTTCCTCAATATTTTCTATAAATATTTATATAAATGTGTTTTTTTTTGTGTAAAACCAATTATTTATCAAAACTTATTGTGGACCCAAAATCTTATTGAAAACCATTTGTTTATGTTTGACCCCCTTATTGGTTCTTTACCATTGGCCTATACCTAATGATTTTTTTGGTATTATTATTGGCCCTTTAAACCCTTTAAACCATATAAACCATATACCACTCTATTTTAATATAAAATTTTAGTGTTTCAATGTCTTAAAGTTCAATCCCTGGATATATGATATCAAACCCTAAAGTTTTGCCCTTTTTATACCTATATTTGCAAACCTATATCTAAATGTTAAATCATTTGCTGTGAACTCTACATAAATACAAAGACATAATATAAATGACAATATAATTACTTGATATCAAATATGACTGGAAAATACTGAATTTGTTTGAAATACTACCGAACTGTCCCCACAAATAGGAACAGCTAAATAAGTTAATGACGACCCTTCAGAGCACACACCCACACTTTGTGCGCTGTATCATCCCTAATGAGTTTAAGCAATCAGGTATTCAACAAAATATATTATTTAATTAATTGTCAGACAAATTATTATTAATTTTTTTCTTTTGTCTTTCGATAAATCAAAAATAATTTGTAATTCTAAATCACTTTTCTTTTGGAGTCATTATCCGAAATATATATTTTTTTTATTATAAGCAATCTTTATTATTATTAATATAAATTAATTTTAGTATATTTATGACTTATTAGTAATATAATTATGTGAGTCCTGTAAGTTAACATATAATTGGTTATTAGGTGTGATTGACGCTCATTTGGTATTACATCAGTTGACCTGCAATGGTGTACTCGAAGGTATCCGTATTTGTCGTAAAGGTTTCCCCAATAGGATGTTGTATCCAGACTTCAAACAAAGGTATGAATTAAATAGTTATACATAATATATATATATATATATTATCTATAAGTAAATAATTATAACTCAATTATAAAAAAGTGTTGGTAAATATGGTTATTAGATGTCATAAATTTGACGTAATTTTAATTGTCTGTAAGAGTAAATTGAAATTATAAAAGCATTTATAAGAACATTAAGTTGAGGATCAATCTAAGCCCTGTGCTGCGGCACTGTACTACTCTGTCATCCCTTTCAGATATACTATATTAGCGGCTGCAGCAGTTCCAGCAGGTTTTGTTGATGCAAGACAGGTGGCTGGAAAAGTATGTGAAGCCATTCAATTAGATAACAATGATTTCAAATTGGGATCAACTAAGGCAAGCATTTCTGTCATTAAACGACAATACTGTTTATCCCCTATTATTATGTGTTGTTTTTATTCCTATAATCAATTTATATGTAAATCAAACTCCAAATAATTTTCGTTAATTAGAACTAAATCTTAATCAAATCAATGTTCAATAATATAATTTATTTTGTTAATTGGGGTCATATATATCAATAGATATATACATATATATCACTATATCAATGAAATTCTATTATTATTGGTACAGGTAAATTTTTGCTTAATTTATATGTTCTAATAATCCTATTTATCAAATTAAAAATATATTTATATTAGAGTTAATTTGTGTTAAAAAATTGTTTAAAAATTTGAATAATCAAAAAACAGTTTTGATAATACTATTTAAAAATTACTAATTTAGTCACAAATCAAATTAATCTATTTTTATTCACCCATTCCTTTCAATGTTTAAATTATAATCTATGTGTTAACAAATAAAAACCACAATAAAGATACACAATATTAGCGGCCGCGGAAATACCGAAAGGTTTTGTGGACGCGAAAAAAATAGCCGAAAAAGTTATCGAAGTGATCCAATTGGATGCAAATGACTTCAGATTTGGTAGCACTAAGGCTAGTACTTGTCTTCACAAATACTTTAACTTAGTTTTGGATCAATTCATTAGTAGATGTATCCAATAGTGGCTTTTGATTGTAGACATAGAGAGCTTATAAATTGAATTCTTTAGATAAATGATTGACACGTTTGTGATTTTACCTGTTTTTATGCACAAATTTTTGGCGAATATGATATTTATTGTCACTAATTAATATATTTCCCAAATCAAGTAGATGTAGAAAAAACCTGAAATTTATATATTATAACCTTAAATATTATAATTATCTCAAAAAAACTAAAAAATTATAAATCCAATAAACCTTTAAACCAAATTTATACCAATTGATATAATTGTCTATAAAATTAATATAAAATCCCACCATTGAAATTAACATTTATTGCCAACTAATTGGTTCCCAGATACACAATCCTGGCGCCTACCATCCTTCCCAAAGGATTTGTTGACGCAAAGGTAGCCACAGAAAAGCTCGTTAAGGCCACTAATATAGATGATCAGGAGTACCGGTTCGGTAATACTAAGGTTTGGTATTGTATTTGTTATTAACTTGAATGTCATGTCATGTAGTTTACGTTTTTTACCATTTATTCAACTTTCTATAACAAAAATATTATTTAATTTACATAATAATTGTATTTAATTTGATTTTTGAAAATTACAATTATTTAAAAATTATACTTATTTTATCTATTATGTATTTAAAGTTCTAGACAATAGACAATTTATTTAATTATAATAATTTTTCTAACATTATATGATTAACATTAATATCAAATGATTAAATGTAGAAAAATTGTTTAAATGAAATCTAAGTTCAGTTTAAAGTTTATAAAAAGATGAATTTGTTAGATTTAGTAACATTTTGATAAATGATATATAAATTCAGATTTAAGCTAAATATATCTTTATTTGTTTAAATAATATATACTCTACTATAATAAGAATTGTGGCTTATATTATATAAATTCATGTTTAATATCATTATTGATTTATTATATTTATTCTAATTTTAGCAAAATTAACAAATTTATTATAAAGTTAGATAAGCAATTAATCAAATTTATTTGCTGATTAACAAATAATTGTAAAATTGGCAATACGTTAATGTCATTGTTTAGCTTTTAAAAGGTAGGTCTTTATATAAATTATATTTATTGATATAATACTCTAATATTTATATTATAACAAGTTTAGTGTTTCTATCGACTGAAACTATATTTTGTATGTCTGTCCCTATATGTATGACCCTTATGTGTTGATTGCATGCTAAATCCCATCCTATATATTAATAAAATATGCAAAACATAACACTTATGGTGCAAAATACAGATTTTTTTCCGCGCCGGTGTTTTGGGTCGTCTGGAAGAGATGAGAGACGACCGGTTGGGCAAAATCATCACTTGGCTTCAGGGATGGGTTCGTTGGTATCAATGCAAGAAGTCATTCAAGAAATTACAGGAACAGAGAATTGCATTATTGGTTATCCAACGAAATTTACGCAAATTCTTGACACTTCGCAACTGGTTGTGGTGGAAGTTGTACTCAAAGGTCAAACCATTGTTGAATGTCGCGCGAGTTGAGGATGAGCTCAAAGCACTCGAAGAAAAACTTAAGAAAGAACACGAAGCCTTTGAAAGGGAAGAAAAACTTCGCAAAGAACTCGAAGTCAAAAACGTTCAGCTCTTGCAAGAGAAGAACGATCTGTTCTTACAATTAGACTCTGAGAGAAGCTCTTCCGGTGATGTTGAAGAACGTCTACTTAAAGCCATCTCTCAAAAGGCCGATCTTGAGAGCCAACTCTCTGTAAGTTATATTTGTTATAAAACTTTGATAAAAATAATTTAGATTTTTTTAGTTTTATATGAGTCCGACTCTTACTTCGACTTTAAAAGTATTAAATGCCATATATATAACATATGATAATTATATATATAGTTATGTCTTAATATGCAACAAAATTATGAAAAATATATATAATTTTTCAAATTTATAAATGATACCGATTTATAAAGTTTTCTCACAAAAATTGTTGGCAACAAATTAGTGATTATAGCATCAAAAATGTAAATATCAAATAGTTTTCTCAAAAGTCTTGAGTTTATTTTACATATAAATGTGAAATTATCTCAATGATTACTTTTTGTATATTAAAATATTTAATAATACAAATTTGTGGCAAAATCTCAACACAGTTATCATAATATATCCTCACTTTTTTTTAAAAAAAAATGTATCGTTTGAGTCAAATCCGAGAATATTTTTGATCCGATTTATAGTAATGTTTATATAAGTGTTGGTTTCGTGAACTCTCATTCAGTTTAGTTTCAGTGAGTTTTCAAATATGATTTCTTACTAATTAAGGAAAACATAAATTTGTTTTAGTTTTAGTGTTAGTCTTCTTTATCACATTATAAGAAATTTTATGGTGTTTTTGATAAAATGAAAGAATTAGCGACAAATATGTTAAATGATATAATGAGTGCCACAAAAAGTGTGAAATTTAATGATATAGAAAGTGATTTAAATGGTGTTATGAATGAAGAGAAAGATTATTTAGATGAGGATTATGTAAAATCACTTAAAAAACAATACGATTTGCTTATACAGGACCTTCAAGACCGACTGTCCCACGAGGAGGACGCACACACCTCTCTCAACTCATCTAAGAAGAAGTTGGAATCAGAATTATCTCAACAAAAGAAAGAAATTGAAGACTTGGAGCTATCCCTACAAAAAGTAATTTAATTATTAATTATTTTTTTGTTTTAAAGTCTTTTAAGTTATTTATTTAATTAGTGTTGGAATTAGTTTACGCACTTTTGTTACTAATTAACAACTTTTGATTGATTAGTCAATTTATGAATGAATATATATAAGAGAGAGAGAGAGAGAGAGAGAGAGAGAGAGAGAGAGAGATCTAATTAAAAGTATTTATAACATTATATAATATATTGTTATATAACATCTAAAGGCAGAACAGGACAAATCATCAAAAGACCATCAAATTCGTAACTTAAACGACGAAATCGCACATCAGGACGAACTGATCAACAAATTGAATAAAGAAAAGAAAAATTTGCAAGAAGTGAGTCAAAAGACTTCTGAAGACCTTCAGGCAACTGAAGACAAAGTCAATCATTTGAACAAAGTTAAGGCCAAATTGGAACAAACATTAGATGAACTCGAAGACAATCTCGAGAGAGAAAAGAAACAAAGAGCTGAAATCGAAAAGAATAAACGCAAGATTGAGGGCGACCTCAAACTGGCTCAGGAGGCAGTGGCAGATCTCGAGAAAAATAAAAAAGAATTGGAACAATCAATTCAACGAAAGGAGAAAGAGATGGCCAGTTTGGCGGCAAAACTTGAAGACGAACAGAGTTTGGTCTCTAAATTGCAAAAACAAATTAAAGAACTTCAGGTATAGATTGCCGTTTGAAACTGAAATTTCTAATTTTTTGGCAAATGTGTTAAATTTATGGATATTTGTTTGGCCGGGATTTGTACCTATTTATACTCAGCAATATATCTATAAATGTGTAGTCATATTAAAAAAATATGAGTGTCTCAAAAGCCTAAGACTTTTTTAGGACTCTATTTGTAGAAATGAATGGCTTTCCACATAAGGAATCAGAGATAACTTTTTGGGCAATTAGTTGAGACTGTGGGGGTGTCTTGTATTTGCAGACATTCCTAGTGAACGACTCATGAATCACAATCGCAATGAATATATATCAACACTTTAAATGAAAACTATTTTTTAAAAACCCGTAGTTTTAGAGAAACTGTTTGTGATTCTCATATCGATTCATATCATTAGTTCAGTCAACAAACTTTTCTTTTAAAAAGTTTTTATAAGTTTTTAAAACAAAGTAATGAATCGATACGATAGTATAGACGATAGTGATGTCGGTGTTTCTTATTCAGTATCAAAAAGAGATACTACAAGTGATAGTGATTTTCAAAGCATAAGGAGTACTATGCAGACGAGTACCGGTGCCGGGGATGCACTGGAAGACAAATCAACTTTCTATCCGTTACAAACAAAAGCCAGATATATGCCACCGACCTGTACTCTGAGTACAGAAAGCAAACGTATAGTCCGTCGGGCACAGGACCCTATTTTACAGAACAGTCCCCGAGTCGTCCATTTTCTCTATGAAGTACTCTTATGTTTGCTTTGCTTAAAACTATTGCCGGAACTGTACTTTAATTTTTGATCACATTTTGCTTAATTTCTAATTACTATCGATTGATCAAACAGTAATTATAATTATTTTTAGCTTTATTTTGCCAAAAAAATCTATTATAAAATATATAGACAAATAATTGTCTTACGGATCATTGATTCTCAAATACTTATTGTCGCAAATGTATTGTCAAAATAGGCCCGAATTGAGGAACTTGAAGAGGAACTGGAGGCCGAACGTCAAGCCCGAGCCAAGGCTGAGAAACAACGGGCAGATCTTTCCCGTGAGATTGAAGAGTTAAGTGAACGTCTTGAGGAGGCAGGAGGTGCCACCTCTTCTCAAATTGAAATGAATAAACGTCGCGAAGCAGAGATGTCTAAATTGAGAAGAGATCTCGAAGAATCAAATCTACAACACGAACAGTCAATGTCTGCTCTCAGGAAGAAACACAACGATTCTGTGGCTGAACTCAGCGAACAAGTGGACCAACTGAACAAAGCTAAGGCCAGGTATTATATTAAATGAGTTGTTATGTCTAAACCGTTTGAATAAATATCATCTGATATTTACAACAACATTCGTGTCGATTACCAATCTTATAGTGAACTCCATATTTAGCTGTAAATAGAGTCCAAAATAAATATATCCCCAAAAAATTCCGCAAACATTTTATAGTCTTTAAATGAATTTTAGACGCGTTTTGCAGTTATTTATAAACATTGATTGATTGTTAGTTAAACTTAGATAAAAAATAAAAATGTTTTTTTTACTAAACACGAAAATCGATAAATAATTAAATAAAATATAGGATTGAAAAGGAAAAACAACAAACAAAAGGTGAATTGGATGACCTAAAGGCCAGTGTGGAACACCTCACTAGAGATAAGGTATATCCATTGTGCACCCTTTCCTCGCACATGATAAAAGTTTGGCATATATTGTGCATTAAATGCATAAATGATGATTAGTAAAGATTTTGATATTTAGAGGTTATGTTTAAAGTAGTGATTATTAGTTATTTGGTTTGTTTTACTCCTTTTTGAAAAAACTTAAAACTATTATATAATTAAAAACCCAATGGTGTGTCCAAATTGATTGTTTGCATGAAATCCAAATTGCATTAAAACAGATTAGAAAAAGAAAAGAGCACTTTGGCTGCTGAAGTATCCGATCTTCAAGGGATTGTCGATCATTCAACCAAAAATCAGGTATCACTACATCCCTGGTCTCTTCATTAGCAATGTTGGCAAAAGTTGTTTGTTTTGTTATATTTGAAACATTTTAAAAAAAATTATAACATTAATTTGAAATGCAAATGAGTTTTAATCAATTTACTAATAACCAACATTTTATTAATTAAATTATAAAACAATATACTGTATATTAGTTTGTTTGAATAATAATTTAGCAAATAATAATTATGCACGAAATGTATGATTTATACTGTATTTTGTTTGTATACATATTTGCATTGGCTTTAATATATTATAAATTAAATTTATTAACTATTAATGAATATTTACAAAAATAAAGGCCAACACTGAGAAGCAAAACAAACAGTTGGAAATGCAATTGGGAGAAGTGACCGGAAAGTTGGACGAAACCAATAGGACTTTAGGTGACTTCGACGCATCCAAGAAGAAATTGGCGGTTGAAAACTCTGAACTCCAGAGACAGCTCGAAGACGCAGAGTCACAGATTGCACAGCTAAGTAAACTCAAGTCTTCATTACAGACACAACTCGATGAAGCAAAACGAACCGCTGATGAAGAAAGCAGAGTATGACTCAATCATTTAGATTATCTGATTAAATGTTTGGCAAATATTTAAAATTTAATAAATATATTATTTGTATTTTTTTAGGAAAGAGCATCAATTTTGGGTAAATTCCGTAATCTTGAGCATGACTTGGATGGAGCCCGAGAATCACTCGATGAAGAGATTGAGGCTAAGGCTGATCTCCAAAGACAACTCAGCAAAGCTAATGCAGAGATCCAACAGTGGAGAACAAAGTTCGAAAGCGAAGGTCTGGCCAGACTTGAGGAGCTCGAGGAGGCAAAGAAGAAGTTAGGCGTTAAATTGCAAGAAGCAGATGAACACATTGAACAACTCAATGCTAAAGTATCCGGACTCGAGAAGACAAAACAACGATTGGCCGGAGAGCTCGAAGATATGGCCATTGAAGTCGAACGGGCAAACGCTTTGGCCTCAACTCTCGAAAAGAAACAGAAATCATTTGATAAGATTGTCGCCGAATGGAAGCAAAAGGTGGACGACTTGGCTGCAGAACTCGATGCCTCACAGAAAGAGTGTAGAAATTATTCAACAGAACTGTTCAAACTCAGAGCTGCTTATGAGGAAAGCCAAGAACAGTACGATGCAGTCAAACGTGAAAACAAGAACTTACAGGACGAGATCAAAGACTTGTTGGATCAGTTGGGCGAAGGCGGACGTTCTGTTCATGAATTAGAGAAATCTCGCAAACGATTGGAGATGGAAAAGGAAGAACTGCAGGCAGCTCTTGAAGAAGCCGAAGCAGCTCTTGAACAGGAAGAGAACAAAGTACTGAGAGCACAGCTCGAGTTATCTCAAGTAAGACAAGAGATTGACCGCAGACTTCAAGAGAAAGAAGAGGAGTTCGAAAACACCCGAAAGAACCATCAAAGAGCACTCGACTCAATGCAGGCCAGTCTCGAAGCAGAAGCCCGTGGAAAGGCTGAGGCTTTGAGAATGAAGAAGAAGTTGGAGAGCGATATCAATGAATTGGAAATAGCATTAGACCACAGCAATAAAGCCAATGCTGAGGCACAGAAAAATATTAAGAAATACCAACAGACACTCAAAGAATTGCAAACAGCTTATGAAGAAGAACAACGAGCCAGAGATGAAGCCAGAGAACAGTATGCTATGGCTGAACGCAGATGTAATGCTCTTCACGGAGAGCTTGAAGAGACCAGACAACTGCTCGAACAGGTATTTACCACAAAAAAAATCAAATTTTTAGTATATTTGAAAAAATGATTTAATGGTTTCAATGTAATTATTATTTAATTTAAAGGCTGATAGAGCGCGAAGAAGTGCTGAGACAGAGCTCTCAGAACTGCATGAGTCTAACAATGAATTGTCGGCTCAAAACTCTTCACTTACTGTTGCGAAGAGGAAATTGGAGGGAGAAATGCAGGCTTTGCAGGCGGACTTGGATGAGATGCTCAATGAGGCCAAACAGTCTGAAGAGAAGGCCAAGAAGGCTATGGTAGACGCCGCCCGACTGGCAGATGAGTTGCGTGCAGAACAAGAACACGCCCAACAACAGGAGAAGCTAAGGAAAGCTATGGAACAACAAATCAAAGAACTTCAGGTCCGTCTCGACGAGGCTGAAGCCGCAGCACTCAAAGGAGGAAAGAAAATCATTCAAAAACTCGAACAAAAGGTTCGAGAATTGGAACAGGAGTTGGATTCTGAACAGAGACGACACGGAGACGCGTCCAAGAATTTGAGGAAAGCTGAGAGACGTATCAAAGAATTGCAATTCCAGGCCGACGAAGACCGCAAAAATCACGAACGCATCCAAGACTTAGTCGACAAATTGCAACAAAAGATTAAGACATATAAGAGACAGATTGAAGAGGCGGAAGAAATAGCAGCTTTGAATTTGGCTAAATTCAGAAAAGTTCAACAAGAACTCGAAGATGCAGAGGAAAGGGCTGACATGTCTGAGAACGCTTTGGCTAAACTTAGAGCCAGAAATCGCAGCTCGGCTTCAACCTCACGGGCCATGAGTCCCGGCGTATGTCTTACTCTCACTTATCCATTCATAACTTATAATTAATTATTATTTTATTATTTCTTATTAATAGCCAATTCCTAAGCCGAGACCAAAATCAAGAGTTGTTGACGAAGAGTAAAATGCTGTCATCGATATCAAGATTATTACTATTATTATAAATGATATCAAATGTTGATTTGAAATCCTTATTATAATTAAATCTCTTTATAAAACTTGTTCTCTATTTTTCTCTTTTCTCAATCTATGTCTACATTAATGTCAATCACTTTAATTAATCGTGATTTTAGTGCAAACAATAAATCGATTTAAACAATATTATTACTGTCTATCCATTTATTAAATTAAATACAAATATATCATAATTTAAAGTTTTTAATATATATTTTAAATGTTTATAATTTACACCAATCTTTTCTTTTCTTTATAAAATTGATAAAAAATGGTAAAATTATTACCGTATTACTGTATAATGGTATTAATTGTTAGTACTGTATAACTACTGCATAATTAGGGTTTTTATAAAAAATATAGTTAAATCCTATTAATATTAAATTTTAAATGATTTATTTAAGTATAAAAAGTTAAATTATAGTGTAATTCATAAACTGATTGCAAATTAACAAATCTCAACAAAATTAGGCCATTGACTATAATACTAAATTATCCATGGTCATATTATTATTATCAATGGTTATTCAAGTCGAAACTTTTTAAATTCATTAGATTTTATAAAATGACAATAATATACAAATGTAATTAAATAATTTATAACACAATAGTTATAACATAATTAATTTGAATATTTAAAATGATATTTTTAAAAAACTAATTGACATAGATTTTTACTAAAAATAAAATGTTTATCAATATTATTATTGAAAATTTTACATAAATATTAGCATGTTCATATTTGTTTGTATGCCTATGTTAGTGCAAACTCATTGATATATACTGTATTACATTATAATTTATAAGGTATATAAAAATATGGACAATCAATTGGCCTAATTTTACGTTAAATTTGATTATTTAGTATAAAATATATAAATAATAATTATTAAATTGTATAATAAATGTTATGTTTGTCTACAGTATATTAAAGTACGTTTAACTGTAAAATTGCGCCAAACATATAGAGTATACATATAATACATATACTGTATAATACTGTATAATACTGTAAATACTTGACTATATTTTTGTTATTTATACTCAAATAATGTGTTAGTAAAGCATTGGCTGTTATATCAAGTGTTTGTACGCCTCTATAGTCAACACATTGAACACACAATACAGTGATTTGTGAGACAATCTGGTGGTGAGTGAGAGCACTGTTAGGACTGTTAGCAATGTTAGCACTGTTTGACTGTTATCTCAAACAAACACATAATACACACTAAACTGTTCACCAATTGATGCCCTCTGGAAGTGAGTGACAACAATCACAACACTCATTAAGAGGTAAGTCTTAATTAAATTGATTTGTTGTACACCGATGATGACTATATGATAATTGATGTAATAATGATATGAATGGTGGGAACCGATAGAGTGATATCATGGTATCGGTCGGTATCCGTCACTCGACAAGTGATTGTCATTGAAATGCAAGTCTGTATTAACGCTATGAACGCTCTCTATGTCTTATGTCTTATGATTGTGACTCCCATTTCATCCACGAAGTGGTGCATCAGTCCTGACATACAGACAGCGCAAACAGCGGACAGTATGTCAATCAATGTGACCAATGATGCAATGATTAGACCAGTTTAGTGACAATTTGGACACAATTAACACATTTTGCATACATTTTAGCCATTTTTGCTTAGCCTTTGTTTCACATTTGTCAACAAAATGGCGGATAAACTTCAATACCAATTGATAGTTACAAGACTTGACCATTCATTTGATTATTTAAGACATAAAATATTTTACAAAATAATAATATACTTATGATATCTAAAGCTATTATTAAGACAAATGATATTATCTTGAGATAGAAATGGCGGAAAACCCGGAAACCATTACAGACATACAAAACTATTTGCAGTCGTTTAACAAAGAAATAGATGAAAGCGGTTCCAATGAAACCACATTTTATGCTATTGACGCCAATAAGTTGGCCGCAGGTATTGATGAGGGAACACTACAAATGTTGGCCGAACAGGCGGCCAGTGGTCAGGCCGGCACATCTGGTACCGGTCCCGATGGCGCCTATCAAACTGTTGCCATTGTTCCCGACCAGGAAAATGGTGGTTATGTTCTTATAGTACAACAACCGACAACAAGTGATGCCACCGAACCAACTATTACTACGCCCACAACTATTCAGACTGCCGTTCCCACCAAACCTGCGATTAGTAGTAGTACTGCGACCACTAAAAGTACGCCGAAAACTAGTAATAAAATGCAAACCCGAATGAAACGAATCAAACAGGAAAAGAAAGACTCGTCTGAAAGACCAAATGATATATCGGTTTATGATTTCGATGACATTAACTTACCAAATGTTCCCGAAGATGAGTCCATCAATGATTTAGAAAACACGGATCAACTACTCAATGATGAAGAAGGAGATGAATCAGGAGATGTAAAGCCTAATCTACAGAAAACACCGAAACGAACTAAGAAGTCACCGGCAGCTAATGTTTCGGCTAAAAAAGTAAAACCACAGACAACTACCACTCCGGCTAATCCTAACCAACATATGTGTAATTACTGTAATTATACGAGTAATAAGCGATATTTGTTGTCCAGACATATGAAGTCACACAGTGAAGAACGACCTCATAAGTGTGGTATTTGTGAGCGAGGATTCAAGGTTTGCATTTATAATGTCTTTGTTTATTATTTAGTGATTACTATTTATTGATTTCTGGATTAGACCATCGCTTCGCTTCAAAATCATGTCAACACTCATACCGGTGTCCGACCCCATGGATGTAAATACTGTGAAGCGGCATTCACTACATCGGGTGAACTGGTCAGACATGTCCGGTACCGACACACACACGAGAAGCCACATCGTTGTACTGAATGTGATTACGCATCGGTAGAGTTGTCTAAATTGAAGCGACATATGAGATGTCATACTGGAGAGCGACCCTATCAGTGCCCTCATTGCACTTATGCCAGTCCTGATACTTACAAATTAAAACGACATCTTAGAATACATACAGGTTTGGTATTAACGGTTATCATACCATTTAAATGACCACTTCTTATAAAATGATTATTTCAGGTGAAAAGCCTTACGAGTGTGATGTATGTCACGCGCGGTTCACTCAAAGCAATTCACTTAAAGCTCATCGACTTATTCACAGCGGAAACAAACCTATTTTTAAGGTATTTTTATTTAATTATATGAATGAATTGATGTTATTATGAAAACTTGTTTGCTTAGTGTGAACTGTGTCCGACCACTTGTGGCCGTAAGACTGACCTCCGAATCCATGTCCAAAAGCTACACACTAGCGATAAGTTGTTATCTTGTAAGAGATGTGACCAGAGTTTTCCCGATCGCTATCATTTCAAATTGCATTTGAAAACACATGAAGGAGAGAAATGCTTTAAATGTGATTTATGTAATTACGCCAGTGTTTCGGCCCGACATCTTGAGTCACATATGTTGATACATACCGACCAAAAACCGGTATTTATATTAATATATTTTGATATTTTAAACAATTATAATTATAATATTGTTTAATATATAGTTTAACTGCGATTTGTGTGATCAATCATTTCGTCAAAAGCAGTTATTAAAGAGACATAAGAATCTGTACCACAATCCTGCATATGTGGCGCCGCAGCCAAAGGAGAAGACACACGAATGTCCTCAATGTAACAAAGCTTTCAGACATAAGGGAAACCTTATGAGACATATGCAGATTCACGATCCCGACGCTTATAAAGAACAAAATATCAATTATAATCGTATGAATGACTCGACTCAACTTATTGATGATGAAGATGAAGACGATATGGAAGATTCGTCACAAATGATTGTTCCCAATGAGAGTGATGAAGAACATACACTATCGTTCACTTTGGATCCACAAACACAACAGATCTTACAAAACACTAATGGAGAGCAAGTGGTAGTCTTCGAAGTGGTTCAGATGCCTAATAATGATAATGACAGCACAACACTTCCAGATGAAGGACAGTTAGTCACAGAACAACTTAATCTATTACAGGCCTCCACTTCTAAAGGTAAAGGAAAGACTCGTTACGCTATTGCTCGACAAAATGGCGCCAATAATTCTAATGGTGAGTCTAATTATTGTCAATTATTAAAGACATTATAATTATAATTTTATAATTAATTATTTTATTTATAGATAACTATATAATTCAATTATCAACTGAAGACGCCGAAGCAGCCAATGCTATCCAAGACGACAGTATTATTGATGATCCCGATTATATGCCTAAACATTCTGTCCGTCTCAGTTCGGCGCCTACCACTTCTTCAGGCCTCATATCTCAGCCCACTTCTATTCCTCCGCCACCTCTTGTAACCGATGACACCAAACAATTGAGAGATCAAATACAGAAACAAAAAGATTTAGCAAATTGTTTTGGATTTAAGGTTTGATTTTTTTTATTATTGGTAAGTGTTTTAATAACTTGAAATTGATTTTTAATTTAATCAATTAGGATGACGATGAAGAAGATGATGCTATTCTATCAATGCCTGCCGTTCACGGACAGTGATGACAGTGATAGTGATACTATAAATCTGTATTGTAGATGAATGTTGACATTACTAATATGATAGGACATTGAATTATGTTTATAAGTTGTTAACAAAATTGTCTATTAATTTACATAAATAGACATTTTGTTATATTTTTAATATCTATGGAAAAGAAAAAAGAGTTTCTGATAATTATTAACAATATTTATTGTTTATTTTCATCCCATTTGAAGTCAAATTAGTCATTCATATAAATATATATTATATTGAGTTTACACTAAATTTAAGTATAATTTTTAGTTTTAATTGTAATTTTAACGATTACGGTATAATTTAAAACACTAATCAATTATTTGTTAAATATTTGAATATCAAATCAATTCTTAGATAACAATTATTAATATCAATCTTATCTATCAAATTGAATAAATTTGTGTATTTTAATTGTAATTATGAATTAAATTTTAAATATTTAATTCAATCTTTAATTGAATTCATTAACAATATAATCGATGAAAATCATGACATAAAAACTTATATTTATTGATAAACAATAAATTGAAGTAATTATTATCATTTTTAAAGATACTTTATATATAAATATAATATAACTATTATATTAAATTAATTTCTATTCATTTTAAAAAATAATAAAATTATATTATAACAATTATCAAGTTTGTTTTGATTACCGTATTTGGATTTAATATATAAAGTATCGGTAATATTATTGTCTTTTTTATTATTTGTAAGAAAGTGGTTTTGCATTTAAATTTTGCTAGAAATAAAAATTTAATTATTTTGTATACTATAAATATTATTATCAATTTATTTTTTTTTATAATTGAGACTATGATTCTTAAAAATTCAGTAAATCATAGAAATATCACTATTTTTTAAAATTAATTGAATTACGTATTTGTAGTTATATTGAAAGGAAAATAATGTTTATTTAAAATTTCTTAAATAATTGGTTTTAATAGTTTATATTACGGGTAGTTATATAAAGTTTTTTTTCGAAAAAAAAGTTTGAATGTCTTTGAGGGCGCAATTGTTGTCTAAAGTTATCTAAGAGTTAGACCAATAGTTGATTACATGATAACCTGAACGACAAGTTTTAACATTTATTTAGGTTTTTTGATAACTTGTTTTTCACTTTAAGACTGTGTTTACTCATAGTTACAAAAAAACCGATAAAAAGTCGACAGATTTTTGACTAGTCTTTTAAAAAATAGTATTTATTTAATATATGTCACGTGTAGTGTTGGCAATAAAATTATTTCTAATTTGTTATGAAAACCAATTGTATAGTATTATTAACATATCATTAATTAAAGTCAAAATTATGACAAAACAATATAGCAATAAAAGTGGACAATTGGTTATTGAATTAAGACAACGATTTCTTGAGGAATACGATAATAATAGAGGTTTGTATTGTTTTAATAATATTTTTCTCAAATATTTATATTTATATAATAAATAATAACATTATTGCTTTATACGGTATGATTCTTATCAATTGTTTATTATATATATATTTTATCGATATTACAAAGTATAGTAACTTATAATTTATTATTTTATAAAATATCTTTAAAAAGTACTGCCATTGAATTAGTATTTAACATCCAAGTGTTAAAACTTGAATATTTAGATTATTAATTATTGATATTATTATATTGTATTCAAATGTTTTATATCATTTAAGTACTTAACAGTTAATTTAAAAAATTAAAATTACTCAGATATAGAAATTGAAGTATGCTGATATTTATTTTGATGATGGGTCACAAACAACATAAATATACAATATATAAATTTATATATATTTTAAATATAGTATTAATTGATGCAATTTATATTTGAAAGGTTTATAAAATATTTTACAATGGTTTTAATGCATTTTATTTTGTTAATCAAATTGAGGTTTTCTGATAAACTATTTGTATTGTCATTAAACTTATATAAAAAAAAACATTGAATTGAATTACTATGAATAATACAAATACAGTACAATGAGCTACACATACATACAAATTGTAAGATAAATATTGTATAGATTTCTAAAACACAATTAACCCAAATCATTAACATTCACTAGTGATCATAATTTTTTCTAAATTATTATTATTTATAAATCATTTTTATTATATTTTATTTAAAACTATATTTAATTTATTATAATTAATTAAATATAAATGTTAATTATTTTTTCGAAAGAAACTTTGTTTTCTTAAAAATTGGGTTTATTTTTATTAAGTTATTAACAATAACATTATTACATGTATAATAAATATTATACATTATTATCAATTTTATAATTTTGGGTAAATTTGTAAATTATTTTGAAATTGCTTATCCTTGACAAACTAATTTAATGTTAGTAAATATAATTAAATACAAATACAATACTAAGTTTATTAAAATAAAATCAATTGTCAATAGATTTATATAATGATGAAGACGTGGACACAATTCGGACAAACGACTGGTATGTCAAACGATTTTTATTAGCGCGCCGTCGGGATGTCGACCAAGCGTTTCACATGATTAGAGATACTATGAGATGGAGACAACAGTTTGGTTTATCAGACATGAAGGACACCGACTTTCCCGCAGAGTTTTATAAAGTCGGCGGACTTTTCTCATATGAGAAAGACTTGGAGGGAAATGTTGTCATTTATTTACGAATACGAATGCATCGGAAGATACCGGAAATGGCGGAACCAATTAAAAAGTTTTTAATGTTTATTGTTAACAAAGTTGATAAAGAAGTTGATGGTAATGGTATGGCCATTGTGTTTGACTGTTCGGGTGCCGGCTATTCCAATATGGATATGGATTTCTTGTCATTTTTGATAACCGCCGGTAACTCGTATTTTCCCGTTGGACTCAAATATATTCTCGTTTACGAACTTTCGTGGCTTTTAAATGCTTTCCGCAAAATTGCAATGTCTTTAATACCGCAAACATTTTTACCACTTATTAAATTTGCCGATAAATCTAATGTAAAACAATATATAACTACTGAAGCATTGCCTGATTTTATGGGCGGAACCTGTAAACGAAATTACAGATATGTACCAAATGGATGTACAACTGTTGCCAAACTGGCCATTGAAAATGGTTTCACTCAGACAGATATTGACCGCATTTTGCCATTTTATGAACCACTTCTTGAAGAAGCTGACAAAGCATTACAAAACAATCATTATATCAACAAAATAAATGACAAAAATGATATTGAATTAAACGAAATTAATGAAACTAAAGATATAATAAAAGATAGCATTGTTTGTCAAAATAAAACGATTCAAAAGTCAACTATAATGGGAATATTTCCTAACGATTTCATACAATTAATATATAGCTCACACTCGGAGTCGTATGAATCCAATGTTTTACTGCAAAATTTGTCGGACACTCCGATTGCATATAAAATTCAATGCAATAACGCCAACAATTACATAGTGTATCCCCGTTTGGGTGTCATCATGAGTGGCGCCAATGTCCGCTGTAATATCCAATTGATGTCCGAACAAAGTTACCGAAAACACGACAAGTTTCTTATTGTATCGGTTCCGGTCAATGATCATAAACTTACTGTCAATCAATTTGCCAAATTATGGACTGAAAACGATACTAAAACTAATATATATTCTCATAAATTGTTGACAACATTAAGTGAATTTGTTAATGAAAATAATAGCAATGTATTGATGGGAAAAAAGATGGCTGAAAGTGATCTAAATGAAGAAGTGGTAACATTGCGATCGTTGTGTCAACAGTTGGAAAGACGCCAAACACAGCTATCACTCCTCCTCTATGTCTTACTAATAGCAATGTCTATACTCTTGATTTTGGTCTTATATAGCCATTCATACACTGAATTCCTATCACTTGAAAGTCTAACTATACGTAAGTTTGCGCCCAAAGTGTTTGTCACCAATGAGTGAATTTTATATTTATTTAAACAAAACTTTACTTTATTTGTTTATAACTATTAAATTGAATATCTATTTACGTTATGTACAAAAAAATAATTATTTTTAATTTATATATTTGTTAAATTTTTATTATAAAAGATTTTTATAAAAGATTATTTTTAATACTTGATTGTGTAAATAATGTTTAGGTCACAGAATAAGCACAAAACATAAAAAACAAACAAACAATAAATAATTTTGTTTGTATTAAGTTGTGATATAAAATATAGCTCAAGAATTTAGACTTTTATGTATACATTATGTTGAAATAATTGTCCAAATATTCATAAAATTTGATACAATTTCTATACAATGTATATTATTTTGATAATTTATTAGTATTGTTATTAGAATACTAGAATATATTTCAATATACTATAGTCTTATAATTATAAATTTGTAATAGCAATTAAAAATTATTATATAACAAATGTTTATATGAAATAGTTTATATGATTTTAATTATTCAAGATTATTAAAGTTAATAATAATTTTTTATTCTCAAATAAAAAATAAATGTTTAAAATAAAAATATGTATTTTTAAATAAGTTTTTGAAAACCATTAAGTCATAAATTATTTTATGAATACAGTATATATGGAAAAAGATTTATTTTAGTAGAGATTCTGAAATAAATACACTTTTTGTTAAAAATGGTCTTTTAAAGCAACTTTTAATGTGAATATCAATTATCGACGGATATATTACTCTATTCAAGGTTAGCAATGAATGAATGAGTGTAAGARAGAGAGAGAGAGAGAGAGAGAGAGAGAGAGAAGTTTCTAATAATATATATGCAACTCATGGGCACATCTTATAACATCCCTGTTCTCAAAATATTCATTTACACCATCAAACCGTTACACTTACTATATGTCTCTCCTTATTAAGCAATAAAAAAATCAGTCGACTCTATAGCAAAGTCTGGAGTCTGAGTGAAAGTTTGTTGGCTTTTGAATTCAACTATTTTTACTCTTAAGTCAAGTATTCAATTGAAAGACAATTATTTATGAAATAATTGTTTTAATTGTTGTAATCAAGAATATCACGAAACGGATCAATTGTGAGGCAAAACAATAAAAACAATTATACAATGAATCAAAAGATAGTAAAATCAGAGATTTTAGAAGACTTAAGACAGTTGTTTGGCTTTTATATCATAATAATAATATAATAATAATCTTTACTTTACTGTCAAAACATAAATGCAATTAAAATGGTGTTACAATAGATTTGGTGTTACAATAATTATAATTATATAATCATTTGATGTAATAATAATTATATAATAATAATAATAATCAAAATGAAATATATTTTTATAGATTTTATAGTAGTTGTTATATTTGTTTTGATTAGATATCTTAAAAGCATTTGCGGTGAACAATAGCAGGTCCGGCCTCGTCGTACTCTTGCTTGGAGATCCACATCTGTTGGAAAGTAGACAGAGAGGCGAGGATTGAGCCTCCGATCCAAACCGAGTATTTCCTTTCAGGTGGTGCGATGATCTTGATCTTGATGGTGGCGGGTGCCAGGGCAGTGATCTCCTTTTGCATGCGGTCAGCAATACCCGGATACATAGTGGTACCACCAGACATGACAGTGTTGGCAAATAGATCCTTACGGATATCAATGTCGCACTTCATGATTGAATTGTATGTCGTCTCATGGATACCACAGGCTTCCATACCCAAGAAGGAAGGCTGGAAAAGAGCTTCGGGTGCGCGGAAACGTTCGCCTCCAATGGTGATGACCTGTCCGTCGGGCAATTCATATGATTTCTCGAGACTGGAAGATGTGGCAGCGGTGGCCATTTCATTCTCAAAGTCGAGGGCAACGTAGCACAGCTTCTCCTTAATATCGCGAACGATCTCCCGCTCAGCTGTTGTGACGAAAGAGTAACCGCGTTCTGTGAGGATCTTCATCAAGTAGTCAGTTAAGTCACGGCCAGCCATATCCAGACGCAAGATTGCATGAGGCAAAGCATATCCCTCATAAATGGGAACAGTGTGAGACACACCATCTCCAGAGTCCAATACAATACCAGTTGTACGACCAGAAGCATAGAGGGAGAGTACGGCTTGAATGGCAACGTATACGGCGGGGCTGTTGAAGGTCTCAAACATAATTTGGGTCATCTTTTCTCTGTTAGCTTTGGGATTAAGGGGGGCTTCAGTCAAGAGGACAGGACTCTCTTCTGGGGCAATACGGAGCTCATTGTAGAAGGTGTGATGCCAGATCTTTTCCATGTCATCCCAATTGGTAACGATACCATGTTCAATGGGGTATTTCAGGGTAAGGATACCTCTTTTGCTCTGGGCTTCGTCTCCAACATACGAGTCCTTGTTACCCATACCCACCATAACTCCCTGATGTCTGGGTCGGCCAACAATGGATGGGAAGACAGCTCGGGGAGCGTCATCACCAGCAAAGCCTGCTTTGCACATTCCGGAACCATTGTCTACAACAAGAGCGGTCACTTCGTCGTCGCACATATTGATTTGATTTGATTTGTTGTTTGACTAAACTGTTAGTTATAATTATAAAGTATTGCTAACACTGTTTTAGCTTAGTCTTCACCAAAGACACGGACACTGCAAACTCTAGAACTCAACTGACTTTTTCAAACACAAGAGCTCCCGATTTTGGTCTCTTAACATATAATGTCATCCAATGCAAGTGCTTAAACACCGCGTGCGCCGGAGTCACCACAAGCACTGTCAACATAACTATTACCAAAAATGTCAATGAAGAGCACTGGGAGTTATTTAAGGATCAAAGGGTGTTCTCCCAGAGATTCTTTCCATTCAAACATACATTTAAAGCTATCGTTGAACAGGAATGTCATGCTTTTCACTTCACTATATCTTATGCCTCTATTTGTCCATTCATTCAGTTTTCATTCACAGGTCATTATCTGAGTTCACTATAATATTGTTTCAAACTTTTTATTAAAACTAATAATTTGTTGGGTTTTCATGAAACATAGTATTATCTATTTTAGTTTAAATAAATATATTTTAATATTAAGCCATATATAGTATTTTATATTTAAATAAGAAAAAATGTATTAAATAATGTATGTTTGAATTATTGTTCGTTTAAATTAATTTTTAATTTTTTCAATTTGCAAATTCAGTAAAATATAAACTAATTTTAATATTGTATATAAGTTTAAAAAAATATAAAATTCAAATGCATAAAAATATTTAAAAATTGTTATCAATATACTAAATATACAAATAGCGCCAAAAATATAAGGACCTAATTAAGGAAAGCAAGAAATTCTTAAACAGTTCCTGACGTATGAGTCTTTGCTTAAGTTTCCATATAATTATCAAAACTTAATATAAAGTCTATGAGTAGTCGTCTTCAGACATGAATTCATTCAATGCTATTCTTGTATTTGTGAGTAAACTCATACCATTACTTATCCCCCGTCCATACATACACATAGACACAGTTATAGTACGATCCATACGAGCATAACATCATATCACTACTCAGACAGGGCTCACATCACATCACACCCCATCCCATGCCTTAAATGGGTCTCAAATGAATAGAGCTCTTCAATGAAAATGTTTACTAAACCATTGCTGAGGCAAACAATTAAGCTCTCTCTCWCTCTCTCTCTCTCTCTCTCTCTCTCTCTCTCTTGCTTTCTATCTTCTGTATGACTAACTTATAATAACAGTTCTCTTCTTAGGCAAAGATTCGTCACTTTCACTCTCAAAATGGTTTCAATTTATTTAGCAAAACATGTATTAATTTTGTTCAACACTTATACTAAGTCTGATTAAATGCCAAAACTATTGTCGAAAAAAATACTTTTTATAAAATAATATTTTATTGTCAAAGTTCGTTAACTTGCGACTCATAAGCATCTAATTATCTTAAAAATAAATTACAATTATTTCATAAAAATTAATTTTTAATAATTATTTCTTATAATAAATTTTATGAATAGAAAATAATTAAAAAAGTAATCATTATTAATCATAACTTATTGATTAAAAAATATAAGTATTAAATATACAGTATATGTGATTAACATAAAGGGTGTGTCAGTTGTTGATAGAAGTGTTATCAATCGATTACCAATCGGATGCACCAAATCTTTGAATAATCTTTTGTTGATCCGATAATTCAATTTTAATTTTCTTTCTCATATAAAATATGGGACAATCACAGCTATTATGTTTAAGAGATAAATTTAGTCATCAATTATTAAATACTCATTTAGTTTGATTGCAAACCTCGTGCATATGACTTCTTCAATAAGACTTCCCTGACATCTTTGACATTGTGTCCACAATTTATTGAATTTAACCTCTAATTCATTGAGTCGCTGTACTTCACTTTGATAGAGTTCGGGCTCATCTTCAACACAGTAGTCACAAGTGGCTAATTCTTTAATACATTAAAAATAAATATATATTTCATAAAAATTAAAAATAATTTTATCAAAAATTCAGTAAAAATAATGTACTGTAAAATTGTAAGTTAATAATAGTTAACTAGGATAATTGTTATCATAAATGTTAGTAGCTAAAATAAAATTAAGTAACCGTAACACATTTTAATTATTAAAAACGTTATTTTTAAAATAGATAAAAAAAAGTCAAAAATAAATGTTTTAATCATACATTTGACTAATAATCATCACTTACTGTCGTCATTGAGCGGTGTTTTACATTTAATACAAGTCTGTCGTTTGCTGGTGAACTTGGAGAGTGCGCCCACTTTAGATGTGACCACCGTTTTGGTTCGGGTGTGATCACCTCCTAAAGTTTGTTATTAAATGTTACTATGCATACAATGACTAATAAAATTGACAAAAAATGCAAAACTCACTTAAAATAACAGATTCAGTCCTTTCTTTAAACATTGGCTCAAATATTCTGATCAAAGGTTTGGACAACTGATTCTCTAAATAGTATTGAGTGTCAATCGGAATATTATTGTCCAATACATACAACGGATCTTCTGATTTTTGATAAGCAGGAGTTCCTTTAGCCGCAGCTATTATAACAAACGGCACTCTATCGCCAAGTTTTGGAGCGGAACCGGCATCTCGTTTGGCCATTCGGTGAGCCAACTCTACGTGTGCCTGTTTAGCCGCATATTCGCTATCATTTTTGGTTAACTCTTTAGTAATAATTAAATTAGAAATATCTACGCGATTACAAAGTAAATCAGATATTGTTTGTTTGGCGTAATCTACGGCTCCCTCCTGGTCGCGATCAATCAAAAGTTTCTGTAAACACGTACTAATCATATTAGCCACAAGTGGACAGTTGTCTCTACGCACTGTTTCGATGCCTTTACAATCCATTTTATCGTATTTCTCAGGTTTAGTCCAATAAAGACCCGCATATCGCTTCTTATTAATTAAAAGATAAGGAAAATATACTTTTTCAAACTCAAGTTTAATAGGACTGATAAACTTTTTGGTGATCTCAATGGCCGCCTGTTGACCAAATTTCATGGCTTCCGATACCGTTTTAACACCAAAGTTAACCATAACTGAATCGGTGTCACCATAAATAACTTGAGCGTCTTTAGGGTAACCATTGTCTACTGTATACATTTCTTCGACACTTTTTTTGGTCAAATCTATCATCAGTCGGCCGAATGCCGTCACACTTTGGGATATATCAAGACACGGAAGTTTACCCACTTGTGCTCCGGTAAAGCCATACACAGAGTTGGCACTAATTTTAAGAGCCAATTGTCTGCCGTCTAATACTTTTCTTTTCAGTGGATCTTTTTCTTTCTTAAGATCTTCTTTGGCTTTCTTTCTTGCGGCCAACAAGTCTTCTAAAATTTCGGGTAACAATCCTTTGCGGACATCTGTTTTGACAAAATAGCTACCGGCGGGCGTCCGGATGTACTGATCCTCTTTCATTTCGTTAATCTTTTTTGGTTGAAGAAGAGTTGTATAACACAAATTATGTGCCATCATTATAGAGGGATATAGTGACGCAAAATCAAGAGTCGCAATGGGAACATCATAATAACCTCTGACCGGTTCAATGACAAGAGCGCCGCTAAAGTCATCTCCTTGTGCCGGCTTAAGAGATGGCATTAACAGATCCTGTTCCAGGGCTTTACGTAATAATTGAGATACAACTTTCACCTGTTGACCTCTGGTCAATAAGTATGACAGAGGAACTCCAGTCACTCTCGCCATTTCCATGTAATTAATAATACACATCAATTTATCAATCAGTTTCAATGGCAGCAAAGCATCTTTGAGACAATAGACGGCCAGACGTTTGCGGGTTTGATCGGTTCCGTTCTGTAATTCAGTAATTATCGAGTGATGGACATCTTCTTTCTGTTCTTGAAGAAAGTGATAGCTGACTGCATTCAATGTATAAGATCTTAATTTGTAATCTCTTAACAAAACCAACAGTAAGTCGAACTGAACTCTTCCTTCAATATTAATGTCTTTATTCTCGCGTTTTCCCAATTGTTTTGATTGAAGAACTCTAGTCCTGACCTTTGTCTGGCTTCTCTTAATTCGACCCAAAAATGGAAATGTATTACATTTGATATGTTTGGCTCTTTCAATAAGATATCCTAAATCGAAATTCTGAATATTATAACCAGTAATCATATCGGGATCACATTCGCGGACAAAGTCAGCCCAAGCATTAAGCAATTTCTTTTCGTCTTCAAAACACTTAACTTCATTGCCAACAATAGGCGCACAATCCTTCAGACAGAATATCACTTTAATAAACGGTTCTCTCTCTCCTTGTCTTATAACATAATTGGCTATTTGAATGACTGGATCCATATCTGGCTCAGGGAAGATACCTTTTCTTCCGGCGCATTCAATGTCAAAGCTTAATACTCGAAGAGGTGCTATTTTAGACCAATTACCCTCCGGTTCATATGACTTAAACTTATTATAGGCAATGTCTACTTCTAATTGACAGCGAGAGTCCATTTCTTCAACATTACGTATAGTATAAGTGCCGGCCGGCAACTCAATCCAATTACAGCCAACAACGTGTGTATCGACCATAAATCGGATGTCATAATCAATATTACTTTCATATGACTGAATGCCTTCAGTAGAGAAAGCACTGCTATTTGACAGAATACGCGCGGCTGCGGCCACCAATCGTGGCAAACACATCGTTATCTTAAGAAATGGTATTTTTTCATAGCCTTTATAGCCATAAATAGACTGTTTCTGAATAATATCAACGGCCAAAACAGCATTTTCAATGTTATCGTTATTGGATCTCATATCTTGAATGACAGCTTTATTTAATTTGTCCATAAATTGAGACAAATTCTCTTTCTTTATACTATTCGGTGACGGGATATAAAAATACGGAGCAAAACCATGTATGTGACAGACGACTGACATACCATTATCAGTGACGCCAAACATTCTCATAATAGGTGCCACTCCTTCTTTAGGTCCGGGCATTCCTGACCTCACGGGTCCAATGTATGAATCGATGTCTATTTGTTGGAATATAATGTCATCCGTCTCGGCATTCACTTCACCTCTTTCTGGTCGAGACCACCGAACGTTGCTATGAGTGGTTTCCGGCGCTGAAACTGAAGTTAATTTATGGTTAATATCTTAATAAGAAAATCGTTTAATATTTTATAAAATACATACACATATCGTCGACCACATCCATGTCGTCTTGATTGTACTCTTCTTGAGAATCAAACTCCATATCGTCGTGAATGTCATCCAAGTCATCGTCGATGTCGTCATTATTCTGTCGAGACTTCTTCGGCGGTTGTGATTCGTTTGGCTTTGAATTTACATCAAAATTCTTTGTTTTGGTAAATGAAGACTTTGTTCCGGCATTACCTCTATTACCAAAACCAAAACCTTTCTTCTTGTTGTCCATCGATGACCACAATTGATATCAAACTCACTTCAAGAGAGTGTAATCAAAGCGACAATACTTTTGGCGCTATTTCTACACAAAGTATTGTCATATCTTTTGACTAAAACATTCAATTTATTAAACTATAAATACATTCAAATCATTCAAATCAATAATATATTAAAATAATATATTTATTTATAAAATTAATTAAATATTTTAATGTTTATTAAATTAAAGTTATTATATATTTATTTAATTATGAATATCATTAAAACATTTGTTGTCTATAACTAACTTTAACTGTATTTAACTAATGCTTTAAACTTAAAACAGTACAATATTTTAGTAAATGCATGATTTAGACCTTTTTTAGTTTATTCGATTATATAGACTTAATATATATAAAATTTATAACAAAAAGCTCTGATCGATAGCATAATTATCGGCAAACGATACGAAAGCGTTGTTTTGTGTGTTTGAAGACTCAGTCAGTGTTTGACAAAAGTTGTGATCTTTTAATCATTTAATTGTCTTTAATATCACCACTACTTAGTCTAAGACATTGGTTTGTGACTTACGTTTGTTAAATACATAGACATCTGTTTTGAAGACATGGCATACAAAGGGTCGCAGAAGATTCAGAAAGTGATGGTTCAGCCCATTAACCTTATCTTCAGATATCTGCAGAATAGGGCTCGCATTCAGGTGTGGCTAACGGAGAATATAACGATGAGAATTGAAGGACATATTATCGGATTTGATGAATACATGAATCTGGTCTTAGATGACGCACAAGAAGTCTATATGAAGACCAAAGTACGCAAACCAATTGGTCGCATACTTCTGAAGGGCGAAAACATTACACTTATTATGAGTACACAACCGCCACAGTAATAGCTGATCCCATTTGATGTCATCACACTATCACTACTATTATTATTTGACGACTATTTATATGATAATTAATGTCTAAACTATAGTTTACTTTATTTCTCATTATTGTATTTTTGTAATTAATGTATCATTTTATATATTAATATTATTAATCATTTAATAAATAATAAATTAATAGATTTGTTAACAAATACAAGATATTTGAAAGACAAAAGTTTAGACATTTATACGACAATTAAATTGTTTGAAACCATTTGTTTGATTGAGTTATCACTTTTGTTTGGTTCAAACTTATGGTTAACTTTTGGTAGCTTTTGTTTGAAGTATTTATTTGTCGGCTTCTTTGACAATATATTACTTTTCTTTAACTTTTGAATCAATTCTAATGAATATTTTCGATGATTTCTTAAGATCTCTTTAGTATTATTTTTGGCATTTGAACAGTTAGTATCAATCAATTGTTGATCGGATGACAGAAATTGTGTCCACTCTTCTTCATCTATGCTAACAGTGGTTGAATGGGAGTTATCAGTCGTGTCGTTGTTGTCACTCAAATCGGAATCCAATGAGATTTGTGTCCAATTTTTAAGATTTTGTTGCATTAGTTTTCGTCTTTTACGACAAATTGATCGATTGGCCAAAAGAAATGACAAATAAAATGAGGATATAATAAATACAAGCAAAATGAAGACAATAATTATGAGATTCATTGGGAATACAATTGATTGAAACAAAATGTTTGAATCTGTTTTTAAATAATGTCTCGTAATTATTATTGTGATAATCAATGAATTAATAAAATGTGATGTAATTAACATTAATAATAGTTGTCTAATAGTAGTCTAATACTCATATACAGTATAACAGGAAATAAAAATAATATATCTTAAATTATTTGATCTAGCATAATTTCGATTTCATATTTGTGTTTAAATTATTTATACCGGTATTTATTTTTAAAGCTAAATTTACAAATAAACAATTTAATGTATTAAATATTAATACATTATAGATGATCATTTTTAATAATCATTTAAACAAATAAAAAGTTATTAATAATGTTACTAAAAAATTATAAATTCAATACAATGTTATTATTATATTTTATGAAAATACTGTATAGAATTATATAGAATTCTAGTATAAATTGTACAGTAATACCGCATAATATATTAAAATTAATTTATAATTTTATATTACTGTATAACAAAACATTTATTTAATTATTAAATATTACTATCAATAAATGAATTAAAATAAAATTTTTAGATATATTGTAGACAAGCAATTTCATTAGTTAAATATTTTAATTCAATATTGATAATTGAACTTTTGATAAATATAAAATAATATTTTATATATTGTATGATAAATTAGGTATATAAGTTTACAGATTAATAGTGTATGTTATTAATTAATTTAAAAATGTCAAAATACTTTTTAATTGTTAACTTTAAATTAATATTCTGTAGTGTAAGTAAAATCAATCACATAGTCATAAATGTCAATATACCGTAATTATATTAACCGAATTAATTAATAAAATTATAATAATGTGTAACTATAAAAAATAACAACGATTTACATAATTAAACAATGAAAAAATGTTACATTACCGTAATTATAAACAAAAATAATTAAATTAACAAATAAAATTGAGTTTTATAATAAAATTACTTAAAATATAAATAAATTTCTATAACAAAAATTTTGTTATACTAAAATATAAATTTATATTGTATATTAACAGCAAAATGTCAATAACAAGTGTTAAAATATGTAACAATAATTAAATACTATATAAAATAAATTACTTACGATAAGAAAATTTAAAAATATGACAAACAATACGTTATATAAACAAACTCTTATGGATTTGCATTTTATAACAAATGATTTGATTTGATATCAAATAAAATAATTAATTGTTTTCACTTGTCATCTGAAGTAATGAATTAATAGTTCTGTCTTTATTTCCTCTCTGTGTTTCCATAATAGCTTTGATAACATCTATCTCTACGTTTGGAAACATTTCCGATACTTGTTTGACATCCTCTTCACTAATAACTATGGGTTGTGGTTGTGGTTGAGGTTGAGGTTGTGAACCAGTTGGTGGATGACCAGGTTGTACATACACTTGAGGCATGTTTTGACCGTAAACAACACCATATTGATTGGGAATTAATACGGGAACCATAGGAGCTGTTACTGGGTATCCAGTATTTTGAAGAGCAGTCTTATTTAAAGGCTATAAATGAAAAATATTTTAAAGTATTTAATACTTCGATATAAATCCATAAACACCGACAAACTTACTGTAAAAGATGTGACAACACATATCTGTCCCTCTTTACCATCTCCTTGTTTGCCATTGAGATCAACCCATTCCTCAACTGTTTGTCCACTGAATGTCGATTCGGGTATTTTATATAAAATCCATGCAATCATCTCATCGACAGTGAAGGAGCACTCGTCGTATATCTCAATATGAAAGGAGTCGACGCCTTGCGGTAAATAACTAGTCGTTTAATAAATAAATAAATAAATTTGATTATCAATTGTGTGGACTCTAGACATACCAATGGAAGACTTTGTTCCACTTGGGATTCTTGGCTCCGTTATAGCTATAATACAATGGTTAAGACAAATCAATTACCTAATTATCACATATTATTTATATCGTAATTATTTCAAAATATTATCATATCTTTACAAACCAGGTTCTGGTCTCATAAATATGGTGTCCGATTCTGAGTCTAACGTATGGATCCATTCGAGTGACACCATAGTTCTTGACAAGTCTGGCCTCAACTATCGTTACATCAAGTCTTCCCCTAATATTCTGTGGACTGGCTGTCCATCTGTGATACTGTTGCTGTTGTAAAGCCATAGCCACTTCTTCATCGGCTTGGATCTGATGCAAAGTGCGTGGACTCTGTACTGTCTCACCATTAGTACCATCATTGGCGTCAAATCTTAAGAAATCTTCGGGTAAGCGACCAATCAATATGTTAGTATTGTTTCGGACGATACGTTCGCCGTCCATATTGTTAGCCACGGCTTTCGGTGAAGTGCTGGCCATTGATGACATATATGCGATGATAATTGGTTTTAAAATTTAGATAAAACCACTGATTTGGTCAATAATATACTGTTTATAGCAATTGTTATCAACGATTGTCACTCAAGTGATGACTAAATCCTATGATTATTAATATTTTGTTTCATTTACTCATTCAATATAATGTGTATAATATGTAAGCAATCGCTCAAAAACAGCACTCTTTGCACACAAATATTGTAACAAATATTATGACAATTATTGTAAGCATTGATTCAATAGTCTATTGAATAACACACAGTAATTGTCTTTAGTATAGCAATACTTTCCGATTATAAGTGTTATGTAATATGTGTTTAAAAATATTAAAGTAAATATTATTACGAAATTTTTTAGGCAAATATAGTGACGATTCAAATATTTCCTTTAAATTACTGATTATTTATTACTAAAACAACACTTTTTTTTAATATGAAAAGCATTATTATTATTGAAGTCAAATATTAAACTTTTCAATACCTATACAGTACTATACAGTACTATACTTATACTACATTAGTATAATTGAAGCGTATATTCAGTATTGTATAAAATATAAGTTTTTAATTAATCATTATTTTACGTTATATATACTGTAGATATGATATTTTGAAACTAATTAAACTGTTAATTAAGTTATTTCTAAATTTAAATTTTAATGATGTTTGTAATTGAATAAAATGAAATATATTAAAATATAATGCAATTAAATAAATTTGATTATCTTTATTATTAAACCAATTGTTAATATTGTATAACTTATAATAATATTATTATTATGACTCATATAATATAAGTAAATGACACACAAAATCATTATTTGCTTCAATACCTTTGATATTGCATTTGATAGCAATTATCGACTCTATAATAGTTATAAATTTATTTATACGATACATATTATACTATACTTTAAATTATAATTATTTATCTAATGATAAAATATGATCATTTATATACAGAAAATATTATTTAATTTATTATTTGGTTATAATATAAAATTATATTACAGAAAAATAGTAAATTTCCAAATACATTAAAATATAAAAGTATTTTTATAATATGAAAGCATAAAATGTCAAATAATAAAAATTAATTAATTAAATTTATTCATAAACATAATCTATAAAAACATAGTTTATATTATAATATGTTTTAATGAGTTAGAAAATACTGTATACTTTTAATTTATCCTTAAATGGCATATACTGTAGATTAAGATAATAATTTCATATCCCATATAAATTTAGAGTTAACTCATATTTTTTAAAAACGTGACATTTTGTTGAACAATATTAAAAATGACAAAAACAAACAAAATATAAGTTAATATCAAATAAGTTTTAAAAAGTATGTTTAAATTGCAAAATATAAATTATTCTCTTAAAATTTTATTTTAAATTTACTCTGCATTAAATATTTAGATAATATTATATAAATTTATTTTATAATTTTTAATTATTATTTAAATTCTGAACAATTATTGTCAAAGTATAGTATTGGCGATAATAGATAATCCAATTTATGAATTATACCGATTGATTCGGATTAGAAATTCTAATCCAATATGAAAATTATTTAATTTTTAGTATATTATATAATTCTATCAATTATTTAACATTTATAAATAGCTTATTTAGTTTACAAACATATTTTTATGCTTAACTTTAGACTAAACAAAATGATAATAGCCTATATAAAATTAATGTAATTAATACAAAATTTAATGTTGTTATGATTTGTGTGAATAAATTATAACAAAATAGAAAATATAAATAAATTACAATAATAAGTTTAACTATTATAATTAATTCATGATTAATGAAAAATAAACTATAAAATAAAGTATAAAACATAAATAATAACTGTATAGAAAATGAGACTATAATTGTCATTGTTTTTCAATTCATATAATCTCAATAATATACAATATTTTTTATAGTTATAAAAAGTGTTGTAAATTATTGTAATTTTTTTTAATATTAAAATTACTATAAAATAAGTTTATTAATAATTATTTTTAAATTTTTACTCTAAATTTTTAAGTATAACTATACTATAATTATATAAAAATAATACTTACATATAATTTATAGGATATTCTTATAATAAGAATATTCTGGTTGTAATCAAATACTGTATATTACTGTTTAATGCAATCATTTTGTGGACGATATTATTGTTAGGAATAATAGCATTAAATGACTGAAATATATTGTTTTGTATAATATTTATTACAACTGAGTCTACATATTGTAGTTAGAGTTAGATTAGATTAGATTCCCTCGTTTTATATTCTAAAAGTTCCTTATATTCCCTGTTCTCTGGGAATTCATAGGAATCTATTTTCTTGTGCTATCATCTATTAAACTCTAAACAACATATTTTATTAAAATGTTTGAAAAACAAATATTTATATTGAGGGGTAATTGGGACCGACTAAAAATTGAGGCAAAGTTCCAAATGATCGATCTATAGACCGATCAATGTCGCAACTTTCTCTCAATATTAAATTGTAGTAAAAATAGTCACTAAATTTATTTTTAAATATTTCAATATATTTTTGCAAAATATTTAAGTTTTGTTACTATTTATTGTAATAATATATTGTATATTTTCCCTTTCTAATTGAGGAATCAATGGATGTATAATAAAATATATTTTTATATTTTCCGGGAAAATTGGAGGGATTTTTTTTATTGGGAACTTCCCTACCTGTGAATGTTGATTGAACTCTAACTGTATTTCTGTATAATGAGATTGTCATCAATTGATAGACTATTTGCTACTAAACGCCCATTAATTTGATTGCATTTAACAATAATATTAATCACTTTAACCATTAAATCATTTTAATTGTCTTTAATTATAATAAACAGTTGACTATTACCACACAACTGATCCAAAATGGCTTTGAGTGACGCAGACGTTCAGAAACAGGTATTTCTCCGATAATTTATTTACCATTTGATTGATTTATCTAATAATTACTAACATATTATCTTAAGATCAAACATATGATGGCTTTCATTGAACAAGAGGCCAATGAAAAGGCAGAAGAGATCGACGCCAAGGCTGAGGAAGAGTTTAATATAGAGAAAGGAAGACTTGTTACCGAACAGAGACTGAAGATTATGGACTTCTACGAGAAAAAGGAGAAACAGGTGGAACTGCAGAGGAGAATGTATGTCATTATTATCTTCTTTTGATATATTGATAACTATTTGGACACTTTCTGTCAACTTAATCATTAGTCAGAACAGTCACATGCAAAACATGGCACGACTTAAGGTTCTTAAGGCACGAGAAGAGCACATACGTAATGTCAATGAAGAGGCCAGACATAAGCTCATGGAAGTGACTAAAGATCCCAATCTATACCAAAAAGTTCTTCAAAAGTTGATCGCACAGGTATTGGCTAACTATTGATTTATACTGTATATAACATTTACAAGACTTGTCAATACCATAGAGTTTGTTTCAACTCTTGGAGAAACAAGTGGTCGTCCGGTGTCGACAACAGGACATTCGTATTGTTGAGAATGCTATGGGATCCGCACAACAGGAATATAGAGACGCCACTGGAAAGGATGTGGAGATGAAATTAGATACCGAAAGTTTCATTGGATCCGATAGGTATTCAACAAAATGCTTACCTGTAAGTCATTATTATTGTCTAATACTTTGTTTCTATTTATAAACAGTTGTGGAGGAGTGGAACTGATAGCAAATAAGGGTAAAACCAAAGTGACCAACACTTTGGAGAGTCGTCTTGAATTGATTAGTCAACAGTTGTTGCCTGAGATTAGAACAGCTCTTTTCGGTGGTAATGCTAACCGAAAATTCAATGATTAAGACATAACGTGTAATACAATTGCAAATATTATAGCGTTAATCACATTCCAGTTATTGCTATTATTAAAAAATAATCGGAAATATCTTTTGGATATCATTTTGTTTTACTTTGTTTTTATTAGTTTTATTTGATTTACAATAAATAGTATATACAGTATATATCATATACTAGTCCAGAGTGTACTCTAAATGTAGACATATTAACGATTAAACGGATTAATGTAATTAAATTTAATATAATTAAATCACACAGTTTATCAATACAACGAAACATTAATGACATATAATTATAATTTATTGCTAATTAATATAAAAATATTTAATTATTTGATGTCAAATGGTTATATTTCAATAATCGTAATGTACTACAGTATATGTGCAACTATTATCATATACAACCTCATGACATCAAATAAAAATTATATATTTAATTGAATGCCGTTAACTGTTGTAATAATCAATGTATGGATAAGTTTTAATGTAATTGTTTCGGTAAATATATTGTCACAATTAGATCTTAAAAAATGTTGATTTAAATCAATGTTTTTGTTTAATTTGATTAATAAATGATTGATTGCATTTTCATTTGTCATATAAATTTGTTGAGATGTTATATCCATTACCGGTAATTGGTTTAATGGTAGTCTTAAATCATTTAAATGAATGTTTTTAAATTGAAGTAAGTCTTTGATTTGATTTGATATAAGATCAGCCAAAACAAAATGATCGGCAAATATATTGAGTTTACTTTTATCAAAAAATCGTTCATCACTTTCATCGTTATCTGATTCTTCATTATTTTCCATTTCAATCATAATTTTTGACAAATGATAGACACATAAAATAGTATCAAAAGACATATAATCTGCAAATAGTTTTAAACATAGTTTGAGTGCCTTTCTTGAAGCAATTTCTTCTTCTGATTGATTACTCAAAGAAACAACAATCTTAACGGCCATTCTTCTGATATCACTATCATTGTCTTCAATTAAATTGATTAAAGCTCTCCATAAATAAACGCAAATTTCATTATTGTGTATATTATTGATAATAATATTTAATGAATTATTCAAAATATTGACTGCAATTTTACGATTTGATATATTTTGGACATCACACGAATAGTTGATAATAAGTTGACACCATTTCTCATATAATCCATCAGTAAAATGATCACTAATTATGGTTTTTATAAATTCATTGACAAATTGAGAACTTAGTAGAATAACAGAGACTTTTATTTCAGTATCTGTACTCTTGAGGAATGCATTTATAAGTAATGCAAAGTTATTCAAATTTAATTTGTTATCAATATTTATTAAATCCATAATTGATCCCAATTTAGCCAAATTATAATTTGTAATGTAATAAATAAAACGAAATATTTGTGCCACAAATGCATTAGCAATAGAGCTAAAAGTATTTGAAACATTTTGGGTATTTTGATATATAAATTGTATGAAATATTTGAACTCTGGTGATGACAATAAAATTTCATATAAATTCAAATCAGATATTAAATGCCTGATATTTGACACTTTAATATAAGGCACTGAAAACACACTTTCGTATTCATTGTCATCAATTAAATTACAATAAGTATTAGTGTTATTGTGTAAGGAATTGGTAATAATTTTTAATGCAATTAGTTTTGCTTCAGAGTAGCGTTGATTTTCACTCAAAAACAATTGTGAATAAAATTTGTGCTGTTTTTCAATTGATTGCTGACATGAAATAATACTTCGTGTCAAATATACATAATATTCATCAGTTTTATCCATATTATCGCAAAATTCTGTCATTAAAATATTAAACAAAATTTCCTTATCATCAATTGTCAACATTAAATTTGTTGCTAAATTTTCAACAATATTTATAAACTGTGGTAATGAATAATATGAAAATTGTTTGCCGTAATTGAGAAAATTATAAAAATTTAAAACAATTTGTTTCGAAAAATAGTTAGTTTTTGAGATTAGTTGATTGAAAATTAATGATAATCCATGAAATTGATTGTTTGATTGAATTGTTTTATGTGTAAACTTATTAAATATGTCATTCAATACATTTTCTACATTTGATTCTTCAATAAATTGGACAAATACTTTGGCTGCGAGTACTCGAAGTCTAAAATGTGGACAATTGGTTGATAATATCATAAGATGTGGCAAAAAGACATTCATGTCGTATATATTTGTTGTATTAATAGATGGAATTAACTTCGAAAGTATCAAAAGTAATGGATATAAAGGAATGCATTCATAATGTAAGGCATTTGTTTGAAATGTTTGTCCATTGATTGTAATCTGTAAGCAATTTATCAATTGTTTTAGTAAGAAGTCATAGAGTGTGGGATAGTTAGTGAAGAAGAGATATGTAGACATCTTATTCTTCTTGTTGTTGTCGTCTTTATTTCGTTTTACACCAAAAATTTTAATCAAAAGACAATTACAAAGCATTGCCGAAGAATTGCGAATCGCAAATGATTTGCTTTTGAAACAAATAAAACATATTTTAATCGATTGTTCGACAAAAGGCTTAATCTTATCCATCATTCGGTGATCTCTAATCAATGCTCTAATTATATTCAAACAGTGGATTATTTGCCACTCTTTTGAGTCAAAATCCGAAAGTATATTCAAAAGACGAGTCATTGTACGGTTAAAATAGTTATTAATATAAAGAGATGGTTCACCGCTAAGTATAGCCTGAATTACAAACGGAAGTCCAGCTGAACGTCGTGTTAGACATCCTTTTACTTTATTGTCTTCAATAGTTTTGCCTAAATTATCGATTATATCATCAAGAATTTGGATCACTTTTGCAGAACAAATACATTTATTATTCCAAATGTTGTCAATCAATAAACTGAAAGCACTGGCTGTCTGTTCAAAAGCACCCCTATGTTTGAGTGCCATTAGATTTGAATACAAAAAATCTATAATCATAATAGTTTGGTGACAATCAATAATTGGATTGTCATTAGAGCAATGAAAATGCCATCGATTTGTCAGTTGACATAACTGTGCCAAAAGCCAAGCACTCTCTTTGATTGTCTTCCAGCCATTCAATAGTAATAACTGTGATGTTATGTGCAATACTTTTTCATCCGATACTCTCTCATCAATAGATAAATTCAAAAGTTTGTTAATAAGTTCTTGTGTGACAAACTGACAATCCATTGGCAAATAACCCTCAGGCGAGTCATTACAAACTATATAATTGACTGATTGGCTACTCTTAACACTTAAATCAATCACTTTGTCTATCAATTGTCTCCAAAGTTGCACTTCTGAACAACTAATAAGTCCAAAGTCCACATCATTTATAAGTGATTTAATACATAAAAGTTTGGTATATAACGGATATTTTGCTGCGGAAATAATCACATCTTTAGGCTCAGCTTTGATGAATCGCTCGATATCTTCACTAAATTTATGAATCAAATCATAAATCAAATGATTGCAGTCTTTTTTATTTTCAAACACTTCAATGTTAACAATTAGTCTGTAGAGATGGACAGCCGTTATTGAGTGACCGGGTGTCGCACTTTCACTCAATTTGTTTGCTATTTGTTTTAGTTGTAATAAATGGTATTCACTAACTGATAACAATCTTAATTTCAAATATGATACTATTATTTTAATGGCAATCACTTTATTTTCCTCAAAGGAATCGCTAATAATTTTCACTAAATTGATAAAATATTTATTAAAATCAATTGTTTTAAATATGGGTAACATATAATCATTTGGTGCAATCAATTCATTCATTATATCTATTAATTGCAATTTTATTAAAGTTACGCCAAAGTAGTCATCGATTCGCAAATCATTTAAACACAAATTGATTATAAAACCAATAAAACTATTATAATATTCTTGAATTTCATTATAAACTGATATCTTATAATTTGATTTCAAACTATCAATAAGTCTTTGAAATAGTTTTTGAATTAATGCAACAAATCTCTGTCGGCAATAGCTTTGTTGACTATTAATATTATAAATCATTGAATCACTAATTAATTGTAAGTCTTTTCTGTCGACTATTTGTGATGTTTTTCTGCATTCAATGATCAATGAGAGGGCATCTAATCTAATGTAATCTTCAAAATGAGACAATGACTTATTAAGACAATCATTATAATAGGTTGATGTATCAAATGTTTCATTCAATGATTTGTTTAACTTAGCAATGGATAAGAATTGGCGACAATTTAATACTTTCTCTTCAATCAGTAATTGATTACAAAGACTTTTAACAAATAACGAATGCTTTTTAGTTAGTTTTGGTAAAACAATGTCAAATATGGGATCAGTTTTGTTGCACTTGTTTTTTGACATCATATTACATGATTTAATCAAAATAGTGATTTCATAAATCCATTTGTCTGAAATCCTGCGGTCATTAAGTGACAAAACAGATGACATAAAAAAAATAATATCATTAATGCCATCATTTCTTTCAATCAACAAGTGCTTCATCTCTTCAATAATCTCGTAAACTATATCACCAAATATAACAATAAAATCTTTTACGCCAATTGATTGATAAATATATGTAAGCAATTTATACTTGTTTAGTGGGTTCTTTGAATGGCAATTAAATTGAGTATAAATAAGATTAAGATAATCATTGAGTTCATCTTTGGTTAATAAAAGTTGTTTTATGCAAAATATATTTTCGATAATTTGTTTTATTTGATCCAATGTTGAGTTAAAGTTATTGTCGACAAATTCAATCATCTGATCGCACATTAAATCAATACATTGAAAGCGATTTTTATCTTTTTGAAAAATTTGTTGAATATCAATGTCTTTGTGAGTTAACAATTTGATCACCACATGAGTCCAATTGACAAACAAATGTGATTGTAATATAAGAAATTGTTGATCCTTTAAGTCCTTATTTGTTGTCAAACATTGAATTTCATCTAAACTGTTGAAACTATTACTTAAAATCACATCCAAAGGTGAATATGTTATTAAAGAAGATGAGATCAATGCAAGACGTGATCTATCATCAAATGTATGACTATTATTGATATAATCCATAAACTTATCAAATGATTTATAATTAACGGAATAAACTAAAGATGTTATAAGAGATGCACTAATTATACAACCAATTGGTATGACTTTTATGGCCAATACTTGACATTCAATAGCATTCAATAATGCATTCATTGTATTATTATTTATCATATATTTATTGACTAATTTTATATCAATATTTGTCTTAAGTTTTTGTAATATTAGATAAATTGTGTTTAAACTTAAGTGATATAAATGACAGAAGTTGTTCCCATTATTTATATTAATTTCCAAAATATTTTTGACATTTATTTTGTCGTTAAACTCAAGTTTAAAATATCTAAAAACTTTTAGTAAATAATTGAAAACAACTTCAAAATGAAATTCTTGAGAAAAGACAAAGTGTGTGAACAAACAGTTAATATTTGATATGTTTTGTTGGTAATGATCAACAAATGCAATCATATCGTCATCGGTGGTCATCATATCATAAAACATATCAAATAATTTATCGTTATATGTCTTATAAGGGTTTTGTCGCAACAATTTTAAGCACATCTTATGCAGTGATGTATTGGTGTCTTCACTAAACAAAACACAAGCAATCAAGTGGTGAATCAATTGACCAAAAGTGGTCTCATATTGACTGCCAATCATAGACCTGTTGTGAAACAATTCAATCACTTTTAATGCATTTATTACATCCAATTGATTATTAGTTTGTGTCCAAAACAGTGACAATTGTTTATCAATTTCATTCAAACCGTTAATTTGTGACAAACTTTGCTGTAAATTACATTTTTTCAGCAAATATTGTCTGTAATTGTTATTATCACTCATTTTGTCATTCAATTACTACACATTTAATGGTAAATATATTACTTTAATTTATTTGTATTGTAATTAATATATTTAATTAAAACATTAAACATATTAAACATCATTTAATATACAGTAATGAAAGCACGTGTTATACAAAACATACTGTATTTACAATACAATACACAATCAGCTGATCTGCATATGTGTTGTTTTTATTGAAACTTTCAATGCATTCAATTAGTTATGTTTTAACATTAATTTACCAAATGTTATAAATTTAATACTAACATTAATTAGGTATTATTTTTTACATAAAACAAAAATAACTTAATTTAGTCGTCACTATACCTGACACTTGAATACTAAATTCATGACAACAATAAATATTTGAATCATTTTACTCTACAAAACAATTTTATTGTATATTTTATAATATATACTGAAATTTTATTTACGGTACACATTGAAATATTTGTATTATAGTTTATAGATATTAATAATATATAATTATTATTATTGATAATTTGATTTTTAATAATTTACCCAAACATTTATTATAACAATTATTGTTTGCTATCTAATTTAGATAGTTAAAATAGACTATAAATGTCAAAATATTATATAACAATAAGTTTCTAACAGTACCGATAAATTTTATTTTACTCTTATTTTGAATTTAAAGTATATTTAACAATATTATTATTTATTTTTTAGGTCTGAATAAAATTTGTTATAAACAACACATAGATATATCAATATATATTAGTTTTGGTAATGTTTGTTGCAATGATTGTCTTACATGATTGTCATTATTTAATTTAATTTTATAATAAGATTTTATGATAAATAAATGGCCCCAAAAATAATAAAATCACTAATATATCATTAAATAATTGTAGTAATACTGAGTTTCTTGTAAATAATAACTTTAAAAATAAGATCTTTCGATATATAAATTAAAAATAAAAATATTCATCAAAAATATAACTATAAATCAGATAAGAATAAATTAATTCAATTAATGTGCCGTTTGTTTGATTCCCAGCAAAAATTCCGCGACTCCCAGATAGTAGACTGTTTGAGCAATACCTATATTATTTACAGGTAAATAAAAAAATAGTAATTAAAAAAATATGAGTAAATTATTCAATAATTACCAAAGAGTGGTGCGATAACCATAACACGACAGACGGCTCCCTTTAAAAATGTTTTATATCCTTCTTGTTTGGAAATCTTAATGAAAGCGTCAATAATTCCGTTATATGTTTGCTCTCCTTTAGCTTTATTTAACACTTGAAGACGAGTTTTGATAACATCAAAGGGATTAACGGATACGGCGGCCACTGAACCGGCACAACAACCGGCAAGAAATGAGGCCTACAATTGGATCATAAAAGCAATTACCGGTTCAATTAAATGGTATAAAAATACGGGACAGTATGTTATATACCCAAAAAACTGATTCTCCTGAACCATCCTTTCGTTTTGGTCCTAATTTGTTAAGATTAGCAAACAATGGGAAGTAAATGACTGAAAATGACACATCTCTCAGCATTGTTGCAGCCGTTCCTCTATAGAGACCAAAGATTCCTCGAGTTTTGATTAGTTTAAGTGCAATGGCTGTCGCAGAAGTAGCCATTATTGCTTCTCCTCCTTCAATAACACCTAAAGATTAATTTACAATAAATAAAGGATTTTAAATATAATAATCCATTAATATTGTTATATTTTAAAAACCTTTAGTAGAAACTCTTCCGGCGTCTTGTAATTGAATTTTCAACAGTTCCATAGGTGTGGTCACTGATTCATAATTTTAATTATTATTTATTTATTTACTCATTGATAATTAAGATATGGATTGTTATTAACAAATTACAGACCAATTATTTGACATAAACCGGCCGATCCTCCCGACAACATTTCTCGAGGAAGGGACAACTTTCTGGTCATTATATATTTAATTATAAATAGCAAAGATATAACACAGATATACAACTATTTCGAACCCGTTATCATCAGTGAGCTTATGGCGAAAAAAATCATTGGCCGCCAGTTTGATGGCCTTTTCGGGTGTTATAAGTAATATATTGACCGCCGATCCCCTATACATCCCTATCAGACCTTCTCTACGAAATGTCTTTGAAAAACAGTCAATCCTGTTGTTAAAGAAAATCAAATTAATTAATATTATATTATTATTATTTAAGAAGTTTGTCATACATTGATCGATACATGAGTTGTCCATTTGGACCAATCTGTTGATTTTGTAGACGTGTTTTGACTATAATTTTAATAACAAATAATAAATTAAAAATTGTATACAAATGATAATAATCATGCATTTAATGACCATTGACCTATAGGTCAATCACCTAAGTCTATCGGGAATACACATGTCACTCCTATAATACCCGCAATGCCTCCGTTGACTATCTTCGGTAATAACCTTATATTAATATATAATGTTTCAAATTATTTGATATCATATGTTTGACAATCAGTTTTATTCAACAATACATACGGAAATTCTGTCTTCATTTTTGATGAATATTTTTTGTGATAATTAAAAGATAAATAATTTTTATAAAATAAATTAAAATCACTACATCAATAAAATAATCACAATTTAATAGTAAAATATCATACAATGCATATATTTTTTAATTTATAAAAATAAGATATAGTGATGTTATTGATATAAAAATATATATCAAATTAATAGATTGTGACAATAACTGAGAAATTAATTGAGATTCACTATCACTACTGTAAACCAATTTTGATAATAAATTGTGTTTAACTCATAAACTGTTATAAAATACTTTATAATTATTACATTACATATTAAATTAATATAAATTTAAGATACTATACAGTATATGTCATATACACTGCGCTAATATAATAAAATTTATGTATAATAATAATAATACTATATGTGGGGTACACTCGTACACTACTGTACTGTTTATATTAATATGTAATATACAGTACAACAGTAACTTATATCCAATAAATAGAAAATGTATAAAAACAACAGCAATGGTATGACATCTCATGTGAGACCAGTTTTCATCAATAAATTTATTTGATTGCCTTTACATTCAATAACACTTTAAATACGTAAATCAATACGTAATCCATGTGTCGGCTATTGATTTACAAGTATTTAAAGAAACAACAATAAAGTATAGACAGTAAACACCAAACTTGCCATTGATTACTATATTAAGCACTGATTTGATGTCAAATTCATAGCACATTTAACATTCATATAAATTCAATTAAAACTTAATTTATCCAAACCTTGAATTTAGTATTTATTGAGAGATAACTTTTTTTTAAATACTCTAATTATATTAAAAGCATTGATATTTTTTTAGATTTATTTAATCTTATTTCAATTTACTCAGTAATTCAATATTTATTTGTTTGTTTGAGTTTACAATATATACTTTATATAGAAAAAAATAAATTAATTGAATTTAATTAGTTTTACATTTAATAAACAGAAAGTATTTTTATAATAATATAAATAATAGATAATTATTACAACAATAATTTACAAAAAATACTTAATTTATTTATTTATTGTAGTTTCTCAAAAAGATAAGTCGAAATAATTTACAAATTGTTCAATTAATGTGATATAAATTATATACAGATATATTAATGTATTACATAATTAGCTTAAAAAAAATGTTATACCTAAATATTTATATTAATATTAACTTAATTTAAATATTAACATTTTCCCAAAAAGTGTTATGACTTAGGACTACAATTAAGTTTTTAATTATAAAATTATTAAAACAATATAATAGTTAAGTTTGTTAATAAATAAATTTTGTTAATCATTCAATTGTTGCAATAATTATATCAAAGAAATTAAATTTTATTAAAATATTAATCAATTTATGGTAATTGTCGTAGTTTTACAACAACAACAAAATTAATCAAAATTAAAGATTAACTAAATTTATAGTGTTTTGTAATAAGACGTTATTTATGTCATTAAGTCAACACATTTGTCTGAAATTTTAATAATAGAGTCATATATTGTATAAATGTATTAATGTATTGATGTATTAATCATTACTTTATATGTATTACAGTATATATATATATATAACTATAAAAACTATTGAATGAGTGAATGGCGTTCACAATAAACACTCAATTTATATATAATTTGATTAATAAAAACATTAATTAAGTGTTTATATAATTGATTTCAAGACAAACACATGACTCTATTGTCTATACCATTGATAAACATATTTAACCACAAATTATATACTTATAAGACAAACGACAAGACAGACAATGGACACAAACATGTTTTCGGTTAGTTTGACCACAATTTGTGACCACTTTTGAAATAATTGTTTTGATTGATGACTGAAAGGTTTCGATGGAAAACAATGGTTATACCAAAGATATGGACGATTTGGACGATAATTTTGATGCCTTTAATGACGAAACTTTTGGTGATATGTCCACCGATTGGGATGAAGGAGAACACCAAAAGATGCTTACAATGACCTCAAGTGATAGTTGTGAAGACAGTAATCAAGTTATGAATAAAAATACTTTTGTAAATAATAGTTCATATAATGATTACGCCATCAATGATGACTTACATCTGACATGTGATGACATTCTGGCCAAAAGCATATCTAATTTAGGTCTCGAAGATGAGGACTTCGATGATCCGGCAATTATGACATTTTCGCGGAGCGCTAAACCAATGCCAGAACCAACTGACCGATATAGTCACTCACCGCCACCGCCGGCTATTCTTTCATATGAAGAATATTCTGCTTCACCGCAAACGTCTACCATTTGGAGTACCTCTCAGTTAGACTCAACAGTTAAGTCAACTATGAGTACCACTAGTGTCGTAAATATGAGAACTTTAGAAGAAGTAGAAAATGATTTAATTATCAGAAAAACCAATGATTTGCATCAATTGACAACTATTAAGAAATCAATTAATTTAGAAGATTTAGAAAAGACATTAATAGATGAATCAATTCATAAACAAGTGCCACCAGTCAAGCAAAACTTGAATGTTAGTCACTTGACGTCCAATTCAATTTGGTCACCATTTACTAATGATTCTTCACCTAATATACTATCTAACGGAACAATTGATTTAAATAAAGCAATACGTATTGAAGATATCGAGAATATCAAACCAAAAGCGCCTCTTAATCACAATAATATAGACATTGATGCTATCCATGCGGCCGCTCGGTTAGCCTTAAATGATTCTCAAGAACAACAACCTCTTCAATCAATTGATCCATTATTGAAAGCTCAAACATTATCTGACATTGAAAGGCAGTTAATAACAGGTCCACAAAGTCCACCAAAAGTAACAAAATTGCAGCAAAATATGTCAAAACTTGAACCAATACCACCTGAAGTGCGAACAAATACTGTATTGAATAATCAGACACCGAATAAGTCTTTAAGTCAATTCAGACCTCAAATGATGGTTCAAAACAGACCTAATAATATGTTTATGAGACCACCAATGATGCCGTTACTGCCATCGACACATCCATCAATGACACGACCAATGTATCCGCCGGCACTTATGCCTAATAATCAACGATTATATCCATATCCAAGACCTCCAATTATGCATCCAATGTTACATCCATTGCAAATTCAACATTTAAATCAACAACAACTTAGGTATTTGCAACAACAACAACAACAACACTTTATTCATCACATGCAACGACAAAATTATCGAAACAATGATAGCGTTGAAGACGTTAACGATTATTCTGGTTTAATGACTAAACAAGAAAAGGATTGGTTGATTAAAATACAACAAATGCAGACAGAATTAAAGGATCCATATGTTGACGATTACTATTATGTTACGTATATATCACGTAAAATAGCTGCCAAAGCAGCAAACGATAAGACAACACCTAAATTAGTGATTCCTGAACGACCAAAGCCAACACCTGAGTCCGAGAAAGACAAGTATATGCCGGAGCAGTTTGCGGGTACATTAGGAAAGATACAGGTGTCTAACGTGAATCGGCCCCGACAGCTATTAGATGGCAAGTTTAATAAAACTGATAACTCGAGTGATGCTAATAGTGATAAACCAATGGTCAGTAAGAGTGAAGTTCAAAGATTTAGAAAACTTTTGCTTCAAATCGAAAGATTGTATGTCGTCTTAATAAACATTGATGACGAAGACAAACGTATTGGTGCTCTGCCTCCCGAAGCAAGGATTCCACACTTAGAAACACGAAAACAATTGTGCGATAAATTGTTTAAAGGACTCACTAATGTTACTAATGATAAGATTAACGCAGAAGTGGCGCAAATCAGAAAGGGTTTGATTTTGTTGTTTAGATCGTTGAGCTATTTCTCAGATGATTACCATAAAGCCATAATAATGTGTGACATATTTAGTGCAAACAATTATAAACAATACATAATTAAATCAAAAGATAGACACGATTTTGTACAGCTTTTATTGAATGGTATCTCATCTGTCACTAATCATGAAGTGATACTTAAACTTATATCTAATGTTAACAACAACTCATCTGTAACTCAATCTGAGGTTAGTATTGAAATTTTACGGTATTTAAAAAAATATATATTTTAGTAATGTTTTACATAATTTTTTAAACATTTTAACAAATAGTATGGAAAGTTAATCGAGGAATCACTTAACAAACATAACGAAAAACTGGAATTAAACGGACAATTCAACAATTAATAGGAAATTTTAGTATCCTTTCAATGAACTAATTAAATATTAGCATAAATTGATTGATTGTTTTGATTACATCTGCCGTTATTTTTAGATATAATTGCCATTCAGTTAAGTTAATTATGATTTAATATTTCATTAAAAATATTTTTGTTACAATTAAAATTATATTAAATCAAGGAAATTAAAGTTAATTTATATACATATTAATTAATGTCTTTAATATTTTTTTGGAATCTTATAAATTTTTAAAAACTAAAAACTTGATTTTGCAAACAATTGAAATAAATAAATAAACATTTGACTAATACAGACACTAAAATGACACAAATATTGTTATTATGAAATCGAAATTTGCTAAATTAAAATTTTTATAATTTAATTAAAATTAGTTATTTATGTATATTTTTAAGTTTTTATTATTATTTTTTATCTACACTCAAATCACTAAAAATCATGTGGTTAAATTGTATTTATTTTAAATGATAAAACTTAATTAATTTTGTTGTTTATTTCTATCAAAAAACAAATAAAAACGAAAATTTATTAACAAAAAATATTTATTAATAAAAAGTTTTTTATTTAATAAGTCAAGAAATAAAACTGGAATTCAATTTTCTTTCTTCTCTTTTATTAATAAAATTTAATTTCAAAGACCAATATATGATTGAAATGATTGATGCGATTAAAGAAAACGAAATTTTATCTTCATTTTTGCTGTTGTTTTATATGTTTATTGAGAAAAATACACTAAATATTTGCTTCAAATTATCGGTCTTATTGTGTAAAGTAAGAGTCTATATAAACAAAAAATGTTATTAATATTATTATTAATACTTCTTTATTGTTATAATTTGTATTATTATGTTTATTATTAATAATACTATATTTTTATTATACTCATTACTATTAATTCTCTCTCTCTCTCTCTCTCTCTCTCTCTCTCTCTCTCTCTCTCTCTCTCTCTCTCTACTCTCACTATTTATTGCCTATCATTTTAGTCCATATAATGACTTATTATTATGTTTTGTTGTTTATATATTATAGTATATATAAATTAATAACAGGTTATATAGTTATTTGTGAAATTTCTGTTCACAAATCTTGACATAAGATATGTTTGTCTAATGACCGGAACTCGAGTAACAAAATTATTATCTTTTATAACGAGTAATTAAAGTATAATTCACACATACAGTACAAAACAAAATATAAACTATTTAACTTTCAATTATTATATGCCATTGACATATAGGTATATGTTATGTGATTTTATATAAATTACTAATTGAGGTATATTTTTGATATACAACTTTCATTGCTTTAACGAAACAGCTAATTATGGATTTCATGTATGCATTGTGTTAGTTGAATGACAAACCAATACACCAATAATATGACATAACACTAGTTTATCAACAGTACATAAGTTGAATGTTTGTAATACAAACTTTGAATCAATGGCTAAAAATATAGTATAGGGCGTCAACTAATTGCCTACCCGTGCTTTCTCTCATTTTGATTATAAAATTTGCAAATTGTGTGACTCGTCAATAAAAGTTTATCCACATTTCCCAACGGTATACGGTATATAATCTCTTATTTTATACAATTTTATTATACTGTATATGAATTTTTATATTATATTATATTATGTAGGGATAACACAATACTTCTAAAGCGCACACGACTTCCCAACAAATATAAGAGATTTTTTGAGACTTACCTAAATGTTATAATATTTTTATTAGTTTTGTTACAATTATATTCTGTAGATAAAAGTCATAATATTTTATATATTTTATTGCCAAATATCCCAAATAATTTTTATTGTATGTCTTGTATATATATAAATATATATATATATATTTATAAATTATTATAGATATAATAATACATTAATCCTTAGTTATTTAATAAAATATCCTAAAGGGGCGATTAGATTACCAATAATATGTATGAATCATTCAAAGAGGACACTGAATTGAAAATGTTTGACTAAATATTATATTTTAATATAATATATAATAATGTATTTTTATTTTTCATTTGATGTTTTGTTTTTTCATTCGTAAGCCAACTCATGCTTATGTATCAACTGTTTATGGATTGTCTGATATTGAGAGGGAAAGGACAACATATATGATCTCGTGTTTGATATTTTTAGTCATAAATATGATCTCAAATATAATTCCTTAATATTTTGTGTCAAACTTTGTGAATCACTCTTTTTTCAATCTAATCTAAAAGATATTTTAGTCTATATATTGAATGCTAACTGATTTAATATCTAAACTACACAGACATCACAACTAACAGCACAAGAAGTGCTAAAACTAATGGCACTTATATAGCATTCTTGATATCCATTGAGACCATTGAGTCCATTGAGTCCATTGAGTCTATTGTGAACACTACTGCTGTAAATCCAATCTAATTCACTCATAATAGACGAAACAATGGTCTTAATAAAAGTACTTTTATTTTATTGAAAATTTCTACACAATGTTTATCTTTGAAAATTTCATTTATAATAACAACCAAAATATATATTTGTTTTGCCCGACACTCTTTGTATTGCAAATATTATGTAAATGGATTTACTATTATTTTGATTTTTCTAAAAAATTTATTTCAACACATTTTATAAATCTACTATTATAGTAGTTTATAAATATCATTAAATAGTATTACATTTACTTTTAGATTATGTTTACTATTATAAAATAAAAACAAAATAATATAATATATTTAAAGAGAATATTGTATTTATCTTGTTTATATATATTTTAATAAAATAAAATGATAATAAATAATAATAAAGTAAAAGACAATACATTTAGAAATACATGTTCAGTATTTGTAATTTTATTCTTACTTTTGTTATACTAATGAAATGTTATATAAAATATTTGATGAAATTGTTTAACGAAACCAAATATATTATCTCAAAATAATTTAACCTTTTGTAACACCGTTTTTATGACATCTGCGAGATGTTGGTCTAAATTGTCAAATATATAAAAATATATACAATTGTATATCAATATAATAACTGAGTTCCTCTAAACACACAATATATGTGATTAGATTATATAAAAAGCACTAACAAAATATACAATTCTGTCAATGAATTTTGTATATAAACTTAAAATTGCGTGATTTGTGTGAAAGTGGTGGTCCATCATAACTGGTATACCCTATCATATCATATGAGTGCCAAATCATATGCCATCGGGAATGAGATATAGAGAGACACAGAACTTATTGTCTGTAAGCACACGCCATATCATCTCTTTATGAGGTTATATATACGTCGGATACCAATCAGAGTCGAGTTGATCCCAGGCCTCCAACACATAAATCCCTATATTTCGCTTCAATGATTTGGAAAAAAGTTATTCAGATATGTGTCGCCAAAAAAGTTAATATAACTGAATATTGTATGAAAAGATCACTGGATTGAGAAACAGAAATAAAGAGAGAGAGAGAGAGAGAGAGAGAGAGAGAGAGAGAGAGAGAGAGAGAGAGAGAGAGAGAGAGAGAGAGAGAGAGAGAGAGAGAAAGAGAGAGAAAGAGAGAGAAGAGAGAGAGAAGAGAGAGAGAGAGAGAGAGAGAGAGAGAGAGAGAGAGAGAGAGAGAGAGAGAGAGAGAGAGAGAGAGAGAGCAGGGATATACACTATACGAATAAGAGATTAGGTTATAAAAAGTCAGTGTTTGTTATATATTATATAAGTTGATTAGTTTGAGAGACATTATCTATAAGTTTGAAATACCGCAAAAATGCTATTAAATTTTTCCAAAGAAAATTAAAATTTTATTTTAAATAGGTCTTACAATGTTTAATGATTTATAAAATATTAAATAAATCAAAGAGAAACACAAATTAAGAAATTAATAGTGAACTCATTTTTATGAAAATAAAATAGCAATTAATATAGCATTAGATTACATTAAATAGAGTGAATGCCACTATAATTGATAAACTTTACAAAAGAGATAATCATTTAGCATTGAAATGTATTTATAGCCATTATTTATGGCATTTATATTCATTAAAAGTGTTTTACTTTTATATGCAGTTTATTATACTATAAAATCTAATATCTGTATTAAAAATTAGTTTTAATATTACTTTAATAATAACAAAACTGGACTAAAATATATTAATATTTGCATAGAAATGTATTCATATAACGTAATATGTTAATCATATAGAGAAAAATGGCAAAGAATTATAAGCTGTAAGCTCCAGGTGCTACAGCATACTTGTGCTAACACTATGGTCGATGCTTTTACTTGTATTAGTTATAATGGTAACTGTTATATTGTTTGTAAAATACATAATTTATACGTCAGATACCTATTGAATAAATAATGCAATTTTATATTTCAATTTTTGTGAATTTTATATTTTCTTACTATAAAATAATATACTGTCTGTCAATGCTATAAAAATTGTAATTATAGTATGAAATGTGTTTATTTACTAAAAAAAACTGTTGTCAACCTATTTTTGAGATGCAATATAAACATAATATGAATTTTATGCTTATTTATTATCAATTATAAAAATGAAATGATGAGTTAAATATAATTATTTGGTCCAATAGTGTCATCATAAATAATATTTTAAAGAGACACTTATTTTATATTCACAATTTTAGGTATTTTAGTATTTTTTAAATATAATATATAATTTTACGTAACATTAACAATAAAAAGTAGAATAAAAAATTTGGTATTTTTTTATAACATATCCCTCTAGTGTTATATTTTTTTTTTGTAAAATTAAATGAATTCTTTATTTTCTTTTTATTTTATAATATTGGAAATACTTGTTAATAATTTTCATTTATTAAACACTGATTTTTTTGTACATTGTTATTATTGTTCAATTAGTATAACATAAGTTTTGCAGACAATTTGAATTGATTCTACTTTTTATTGTCAAATCTCTATATCTCTCTATTGCATAATTAATATTCCCTCTCCTATGCAATGATTGAGATTCAGGGATCTCTGTTAAACAGGAATCCTAGTTATACACACTAATACACATATTTGTGAATATAGTAGACGTTAATTAAAGTTAATGAATAATAAGCGCATTAGTCTTTAAGTGCATTACTTTATTACAGTTATATTAGACGATCTTTTGGTTATATTTTAAGTG